TGAGTGGGCCACTCATCAGGATCCATGCTTCTCATCGAGTCAGGCGGGGAAATTTTCAGCTGTGTCCACCATCTAGGAAAAATAATAAAGGGGAGGGGGAGGAAGAAGAATATGGACATTACAGAGAAATACCATCCTATTGGATGAAACCACTAGAGAATCTGAACTGGAGAATGAATTATTCATTCATTCATCATTTATTTTGCAAAATTTTATTGAGTCCAAGCACTGTTGTAGGGACTGGGGATATAGCAGTGGTTAAGACATGGACCTTGATAGTCTAAAAGAGACAGAGAGCAACTAAACAGATGAATGAGTTATATTTAGATAGTGATTGCCATATGAAAAAGATAAAATAGTGTGCCGTGATGGAGGGCATGTGGTCATAGAAGGCCTCTCAGAGGAGGTGAGATTTCAGCAAAGACCTGAAAGCAGTAAGGAGTGAACCATTGAGGATACGTGGAGGGAAGAGCATTCCAGGCCAAGGCAGCAGCAAGTGCAAAGACCCGAAGGCGCTTGCTTGGGGTGTTAGCGGAGCAGCTGGTAAGCCGGTGTAGCTGGACTAGCATGATAAGAAATCCAGTCCAAGAGGGGCACCTGGGTGGCTCAGTGGGTGAAGCGTCTGCCTTCGGCTCAGGTCATGATCCTGGGGTCCTGGGATTGAGCCCCATGTTGGGCTCCCTGCTCAGGGGGAGTCTGCTTCTCCCTCCTCCTCTGCCACTCCCCCTGCTTCTGCTCTCGCTCTCAAGTAAATAAATAAAATCTTAAAAACAAAAAAGAAATAAAGTCCAAGAGGTAAGCTGAGGCTAGAACAGGTATACCATCTTAGGCTATGGTGGGGATTTGTGGATTTAGGTGGGAGGCCATTGGAAGGTTTGGGCAAGATTCTCTTTGTCATCCTCATCAGATTCTGATTCTAGTTCTATCCTTGACTTGCCTGTGTGAACTTGAGTGAGCTCTTGGTCTCTCAGTTTGCTGTTAAGTGAAATGTGGATAATGATGCTTATCTCCAGTGACATTAGAAGAATTAGTTGTTGGTTACAAAGGACTCGAGGCCTTCAAGATGAGAGGTATGATACAGAGTAATCGCCACTGTTCTATGTAGTCATTATTTTAACAGCTTCCCAGAAGATGAAACCCAACGTATATGCTAGACTGTTAGAATGAGAAGAGATCTCACAGATCGGTTGTGGGGGCCGAGTCTGATTTCTGTGGAAATGACTTAAAATTCCTTCACCGTACAAATTGTGTTTCAAGCCTGTAAGAAATTGCTTGGGGAGGGTGGCCCCTAGACTGGGAAGGCCGCTGTGTTATTTGTTCAATTTCAGTAAAATTCTTTGTAGAGCATGAAAAAATGGTCTGGCCCGCTCCCGTTTTACAAGTGAGGGAGCAGAGAAGCAGAGTCTTGAGGACAGCTTCATGGCTGGTGAGCAGGAGTGCTGGACAAGAATCCGAATCGTGGGGGCGCCTGGGTGGCTCAGTTGGTTAAGCGACTGCCTTCGGCTCAGGTCATGATCCTGGAGTCCCGGGATCGAGTCCCGCGTCGGGCTCCCTGCTCGGCAGGGAGTCTGCTTCTCCCTCTGACCCTCCCCCCTCTCATGTGCTCTCTCTCTCTCATTCTCTCTGTCTCAAATAAATAAATAAAATCTTTAAAAAAAGGTACAGCAGGGGCGCCTGGGTGGCTCAGTTGGTTAAGCGACTGCCTTCGGCTCAGGTCGTGATCCTGGAGTCCCGGGATCGAGTCCCACATTGGGCTCCCTGCTCGGCAGGGAGTCTGCTTCTCCCTCTGACTCTCCCCTCTCTCATTCTCTCTCTGTCTCTCAAATAATTAAAATCTTAAAAAAAAAAAAAAAAAAAGAATCCGGATCGTGTGACTTTCAGGCATCTGCTTTCTCCCCAGATTCATGAGCTACCCACCTCAGTGTCCCATTTAGACATAACTGCAATATTACAGGAAGCGATTTAATTTCAGACCCCTTCCCCTCTCTGTTGTAGTGATGTGCTTTGCTGTTATTGGAAGTGGTGGCTACCACGGAACATCTTTGCTTGGTGAGGCAGCTGGGCATGAAAAAAATTTCACAGACTCGAATTTGGCTCTGTGCCACAAATGTTTTGCTCTGTGTTTTGCCTTCTTCTGCCACTCTCTTTGGTGCTGGCTCTGGGCTCTGCAAGTCGATCGGGCTTGAATTTTAGGTTTGGCCGCAGTCAGATTCTAATTGGTTGTAATTTTTGCCTGGAAAATGTATCTGAATTTTTGCCATGCGTAACTACTGTAATAACTTCCAAAAGGGGGTGTTTTGTTCATTTGGGCACAGTATGTAATTTTAGGTTGTCTGGTCCCATCATTTGAATAACATGTGAACCACTGTCACGAAAACAAGCAAACATACACAGTTGATCTTTGAACAATGTGGGGGTCTAGGGGGCACTGACCCCCTGCGCAGCTGAAAAATCCATATATAAGTTTTGAGTCCCCCCCCCAAACTTAACTACTAATAACCTGTTGACCGGAAGTCTTATGGATAACATAAACAGTCGATTAACACGTATTTTGTATGTTGTATGTGTGATATACTGTGGTCTCACAATAAAGTAAGCCACAGAAAAGAAAATGTTACTAAGAAAGTCATGAGGAGGGGGCGCCTGGGTGGCTCAGTCAGTTAAGCATCTGCCTTCGGCTCAGGTCATAATCTCGGGGTCCTGGGATCGAGCCCATTCTTGGGCTCCCTGCTCAGCGGGGAGTCTGCTTCTCCCCTCAGCCCCTCACTACCCCCCCGCCCCCACCCATGCTCTCTCTCTCAAATAAATAAACAAAATTGTAAAAAAAAAAAAAAGTCATTAGGAAGAGAAAATACGTTTACAGTACTGTAAAATGTATTTTTTTAAAAATCCACATGTAAGTGGACCTGTCCACTTCATACCCATGTTGTCCAAGACTCAACTGTGTGTATGTATTTGTATGTTTCTGTGTGTGTGTAATCAGCACTATGATTAGCATTTTCCTTGTATGTGAATCTAGATTTCTTTAGTTATAGCTCCAGGAAACTTAAATGTGGGTGAATCAAATAATGAGGAGTATACATCCTCATACTGTGGGATCACACACATTTTCTGTACCTATATAGTAATATTCACTTGATTGGCATTGCAAAACAAAGTGATATTTTCTGTTTGGACTCCTTTCTGTTGATACCGTACAAAGCCACATGGCCACTCCCTGAAATGGGAGCTGTAGCATTTACCAGTCTAACCTGTTAGGGTGTTCCTCACACTGGTATATTTTTGTCATTCGTTCCAAAATCAGTGATATTGAAACAAGTCAAAAATAACTACAAGCATATTATTTCTCTTTCCTGGTTTTCCTAAAAAGAAATGCTGTCTAACATGTATATATTTTGCTTATTCATGCTATGGAAAATAGATTGTTGATATTTCAGATACTTTGCCAGAAATTAAGTCCTTTTCAAGAATGAGCCTGCCAAATAATACTCTTTCCATAATTAAATTTCTTAAAATAGTCTGAGATCATACTGGGTAATCAGATGGGTGATTGAAAGTGGCAAGCTTAAATCTTAAAGCCAACTTCTGTAAGACAAGAAGCGTAGGAAAGCGCTTCCTCAGTCATCACCCAGAGCCTATGTCCTAGTCCCTTTCCATTCCCACCCTGAAACGATTTTAGTTCTGTCATCTGGGGGAATTTTACTGTAACAGATGCTTGATACAGTCTGCAGTCTGTGGCTTATTTTTTTTTTTAAGATTTTATTTATTTATTTGAGAGAAATAGAGCATGAACGGGGTGGGGCGGTGGGAGGGAGGGAGGAGCAGAGGGAGAAGCCAACTCCCCGCAGAGCAGGGAGCCCAAGATTGGGCTCCATCCCAGGACCCCGGGATCATGACCTGAGCCGAAGGCAGATGCTTCACCGACTGAGCCACCCAGTCTGTGGCTTATTAAAAGAAGCATAGGCTCATCAGAGAGCTCCAAATTCCCCATTTAATGTCTTAGATCAGGTCTAAGACTTTCTAGGGGAGCCTAGAGGGCTAGCATGAATGAATCCAGCAGTCTTCCTCCTTTTCCTCCTTCCTGTGGGTTTCGCTATGAGTTGTAGCAACAGATTCCTCCTTCACTGTTGTGAATGCCTAATTTCAAACGGATGGCACAATCCCAGTGGGCTTATTGACTCAAATCTCAGCATTTGGGGCACTCAGTGACAACTGGAAGGCAACCAGTGACTCTCGGTGTTTCCCTGGGAGTGCACTATTAGCTGGAGTTTCAGAAGTGGGGGCATGGGACCGCATAGGTGAGGGCAGTGAGGGGTGCGGGTGAGGTGAGTATATATGATGGGGCATGAGTATGTATATATATTTTGTCTTTTGATTTGATTTTTTAGCTGTATAGTTTTTATTTTTTTCAAACATCTAAAACATTTTTCTACTTATACTTGGAGTCGCGCAGTGACGTGAATGAAATAAGAATCCAGTCATGGTTTTGCAGTTAAATGGGAAGAGGATGCAATAGTGAAACGGACAGTGACTCGGATACAAAAATGCTTTCTCAACTTTAAAGTGTTAAAATGGGGATGCCTGCGTGACTCAGTCGGTTAAGCGTCTGCCTTCAGCTCTGGTCATGATCCCGGGGTCCTGGGATCGAGCCCCGCATCAGGCTCCCTGCTCCGCGGGAAGCCTGCTTCTCCCTCCTCTACTCCCCCTGCTTGTGTTCCCTCTCTCTCGCTGTGTCTCTCTCTGTCAAATAAATAAATAATTTTTTTAAAAAAAATAAAGTGTTAAAAAGTCGTCTTCTGTAGATGAACTGAGAGGGAAATCACTTGACTTCAAATTTTTCATCTTAAAAAGTGAAGGTAGTTGTAATTCCTAATGACTTCTCAGAGGTGTGTGCAGATTGTCCAGATATAATGGCTGTGGCAGGCCCTTGAAGGTTTTTCGTGCAGAGAAGCTGTTTAAATGTTCAGACAAATGTATCATTGCTGGTCTTTCCCCTATAGGTATTCAAGAGACGGTATTTTTACTTGACTCAGCTTCCTGACGGTTCATACATTCTCAACTCCTACAAAGATGAGAAAAACTCCAAAGAATCTAAAGGTTGCATCTACTTGGACGCCTGCATTGACGTTGTTCAGGTAGGGCTATCGAAATCACCCTTTCTTCTCTTTCTTGAAGAGGGTTATTGACCAACTATTAAGAACCTCCGCATTTTTCTTTCGTGGTCAATGGCATCTCCACCCACCAAAACATTTATACTAGGAACCTTAGAATCCTCCCCAGCGCCCTATTCTCGCTCTGTGCGAGAATTCAAGTGTTTACCCAGGCCTTTGGAGTTGGGCTCCACAGTGCTTCTTGCTCTCTTACCTTCTTTCCACTCCCACTGCCCTTCCTCTGGTTCTCCTTTTGTCCTCTCTTGACTAGTCTTGCCTTCCTGCCCTCTGATTTGTTGCCTTACTGTAATCCATCCTCCGAAGACAAAGCTGGGGTCCTTCACTTGTCTACTTAAAACCTTTTGGTTCTTGGGGCGCCTGGGTGGCTCAGTCGTTAAGCGTCTGCCTTCGGCTCAGGTCATGATCCCAGGGTCCTGGGATCGAGCCCCGCATCAGGCTCCATCCTCTGCAGGAAGCCTGCTTCTCCCTCTCCCACTTCCCCTGCTTGTGTTCCCTCTCTTACTGTGTCTCTCTCTGCCAAATAAATAAATAAAATCTTAAAAAAAAAAAAAAAAACCTTTTGGTTCTTGATTTATTATCTTGCAGAGGGAGAGCTAAAGCTCTTACCATGACCTTGCAGGTCATGGTGATTTAGCCTCAGCCTACCTTCTAACCTCATGCCCCCCGTACCCTGTAGACACTTTGCGCTCTAGCTACTCTAGGTGTATTTGCCTTTCTTCCACTTGTTTCTCTGCTTGGCGTACACTTTCCCCTTCTGTTCCTGTTTGAACCTTATCTTTCAAGATTCCGTTCAAATGGCTCTTATGCCATGAGATGTTTTCTGTTTCTCTCCTCACCCTCATGTCCACCACATGGAAGGGAGCTCCCCCTCCCCTGTGCACCACTTTGCTTTTTCCTCCGTCCTAGACTGAAATCATACTCCAATTTGTGGTTCATCCTGCATATTCCTTCTGGGATTCTGGAGACCATGTCTTACTCATGTCCGTGTCCCCTGTAATAATCAGCAGTGTTGTGCACCCAGGAGCGGCTTAACAAATGTTTGCCGATGATCTAAATAGGAAGTCCACTGGCCGAGAGAAGGAGCCATCACTACAGAGCCTGGGTGGCATGGCTGACTTTAAGGAGCACTTAGCTGCTGGGGAGGTGGAAGGTGCTGGTTCAGGGCACTTGTCCTACATGAATCTTATTGTCAATTCCACTGAATCCCACTTATTATTAATCCCACTCAAATGAGATTGCCGTGTGGATTGAATAAAAAACACTTAAAAGGGGTGCCTGGGTGGCTCAGTCATTAAGCATCTGCCTTCGGCTCAGGTCATGATCCCAGGGTCCTGGGATCTAGCCCCGCATCGGGCTCCCTGCTCAGCGGGAAGCCTGCTTCTCCCTCTCCCTCTGCCTCTCTTTCCGCTGGTGCTATCTCACTCTCTCTCAAATAAATAAATAAAATCTTAAAAAAAAAAAAAACACTTAAAAAAAATAAAGATCTATGTGAATAAAAGGTGTCTTCATGGGCGCCTGGGTGGCTCAGTTGGTTAAGCGACTGCCTTCGGCTCAGGTCATGATCCTGGAGTCCCTGGATCGAGTCCTGCATCGGGCTTCCTGCTCGGCAGGGAGTCTGCTTCGTCCTCTGACCCTATCCCCTCTCATGTGTTCTCTCTCTCTCAAATAAATAAACAAAATCTTTAAAAAAAAAAAAAAAAGGTGTCTTCATATATATAATATATAAAATACATATACTATAAATATATTTAATATATAAATATATATAAAATATATAACATAAATATATATATATAATAGAAAAGTTTATATATAAAATATAAAATATATATAACTATTTATAAACAAACAAACAAACAGCTTTCTTATGTTACTGGAAGAAAGAGGGCACACGATTCCCAGCTTTTCTCAATTAGTCTAGTCCGGATTTTGCCTTTCCTTTATAGTGTTCCCTGCCTCTGCTTTCTCCATCTATTTATGATTCCCCCTCCCAAATATTTTCAAATATATAAATCTTGAGGACTTGCTACAGCCGTTTAATTTCATCCTTTACTCTACTTTGAAGATGAGAAGGAGGATCTTTCTTGGTTCCTTCTTGAGTGATGGCCATGTAGTGGGAAATTATGGATTCGCGAGCCTTTCTTGAAATTAATGCCGAGGTATTTGGGAGAGGGGAGAGTGTGTCATTTCTTTTGTCACGACAGAGAAGGTGGTAGTGTAAAAGAAGGCGTCATCATGTTTGAGCAAAGGAGGTTGCTTTTGTTTTCCTTCTGTGCTAGTGTTCAGCATGGGTCATTTCCATATTTTTTACTGCGAGTCGCCATGTAATGTGATCCAACTCTAGTCTTCTTTTGTGCTAATTTGATGCACTTCATATCATGCATGGTACCGCGAACTTGGTTATCGGTAGTGCGTTTTATGGTGTGATGTGAAACAAGTACCAGGTTTATTTCAAATCCCATTTGAGCCTGTTTTCAAGGGCTGATTTTGAAAATCTACAAATACCACGACCAACTTGCAACAGGGTAGAAATTGTTACAAACATTTGCTGATTTTTATGGTGGCAGTTGGATTCTCTAGATGTGGAAGATGGGAAAGGGCCTTACATGATAATACTGTGTCAACAAGTAGTACCTCATGCCAACTTTGTTCATATACCACTGTGCTCAGTAGTGAGGGGAATAACAGAGGTACGTTTGACACAGTCCTTCATCGTCTGGCAGTTTCTATTTCTTGTTGAAAGAAGCAGTTCTTTCATGACAGTATTGACCTGGGTATGTGCTGAGCTGAGGTAAAAATAAATAAACGAATGAAGTCTAATATTGAAAGGGTAACTAAACTAACTGAACACATGCTTTTTCTTTTTCTCTCTAGTGCCCCAAAATGCGCCGTCACGCATTTGAACTCAAGATGCTAGATAAGTATAGCCATTATTTGGCTGCTGAAACTGAGCAGGAAATGGAGGAATGGTTGCTAACTTTGAAAAAGATTATTCAGATCAATACCGACAGTTTAGTGCAAGAGAAAAAGGAGACAGTAGAAACAACCCAAGGTCAGAATTTTTAAATGATTCATTATCGAGGTAAAGCTCTTATCTTTAATCTGCGGGAATGTCCTTTGTGTAGGGTGAATACAGAATTCTTAATCTTGAAGGTTGACCTACTTCCTCATTAGAAATAACTATGGAGCTTGGTAGGTTTTTTTTTTAAGAGTTGATGCTTCATGGGTTCTGACACATGAAATATAACCAGACTCAAACGGATAGGGAATTCATGGCAGATTGTCAAAAGCCCGTTAAAGTTTTCCCTGTGCTTTCATAATCAAAATTCTTTGCAGTAAATCTAGTAGGAGAGGATGGGGTGAGAGAGATAGTTAGGATATTCCTCTTAGGTGATTAGTAATGGTCTGCATGGTTTGGAACATCTGCTTTTAATGAATTTGCAGAAGATGAAACTAGCAGCCAAGGAAAAGCCGAGAACATCATGGCCAGTTTGGAAAGGAGCATGCATCCGGAACTGATGAAGGTACATCTTTCTTATGGCAACTTGCCTTCAACTGAGGCAATGCAGGGTTCGCTATTAAAGTTTTAATGCTGGATTCCATTTGGCAATGTCATTTCTAAGTTAAAAACCACAGCAAATTAGTGAAACAGGTAGAGATTGTAAGAGAAAAGTTATACTCCTAAAGTTGGACTTAAAGGGCCAGCTAACAGTTTGGAAAATCTTATTTTTTTTTTCTAGATGTCAGAAGGTGCTTTCAGATTTTTGTGACTTTATTGATGTTCCTTCTTATTCAGCATAATTACTATATGTCATCCATAAAGTAAATATTCTTCATTCAAGGGGCTATTGATACAGATCAAACATGATGTTCAGTCTAATGATTTGCATATGTTAACTTCATATGAAAATCGCATGTTCTGTCTATGTGTAAATACATATGTGTATATACATATGAATAATTTCATCAGATAAAGATTTGGGTGACCAGGGGCGCCTGGGTGGCTCAGTCGGTTAAGCGTCTACCTTCGATTCAGGTCATGATCCTGGGGTCCTGGGATCGAGCCCTGCATCGGGCTCCCTGCTCCACGGGAGGCCCACTTCTCCCTCTCCCACTCCCCTGCTTGTGTTCCCTCTCTCGCTATCTCTCTGTCAAATAAATAAACAAAATCGTAAAAAAAAAAAAGAAAGAAAAGATTTTGGTGACCAGACATCATTTGTGATAATTACTCTGCTCTTTGGAGTTTGAAATGAGCTAATTTAGAAAATGTAGAGGCGATTATCATACCTATCTTAATAGGTTACATATCTTAACCATTAATAGGTTACATATTTTACTATGTGGACTCTATACTATAGAAGAATAGAAGGTTATAACCCATTTATTCATTTAAATCCTCATTAAACCTATTTATATTTTTTTACTTTGTTCCTCTTCCTAGACTACTAAGTTACACAAGCTCAGAAGTTATTTTTTCTACTTTATTTAATTTTTTTCTACTTTAAATTTATCCTTCTCTTAACAAAAAATTACCCCCCTCAAACTTCATAGTTTTCCAAAACTTAGGAACACACTCATGATCCCCTGATCTAGGTTTTCCATGATTTTGTTGATGTTAATATATCCTTTCTGAGTCTTTGACGTTCTAGGCTCTACAGTCCACTATGTTTTTCCTAAAGTGTTGGAATCAGAATTATGTATAATATCCCATGGCTAGCACGCTGACTATGGAAGAGAGAGTGTTTCGTCATTTATTTTTCTTTTGCATTCAAATCTCTTGGATTCCTTTTTTTTTTTTTTATACTCCGGTGGGCTGAGCAATATTCTTGATGTCCTAGAGACACATAGAAAGTGTAAGAACCTGATCTGTAGCTTATCATGGGTCCTAGTGATGGTGACTCACCCAGCAAGCGTTTTTTTATCCATCTTAAGTAAATGGAGATGGGGAGTAGTATATTTCTGAAGATCTGTCAGATGGTGGTTTCCCTGACGAGATATTTTTAAGTAATCTTCACACCCAAGGTGGGACTCGAACTCACGATCCTGAGATCAAGAGTCTCATGCTCTACCGACTGAGCCAGCCAGGTGCCCTGCACAAACTAATTATTTAAATGTTATTTACTGGGTTGGTGAACACGTTGACATGCTGGGGTATGGCATGCCTGGAGAGAGCATGAAGGCACTGTGCCCCTGTTCCCATACTTTGTCTATGCATTTCTTCCATTTGGCTGCCCTAAAGTTGTATTTTTTAAAATAAAAAGGTGATCGTAAGTACAGAGCAAAAAATAAATAAATAAAATAAATGTTATTTAATACTCATTTGAAGGAAGTGAAGTAATGTTTGGTGTGTGTATTTTTAATTTTAGTATGGCAGAGAAACTGAACAGCTAAACAAACTCAGTAGAGGGGATGGAAGACAGAATCTCTTTTCTTTTGATTCGGAGGTCCAGGTATTAATGATATATTTCTTTAAATAATCATAGAATTGTTGCTTATTTAGATGAACAATGTCTGTGAAATGTTAAAATCACTGATTTCTGTACCACTGGGCGATACCTATTGCTTTATATTCATCATGTTCACTTCGAACAGGTAGCCTAACTGACTTCCCTCAGGAGACTGGCACAGATGCAAATAGTTTGGGATTGAATGCACATGTTTTGTTTTGTTTTGTTTTTCCCCTCCATTCCCTATATTTCTATTCACCTTATCTCATTCCTCAAAAGAAATAAATGAAAGACTGTTTAAAGTTGGTTCCTGCGCTTTTAACCCACTAAATACAGTGTGATCGAGTAGCAGCGAGTATCTGCAGTATAAAGAACACCAAGGCATATGAAGAATGTGGTTTATTTTCCACTCCTGATGGAGGCCTTGGAACTGGGATAACGTTCATGTCTGGCTTAATCCCACTTTCAGTGGAAAGCTTATGTGTGTTTGTGTATCTCACCCTCTTTCATGAGAGTGAGGCCCCCTTTGTACTAAGATCTGTGCGGCTCATATTTAATTCCCTATTTTCTGATCAAATTGCTGATTTGTTTAAATGGAAAGATTCAACTGTATGTAACTCTTACACATATTTTTCTTAACCTATTTCATGAGAAAAATGAAATTATTTGGGGAAAGATGAATTTTTTTTCACTTTTTTCTACATGAGATTTATAATTAAAATTGGAGGATTTTTTTTTTTTTTTGGAAATAGAAAAGTTTGCATTATATGTGCATTATGGCTTTTTTATTCTCCGTGAAAATAGATCGTAAAAATGTAGTTGGGGGAAGACTGATTTTTGTTGTTTCTTCTTTGCTTCGAATGGTTTTCTAAATAAGTTTTTTTTTTTTTAGTTTGAAATGGGAAAAGTATATAGTCTATATATAATGCAGACATTTTTCCTTAATAAAAATACCACACAAGAAAAAGAAATTATTTGGGGGAAATATTAAAAAAAAAAAAGCTTTATCTCCTACTTTTTTTCATAGCAGTATGATACTGTTTGTGTAAGTTATGTGATTTAAAAAAAAAAAAAAGTTTAGCTGGTCTTGAGAGTGTTAGTTCTAAGATACTCATTCAGAAAGTTGCTTGTTGCAGGCAAGTCTGAGCCTTTCATAGAGCCCCCCCCACCCGCCCCGAACCCCTCCGTGATTGGGCTCTAATTGGACATGTCAGGACCTTTCATTGTACACAAAGAAGCCAATTGACTGTGGTTGAAACTCAATCCAGTGTCTTTAAAAAAATTTGTGGTGTAGTGTTTTTGTGGTCATGGCAGTGAACTCAAACATAACATCAGTTATCAGTGAGCTACGACAGCCAGTGAGGAATTCAGAGTTGTGATGAAACTTTAAAGCATGGAACAGTTGAATTTAATGTTGATTCCAGAAGGCAGCGTCCTCACAGAGAAATCTGTGCTGTATGTGTTGAGTCTTAGCGCCATCCTAGGATGTCAGCCTTCTCTTTTGACCACAGTACGATGTTTAGAGAGAGATCTTTCTACCACTGACCTTAGAGAATAAGGAAACACTAACCGAAGGAGACCGCTCCAACTCGGGACTACTGGGAAAGGTCCCGTGTCCCAGCATTCGGACTCACGGGCCTCAGAAGGGAAAGGATTTGGGGGCTGGGGTGGTTTAGTCCAGTTTCTCTTCACATTCCACTGTCTGAATAAGGTAGAAGGGAGAGCAGATAAATGGGCGGAAATTAGAATTGATCTCCATGGTAATGACTTGCTTCTGCTGGCTCCAGAGATAAGTGTTCAAGAGGGAGCTGTCTAGTTCCACACATTTGTATTCGGTTTGTAGATAAACAGACTCCAGGGGTGGGGGGTGGGGGATGGCACTTTCAGGTACGAATATTATACTTAGGCCCCTAGAAGGAGGATTTTGTCAGTGATGCAGGCTAGGTCAGAATGGCTGTAATTATCCAACACTCTTCTGGCACAATACCTGTTTTGGCTTGAATTACTTAGGCAGTTGAGAAAAATTCTTGTGTTTCTTGGCTTGAGTTTTCCGTATTGGCGGTATATTCTATTCAGATTCACCCAATCATTTCCCGCCTGCCTTGTCTCGGGTCTTAAAGTATAGTAAGTGGTCCCACAATCTATACTTTTCCTCCCATTTGTGAACAGAACGTAAAGTCTGTTCAGATACTCAGAATGAACGGGTTGAACTCAGATTGCCTGAGCTATGTGAGCTGAGGAGGAGGATTCTAGGAGTTTCTTTGAGGAGGGACAGATTCCTCCCTTGCTGAAAGGAATCCTTGATTCCCAATATCTGTTTTTAAAACTTAAAAAAAATTTTTTTTTGAAATACCAATAATTAAAAAAAAATTATCTCTGTGGCAGTCAGGACACATCCCCCAGCTCTGTTAGAAGCTGAGCTCAGTGTTTATCACTTTTCGAAGCAGACGCCCCTCCCTCTGTTCATCATTGAAATGTAGGTGGTCCGCAGGGTCTAGCTGCTGTTGACTCCCTACCTAATTCAGATCTCCAACCCAGACCTCTGCTGTTTCCCCAGCCACTTAGTAATCTCACCTCAAACTGGACACGTCCCGAACTGAGCTCACCATCTCCACTCCTCCTCCCCCACATCTACCATTCCGTGTTATCTTGCAACCAAGTTCATGACGCCACAGTCGAATTGTCGAATTGTCTAAGTTAGAGACCATCGTGTTATTCTTGATGCCTCTCATGTCCATTCATGGCCGTTTTGCCTCCCATACGCCTCATAAAAGACACAGTCTCTACCATACTGGAACATGTATTTTGTGGGGAAGGCTAATAACAACTAAGGACATATGGAAAAGTCATGTTCGAAGACTTAAATCAAGGAAAGGGAGTATAGACTGTCAGAGTGTGCAGTCCCCTTAGGGAGTTAAGGAAGGTCTCTGTGGAAATGCCAGTGGATCGGAGACATGAATGAAATGAGGGAGTGAGCCATGCATCTGTCTGCGAGAACTGCAGATGCAAAGGCCCTGAGGTGGGTGTGTACTTGGTGTGTTGGAGAAATAACCAAGGAGGCCAGTGTGGCTGGAACAGAGAGTGGGGGTGGAGGGGAGGCAAGGGTGGTGGGAGATGAGGTCAGAGGATTGAGGGAGGTAAGGACTCCTGTCATATAAGGCTTCATAGGCCATGGTACAGACTTGTAACTTTTCCAGTGCTTTAGATCAGAGTTTCATCATCTCCCTCTAGGATTTCGCTGTCAGTGTTTGAACCTTGGTGTAAGAGCTCTAGAAAGACTTATTGAATGAAAAAAAGGGTTTGAATGAAGAATGGATAGAGAACCGTAGGATTCTGCAATTATTACTTATAGACCTATATTAATATGAATCCTGTTTTTTTGGAAATGATTTATCATCATCTGTTTTGTAGAGGTTGGACTTTTCAGGAATTGAACCTGATATAAAGCCATTTGAGGAAAAGTGCAATAAACGTTTCCTGGTGAACTGCCATGATTTAACTTTCAATATCTCGGGTCAAGTTGGAGACAATGCAAAAGGACCACCCACAAATGTATGTATGACTTTTCCTTCCACGTCCCTTAAACCAGCGCATTAAGGACATGCTTTGCTTTTTTTATCACTAGAAGTAATTTACGGGATGAAAATTCCATTGCTACGTGCTATGATAAATTTGACATGGAGGCATTTCATACATGCCTTTCTTTTGCCAAAATATGAATATGTTTTCATCCTGAGAGGATTCGTGAACATATCAACCTATTCAAAATGGCAGATAGAGTAGGCTCTTGACATTCAAAAGGGACATGTGTCCCCGAACCTGGACCATCCTCCAAGTTGCGAATTTTGCCAGAGAATGTGACTTCTTTTGTGAGACTGGCTCATCACAATGAGTAAGGAACCCGCAAACCAGGCGGGGATACAGATGCTGTGCAGCCTGCTAATCTCACTCCTTCTCCCAGGGTGAATTCATTTTGTTCTTCACAGAAAAAAACTCTAATTATGAGCCATCGTGGATCATTTGAGTTACTCAGAAACACTTGAAACCGTAAGTGTAAAATCACCAAAGAGACTGCATTTTATGCTCACCTTTTTTTGGTTCTGGTTTTGTCTTTGACAAATATCCACAGTGATGATTTATTCTCTTCCAGAGTAGCTAAAATGCACTAGCAGACTTCCTGTGTATAAAGGGTTAATCTTTATGCCATTTGGCACGAAATTTCTCTTTGTGACCAGCTTTCAAATGCCATCTGTAGGGAGGAATCGTGTCTTCCGAAAGTGCTGATGGGGCAAAGCTTTTGTCAAGTCATTTGATGTTGACTGATATTAGCTCTTATTAAAGGTATAATCTAGTAAGCTGTAACATAACAAAAGGGAAGATTTATTTTTGTTCGATAATATTGGCATTGGTTTTTTTTTTTTTTTTTCGGCGATTTCAGTAAACCCATGGAGAATTACATTTTATTCAGAGACCAACTGATGTTCTTTAAATGTGGCTTCTGCGTTCTACTCCTTTAAAGAAAGTGTAACTTGCAGAATTATTTATACCTGACAAAAGTTAACATTTGATAGCCTGTTATTTTAGAGCACTCCTTCAAAATAGATGCAAATGAGCCCTAATGCCATTTTAACTAAATGCCATACTCAGAAAGGAACTGCAATCGCAGAGCCTTGAGGAATCAAAACATCATTTTGTCATTGGCGTCCCTCCCCCACGCCCCCCACCCACCCCCCGAAAAGTCTTCGCTTCCAAATGTCGTTGTTTTCATTCCCAGGTTGAACCCTTTTTTATCAATCTCGCCTTATTCGACGTAAGGAACAACTGCAAGATTTCAGCCGACTTCCACGTAGACCTGAATCCCCCATCTGTCCGGGAAATGCTGTGGGGCCCTTCAGCCCAGCTGGCTGGTGATGGAAACCTGACGAGCTCTTCCCCGGAGCCTTTCATTCATGGAATTGCTGAATCCCAGTTACGCTACATAAAGCAGGTAACGAGTCCCCCTTTAGCCTTCCAAGTGAGAAATCGAAACAGCCCCGTGGGTTCTTTCACCCGCTCAGACCGATGTTCTCCCGGGCATTCCCATCTCTTGTAAGGTCAGTGGCCAGGTGTTTTTCTGGGGACTGAAGTGGGAGGGACAGGATGGAAACCAGCATATGCTAGCACCACCTCAGCGAAGTAACATTTTCAGTTGGGACTGTGATGTGAGCCTCAGAGGAAGCATTTTGTGAGCTGGAATGTAGGTCACACCGACGGATGCAGGCACACCCCCACGCTCCTGTGCGGACTTGTGAGCAAGGCGGTGGGTGCCCGAAAGGCTTGTTTCTTCGAAGAAAAAATGGACCCTGCCATAGCCCCCCCCCCCATCCCTAATTCCCAGCTCCGTTAGGAGTAGGTAGCTGGGTTTGGGTTTTGGTTTTTGCCTTGGTGTGCCGTCTCGAGTTCCAGATATCTGTTAAAATACCATTAGATTTTTCCATAGGACAAGAGCAAAAAGCACCGCCTTGCAGAAATTTAGGAGCTATGTACAGAACTTTACAGAACTTCAGCTGAAGCCTGGCTGCTGACCAGACAATGGAGTTCTGAGTGTGTTCACGGAAGACAAAGAAATTAGGCAGGGAAGGGAAGGTGCCCGTCTGAATGAAACTTCACCGTCAGGGCAAGTCTTGTGACGGTCACATTGGAGGCTGTGTTTTTGGAAGGTTCGAGTACAGGACAGGGGTTCCGTGTGTCTGTTCGGCTACAGCCCTGGCTGAGGTGCCGTTAGATCAATGTTCCTCAAATTCCTGGCCTGCCAGACTCCCACAGCACCCAGACCCCCCAACACTGGCGATCAAATTCATCCAGAAAATCGTTCCTGTCAGTGGCCAAGTGGTAGATGCCCCAGAGCTAATCTCCCATGTTGTCCGGAATTTGGGGAGCTTCATGTGCAAGCGGGCAGTGTCCATGCTGACCCCACATGAATAGGTAGTTTTAATGGAGCATAAAGGCTCTTTATACGAGGAGTTCGGATTGAAGAGCAGTGGGAGGGGATGGCTTATGTCACATACATAATGCTGCGTTCTCTGTCCTGTCTGGTGCAAAGAAGCCCCTTTAGAAGGAGCCTGACACATCCCTGGCATTTTGACCTCTGACCACACTGCAGGCCACGAGAGGTTAGGCAGAACAGAATTGATGGTCTTCCTTCCCAACTTTTGCAACTAAAAGGAAACTAGACTGTGACATAGAATTGAAACTGGAAAGAGGCACAAGAACAAAGCAGCTCACGTTGTAAGATTTATTTTTCCCCCAATAAAAACGTGGTTCCTTTTTTTTTATTATAAAGCTAAATGTATTATTATGTAGAAAACCCAAACAATACAAAACGCATAAAGAAGGAAAGTCACCTCCCCCATAGACAATAACTGTCAACATTTTGGCCAACCTCTTTCTAGACATCTCTGTGTTTATATAAACACATAGATCTTACGTATGTTCTTATACAAAATAGATCCTGTTCACGCCGTTTTATATCTACTGTATTTATTTAATATCACATTTATCCTATATCAGTATCTCTGGGTCACTCACATTCTTAAAGGCTAATGTGGTATTCCATCAACCTAGCTAATTGGGATATTTGTCATTTTGGGATATCATAAATAACACTGCATTGAACATCCTTGTGCATGCATGTTAGCTCACTTGTTGAATTATCTCCTTAGAATAAATACCAAGCATTGGGGTTTTCTGGGCTCGGGATTATGCTCATTGGTACAGATTTTACATGTGCAGTTACTTCCCTCTTTGCGCTCTGGATCTGTGGTAGTTTTATATCGCCTCTTTTTTTTTTTTTAAAGTTTTATTTATTTCTTTATTTGTCAGAGAGAGAGAGAGAGAGAGCACAAGCAGGGGGAGGGGCAGAGGGAGAAGCAGGCTCCCTGCTGAGCAAGGAACCTGATGCGGGGCTCGATCCCAGGACCCTGGGATCATGACCTGAGCCGAAGGCAGACGCTTAACCTACTGAGCCACCCAGGCGTCCCTATGTCACCTCTTAGTTTGTTACTCAGATAGATTATGCTTGTCACATGTGTGAACATTCACTACTATGGCGTATGCTTCTAGAAGAGATTGAGAAAGTACAGTATAAAAGTATTTGAGAACCTGCCATTGAATTATGTGTAAAATTTTCTGCACCATATCAAATAAGCCCTTTTAAGCCAATGACGTATTTACTTTATTTCTTCAGTGTACTTAGCTGTACGTTCAAGGCATGGAGTTTAAGTTGTGGTTGTGGGCATCATCCCACTTGTAATCTAGGTCGGGAAGAAAATCAACAGTTTTTTCAGTATCTCCCGTAGGCCAGAATTTCCCATCAGTGTCTCATGTAATCATCATAGTCTTGTGAAATAGTGTACTTAACGCTGTTTTGGAGGGGGGGAAAGGGCAGATCGTGCATGAAGTAAGCTGCCCACCATTACACAGCCCACAGCCGTGAAGGCAGGATTGGAACCTGGGTCTGTTGGAAAGACCCCAGTCAATAATGGCCGGCAGAATGTAGTTAACATACTGCACCCTGTCACACAATGGTAGCAGAGGTGTTTGCAAGGCAAGGGGGGCTGGGGGGGTGGGAGTTAACTTAGGGGGCTGCACAGAAGATGTGGGACTTGGGAGAAGAAGCCTGAGAAGCACAGAGGAGAGGTGGGAAGATGACCCAATGGGCAGTGGCCTCAGATGGCTTTATTGTCTTACAACCTTTTCGGACCAACTGATGAGACCGGGAAGTGGTCATTTACTTCAACTAGTTGAACATTTTATTTTGGAGAAGTTTTTTTCTCAACTTCTTCCCGTTTAGGATGAGGAAGCAGTGCTGTGTCGGAGAGAGACCAAATGTAGGCAGATCTGAACCCGAATCCCAGCTTGTCCATTTTTCAGCAGTGACAAGTTTAGCACTTCCTTATTTTTGTTTTTTAAGATTTTATTTATTTATTTGAGAGAGAGAGCAGAGAGGGAGAGCACATGAACGGGGCGGGGGAGGGGCAGAGGGAGAAGCAGACTCCCCGCTGAGCAGGGATCCCGACGTGGGACTTGATCCCAAGACCCAGAGATCATGACCTGAGCCGAAGGCAGACGCTTCACTGACTGAGCCCCCCAGGCACCCCAAGTTTAGCACTTCTTAAGTGCCACTGTATTTCTCTTGCTTCTTTATCAAGTCCCTTATTTTCATAACACCCCAGCAAAGTAGGTGGGTACTGTTACCATACCCATTTTACAGATGAGGAAATTGAGGCACAGGGCCCGTCCAGTAGCTTGCCCAGGGTCACAGAACTTAGAAGATGAGGAACAGGACCTGAAACTAGGCCTAGCAGGTTTCAAAGGGCAGGTGTTTACCCCTGTGTTGTACTGCTTCTGTGCTACCCGGGAGAGAGGGAGACTGCCCAGTTCCCCAGAGTTCCCAGAAAGGGCTGTCTGGTGGCCCCAGCCCTTCCAGCAAGGCTGCTCGAACGGCAGCATTATCTATAGGAAGAAGCAGCTCCCAGGGTTTGGTGGACAGTGGGTGTCTGGGGGCCATTCTAGGCCCTCCCCATCTGTTCACCGGAGTCTTTCTCTCCAGTGGCCTCCTGAGGGACAATGGGGTGACCACAGGAAAGGAGGGACTTGGGTCCATTGAGTAGTTTTGCCTCCCTGACCTCAAGCAGTCACCATGACCAGTCACTTTCTTCCCAGCTGCCCTGACAGAGCCTGGCCCCCCAGGTCTCCCAAGGTCAGACCTGATTGACTTTGGGTTGGGGTTGCGGGGGAGATGCTGACTCTTGGAGGTCTGCCTCCTTGTGGCTCTGGGGGATCCCCCCCGGGGGGCAACAGTTGTTGGCCTGGTGAAAGGTACAGAGTCTCCCCCCAAAGCCCTGCCGTGCTGTGGGCTCTGTAAGTGCTGGGGACTGGGATGAGGGGGCCTCACCCCTTCTTTAGAGGGAGGGGGCAGTCAAGTGGGTAAGAGTTACCCTGAAGTTGGGGGCAGCCACATCCATGCCTCCTAGGTGGAAAAGGATGGCTGGGCCAGAGGCCTTGTCTACAAGGGCCAGACTCCCGGTCCACATGGGGATTCCCGGGCGCTCTCTGGCTACCCTTCTGTGTTCTGGGGACAGGGAGAGTGCTAGAGGCTGATTGGGACAAAAGGCAGAACAACCCCGACAGCGTCCCCCTTACCCGACAGCATCCCCCTTACACTGGAATCCCTGGTTGTTTCAAAAAATGAACGCTTCTATGCCTCAGCATCCTCGTATGTAAACGGGAGGAAACGATAGTACCTGCATGCAGGGGCGGCTGTAAGGCTCTGACAAGGTGTGCCGTCCCCAGAAAGCACTCGCCACCGCACTAGGCCGCCATGTTTGCTCACAGGTACCCAAGCGAAAGCACTTGCTCTTAGCCATTGTCAGAGTTCGCGAAATTATAATACTCCTTGCTGGCATCAGGGTGGGGAAATGCGCCAAGTACTGGGAAAGGAGAACAGCAGGCGCTCCATGAACGTTAGCGGTGGCAAAAATCAGTATTGCTGTTCTCAGCCGGCCTCATCGTGTGAGATGTTGGATGCGTGGGCCTCAGGGCCGAGAGGCAGCATAGCATGGGCCGTAATGTATAGTCTGGAAGCCCTGGCTGCAAGCTCCTTTATCCGTTCACCGCGTAACCTTCTGTAAGCCCTCAGTTTCTTCCTCTGTAAAATGGGTACATCGTAGTGCCTGCATTCGGGTTTTTTTTTTTTCTGAAGACCAAGGAAGATAATGCACAAAACCCATCTAGGACAGTTAGGTGACAATCGGGAGGTGTGAGAGCATCCTTCAAGTGCGCTGCTTAGCATACCTGCTGCATGGTCAGCAGGGGCTGGCTGCCAGGCGCATCTCCCCACCTGAGCAGCATGCGCCTGGGAGTACCACAAATCAGGTTCTGTGGCCTCGCAAGTGTTTTGGGCCGCTCAAGTAATGAGTGGGTGTTCCTAGCGTGCTGTACATGGAATCCATAGAGGAATTCTTTGGAATAGCTATTACTATGATCATCCCCATTTCTTAGATGAGAAACCTGAGGTGTAGACACAGGATGGGACTTGCCTCAACCCATAAATGGTGGAGCCAGAATTTAAACCCAGGATATTTTAACTCCCTGAGCAGTTTTTAACCACTTCCTTCCCTGCTTGCTGCTTGCGAATTCAAAGGTGAATCAGCCATTCCAAGGGATCCTTACAAGCCATTGGATTCTTGGGGGGGAATTACTTGGGCTCCCACACAGAGTTTTCTTGTCTTTCCTGTACGCTGTGGAGTGTTCGCTCCAGAGCAGATGAGATAATGTGTCTGAAATGTTTTGAAAACTGGAACACATGATCTTAACACAGTTGGTAATACACCAAGTAGAAAAATAAAACTTGGTAGAATCCCAACGATGGGTTTTTCCATTCGAATTCATTGGTGTGGTGTTCCTTTAAACAACAGACTGAACCAACTAACCAGCTCTTTGGAAGATAGTCTATTTGGGAGGAGATAGACAGTGGATGACACGGTGGTGTCACGTGCATTCAAAGAAAACGTATGCAACTTCGGTTGCATCTACATTTGTAACCCTTAACAGGAGCACGTGCAGGAAAAAAACAAATTTTGGATCCTCTGTCCCCACCTTGAAAGCACGGGTGCTCTTTAACCGTAGTGAAGTGTTTTCTTCCTCTTAGCTGCAATTAGTATTAATTGCGAGGAAATTGTTCTGGAGTTACATGCAGCTACATTTGAAAATGCACATCTGGTTCCACTTGAGAAATGCACACTATTTTAGCACATGCCCATGAAGCCGAACAATACGCGTTGCATTAATTAGGCCTAAAAAGGCACCTTGCGGACGCAGCCAAACAAGAGGCCAAGCAGTAATGGCAACAGTTTTTACTCCGGGACAAATAGATGTGAAGTTGGTGACAAAATAGAAAATCTGTTTTGAAAGAAGCATCGGAGCTTTAGGAACCGTATGAAAGGAAACGTAGAAACCTATGCTCAGGGTCCTAGACATGACCCTGTGTTAGATGTCAACATTCGACGCTAAACGCCCTACTGGGGAATCGTCAGCCACGCAACTGTTATGTACGAAGTCACATAAAAATGTCTAATGGAAGTCATTTTTTTCCCCCCAGGGAATTTTCTCAGTGACGAATCCGCATCCTGAAATTTTTCTGGTTGCAAGAATTGAAAAGGTGCTCCAGGGAAACATCGCGCACTGTGCGGAACCCTACATCAAAAATTCAGACCCAGCAAAGGTATCGATAGAGCTCGTTTGTGAACATTTCAGCTTAATGTAAAATTCGCCTTTTACTGATATTTTATTTTATTTTATTTATTTTTTTTTAAAGATTTTATTTATTTGAGACAGAGAGAATGAGAGACAGAGAGCATGAGAGGGAGGAGGGTCAGAGGGAGAAGCAGACTCCCTGCCGAGCAGGGAGCCCGATGCGGGACTCGATCCCGGGACTCCAGGATCATGACCCGAGCCAAAGGCAGTCGCTTAACCAACTGAGCCACCCAGGCGCCCCCTTTTACTGATATTTTAAATGGTACTGTTAATGACCCCTCCAAAGAGCCTTATTCTCTAAATATGGGGTGCTAGGTGAGTATGCATGTTTCAGTTTGAACATGACTTTTCCCCCCTTTTCATTTATGTTCTGTTTACACGACAGTCTGATTTCTGCTTACTTATCAAAATAAGAGCTAAAGGCTGTTAGGCCACATCTGTTCATTGACACCGTATCCTTGGCAATAGCTACTCTTTATTACCAGCCCTTACATCCAGCCCTAGAATGTCAGAGCTGGGGAGGTTCAGCCCCGCGGTTCCCAAATGCCAGTCTACACTCATACTTCCTCCTGTCTGGGATGAGCAAAAGAAAGACAAGAGAATGAGCGATTCACGCAGCTAAATGTATTCAATTTGAGGGGCCGGCCTCTATGCTGGGATTTTTGTTCTTCCTACCTTTTGAACATTACGCCCGTATGTCTTTCACGAAATGTGGGCAGATGAAATGGTAGCAACTGCTTTGACTGGTGGATGTCTTTGGCTGGCACCGTGAAAAGTCTGTGACCCCTTTAACCGTCTACATTTCTGGATCATGAAATCCAGACTTGTGCAAATTAGTGACCTGGTCCTTTCCTCTCGTTTTATAAATGAGAAAACGGAGGCCCTGAGAGCAAAAGTGTGCGTGGCACAGTTCATGAGCAGCAGTCCAGCTACTGAGTATTTATGAAGAGTCAATCTGTCGTAGGTGGCATGTAGTTGTGTGTCCAAATAGTGTTTATTGAGCGGAAGAGGCAGAGGAGACATGTGACTAATTTGCGTGGGAGAGAAAAGTCTCAGTGATGTAGGTAAGAGCCTCTCGCTTTCTGCATCCCCAGGGACAAGCATCCAGCCAGCATTTCACAGCCGGTTTAGCCTCTCTGGGCTGTTAATCTCCCGTCAGCTCCTAGTGCCTGTGCAAACAGCAATTCCTTGCCCAACTAAACTAATTGCGTTGACTCTTGGTCACTCGGCTTTTATCTTGGGAGTAAAAAGGTCAGCTGTATTCAGAACAAACTTCTCCCAAGAATAATGAGTGTCTGCCTGCTCATGTGTGAAAGGAAATACATATTAAAACTGCTCAAAATTTTCCCAGTAGAGGTCTTTGGTACAAAATGTGCCCTACACCCTACACCTCTTTTCGTCCATCTTCTGATATCTTGATGAAGGCTCTGTTAATGAGAAAACACAGAATGCTTAAAAAAACTCTTGGGGCATCTTAGTGGCTCAGTCGGTTAGGTGTCTGCCTTCGGCTCAGGTCATGATCCCAGGGTCCTGGGCTCCCTGCTCAGTGGGGGGCCTGCTTCACCCTCTCCCTCTGCTGCTCCGCCTGCTTGTGCTCTCTCTATCTAAAAAACAAAAAGAAAAAGAAATTTAAAAAAAAAAAGAAAGGGCGCCTGGGTGGCTCAGTCGTTAAGCGTCTGCCTTCGGCTCAGGTCATGATCCCAGGGTCCTGGGATCGAGTCCCACATCGGGCTCCCTGCTCCGCGGGAAGCCTGCTTCTCCCTCTCCCACTCCTCCTGCTTGTGTTCCTGCTCTCACTATGTCTCCCTCTGTCAAATAAATAAATAAAATCTTTAAAAAAAAAAAAAAAGAAAGAAAGAAAGAAAAAAGAAAACTCTAGTCTTGGAAAGTGGGTAGCTGACGAGTGTCGTGTTTTCATTGGGAGCTCTTTCTTTATCTCTTTTGCCGGACTTTGATGTTTTACATTGGTAAAGTGGGGGAAGTGATTGTGTATGGTGAGTCTCTGGTCATTCGAACACGTACGAATGTGTCTCCTTATTTCTGCCCCCAGACGGCCCAGAAGGTGCACAGGACAGCAAAGCAAGTGTGTAGCCGCCTTGGACAATACAGAATGCCCTTTGCTTGGGCTGCCAGGTTTGTACAAATATAATCCTGACCTTTCTGTTCACTCTCATCTGTAAAGTTCACAGCTGTTGTCCTTGCCGGCAGCATTTAGCGGGTGGGCTCTGACACGCCAGGTCTGTCCTGGGACACTTGGGATGTGGCTGAGTCCGCTCGCGCTGCTATAACAAACAGCGCTGGGGGCCGGGAGGCTTGCGATCTGGGTGCCCGCATGGCCAGGTTCTGGTGAGGAGCCTCTTTCAGGCGCAGACAGCTAGCTGGCTTATCTTCACGTAGCGGAAAGGAAGTGAGCCCCCTCTCTGGCCTCTTCTGAGGGCACTAATCCCATTCACGAGGGCTCCACCCCCCTGACCTAATCACCTCCCACATGCCCCTCCTCCTAATACCGGCACCTTGGGGTTTGGGTTTCCATGGAGAATCCGTTCTCTTAAAATTTGCTGTGCCTCAGGGAACCTTTCATTTCTTCATCCGTGGTGCTTCAGGGAAATTTGCTTTGGCCTCGGTTCCTGATCTGACTGACACCACTTAATTTTATTGCATTTTAAAGCAGAGCTTATTTGCTAAAGTAATGGAATTTTTTTTTGCCCCCAGAAAACCCCAAATTGCAGTGAATTATGTACAGTGTGCCCACTATTTCAGAGTTGGCTAGGTTTATGCTTCGAAAAGCTATCCTAGAATATTTCTGGAAAACGCACGAAAAATGAGAAGGCAGAAGAATGCAGTTGTTAAGTGCAAGTGGGTAATTAATTAATAGACTTGCTTTCTGATGACAAATGCAGGAAACCCGTCACGGGTAGTGTATATGGCAGGGTGTTATCTCTAGCTCATCTCTTAGGGTAGGTTACATTCTTTTCTTTTTTCTTTTTTTTTTTTTTTTCCAATTCTTGCATGTCTACATACAGTGATGACTTAAACTGTCTTTCTTGCTTATCCCCCACCTTTGAAGTCCAGGTTCACTGGCTTGTTTGTGGTACAGCCTGTACAGCTCATCGGAACTTCTCGGGAAAGGACACCACGTTCTGAATAATTCAATTATGTTCAGTGGGTATTGGGGAGTAGCATAAGGATAGGAGATTCTAAGTTAATTAACTCTTCTGTCACTATTTATAATCATTTCATTTGGGGAAGCTTTCAAAATGTATTGTGTGTTGGTAGATGAAAAGGCACACTTGGCCTTGTTTTGCAGGCTGGTTAAAAAAAAAAAAAAATCCTTGGGGCGCCTGGGTGGCTCAGTTGTTAAGCGTCTGCCTTCGGCTCAGGTCGTGATCCCGGGGTCCTGGGATTGAGCCCCGCATCAAGCTCCTTGCTCAGTGGGGAGCCTGCTTCTCCATCTCCCTCTGCCTGCTGCTCCGCCTTCTTGTGCTCTCTCTCTGTCAAATAAATAAAATTAAAAAAAAAAAAAGTCCTTGCCCACTTCACGTAGCATATGGCGGAGCAGAGATCCGAACCCACAGCACGTGACCTCCACCCACACTAGACCACTGCAGCACGTGGCCCACTGCCCAGGCTGTCGGAAGAGCTGTTCGATGCTGTTTGGTCAGTAGAAAAATTAACTTAAAAACCTTCAAAGGTGGAAGCTCTGAACCCCTGTGCTGATGAGGAATTGGGCTCCTTTTTCCTTCCTGCATTGTTTTGGCTGTCAGAAACAGCAAGAACTCACTCTAAAGGCTTGCCTGTGATATTTTAAAGATGTACGCTAAACCCCTGTTTACTGAAAATAAAGGAGGTATGCTTAGAAGTAGGAACAGTGGTTCATGCCTCGAACCACATCTTCAGAGGCTCTGCCAGGGGGGAATTATGTTTTTGGCTAGAGCTGCTTCCAGTGTGTTGGGAGCTTGGACATTACTTCCCATTTTAGCAGTAAGTAGCTGCTTAAAAGTGGAAGAAGGGGAAAGGGGGGAGGTAGGGAATCAACCACATTCGTATTTGGAAACTCTACATATCTCTTGTAAATTTCGTATAAATCGACCCTAAAGATCTAACTTAATGGTCATCAACTTTGAGATAAAGCTTTACCTTTGATTCAAATGCATGTGTTTTATATATCTGGCTTGGTGAATTTTCACAAATGTTTCCAGTCATGTGACTACCACACCAACCAAGATCTGGACCGTTTCTATCACTTCAGAAAATTTCCTCATGCCCCTGTCCAGTCAGCCATCCCACTCCCATCAGTCAGCCACCAATCTGATGGTTATCACTACAGATGACTTTTTTCTATTCTAGACCTTCATACAAATGGAATCGTGCAGTATGTACTCTTGCATTTGGTTTCTTGTGCTTAGTCTGGTTTTGAGATTCATCCATATTGCTGTATGTATCAGCCCTTCACTCATCAGCCCTTCACTCATTCCATTGTATGAATACACGACTGTGTATCCATTCACTTGTTGATGAATATCCGGGCTGTTTCCTTTTGGGGATATAACAAATAAGTCAGCTATGAACATTTAGTGCCATGTGGAAATATGCCTAGGAGTGGACTTACAGGATCAGAGGGTGAGTGTGTGCTGAATTTCATGAGAAATTACCAAACGAGTTTTCCAAACTGGTTGTACCACATCATACACACACCAGCACTAAGTTTGTCATAATTTGTCAATACTTCAGAATTAAAAAAAAAAAAATTCTCTTGCCGTTTTAGACCCATTTTCAAAGATACTCAAGGTTCTCTGGATCTGGATGGGAGATTTTCTCCTTTGTATAAACAAGACAGTAGCAAGCTTTCAAATGAAGACATTCTCAAGTTGCTCTCAGAATACAAGAAGTAAGTGTGTTACTGTAGTAAATCAGTAAAATAGATGAATTATAATTTCTTGAAATGATGAATGTGAGTCATGCATGGGAGAAACTGAATGCTTTGGAGCATTTTTGGATTTGGAAGCATTTGGAAGCCAGTGCATTCAGTAATCATAAATTTTAAGTATAAAATATTTCTTATTTTACACCTAGGCCAGAGAAGACCAAATTGCAGATTATTCCTGGGCAGCTCAACATCACAGTAGAATGTGTTCCTGTGGATTTATCAAGTAAGAATTCACGTGTTACAAATAAACCTTAAAGGGCTATGTTTGAATCTCAAATTTTCATCTTTTTAATACATTTCTTGAGGTTTACATGGTGTATAAAGTTCCTAGGGCTGTGTTAGAAATTCCTACAAACTGGGTGGCTTAGGATGACAGATTCATTCTCTCATGGTTCTGGAAGCTAGAAGTCAAGATCAAGGTATCAGCAGGGCTGTGTTCCCTTTCAGTGCTCTAAGGAAGACTCACCAGTCATTGGATTTAGGGCCCACCCTAAACCAGTATGACCTCATCTTAACCATTTACATCTGCAAAGACCCTGTTTCCAACTGAACCAGCCAGGTGCCCCTGCAAAGACCCTATTTCCAAAAATAGTCAATTCTGAGGTTCTGGTGGCTGTGAATTTTGGGGGGACACTATTCAATCCAGTACACATGGTGAATAGTTTCAAATTAGGAAGAGTATTAAGTTGATTTTATCAGATGCTGTTTCATATATACTATCCTGTTGTGAGTGTTCCCTAGTCAGTTTCTGCTGCTTTTTGCCTTGGATAAATCCCATCAAGGGATCCAAAAAGGAGAGTTTCTTTTCCTCTCTAAAGACAAGAATCTAAAATCTCAGAAGAATGGACAGAAGACAGAAAAGACACTTTGCAGGAAATAAAATGGAGTGGCTAATAAAAACTTGAAAAATGTTCAAATCTTCATAATAATGCCACTAATGGAAATTAAAGTAGCAAGATGCTTTTGCTTCTCTGTCGCATTTACAAACATGTTTAAAGTGAAACCATCTACTGCTGGCTAGGAGTAGGAACACGATGTGGTAATTGATGTTCATAGATGTTCATAACTAAGGCATTTTGATTCGAGCTTCTCTCTATCCGTTCATTCACTGAATAAACTCTGCAATTATGGAGATTAAAGTCTAGAAGGAGTGACGGACAGTAAATAAGAAGACAAATGAGCGATTCGAGTTGGTGATTGGGGTGGGCTGCTTTAAAAAGGGTGGCCAAGGGTGGCCTTGCTCCAGCTCAGGAACTGAAGAGCGAGAAGGAGCCAGCACATGGTGGTTGGAGACGGTACATTCCAGACTGAGGGTGGTGCATACTGAATGACCGTGAGGCAGGAGCAAGCTTGGTTCATAGGAGCAGAAAGGAAGCCAGTGTGGTGTGTGATGGGAATAATGAAGATGGGAATGAAGCAGGAGAAGGTCTGCAGGAAATTGTATAGACCATGGTAACTCTTTAAAGGGTTGGATTTTATTCCATGTGCAATAAGAGGTCACTAAAGGATCATAAGCAGGGGAGTGGCATCCAACTTAAACTCCAAAACACCTAAGAGTAGAATGGATTATTTTTCCCTAAAGAAATAATTTGGAATGTAGACAGGAGTTTATGCATAAAGGTGCTCTTTTCTGTGTTGTTTATTTTGGAGGGAGATTGGAAACAACCTAAGAATCTAACACCATCGGTGTGGTTAAGGCATGACGGTACAACAGGAAACTTTATGCAGCCGTGAAAAATGATGTTTATAAAGAGTTCACAGAATAAAACATTAGATCAAATGCCAAAAACAAAAACAACAACAACAAAAAACCCAGCCCAGGATCAAGTTCTATATATATATATACAGTAGGATTTGAATATTATTATATAAAACAGGCATTGAAAGGAGATAAGAAGAAAATATGCCAAAATACTAACAGTAGTTATCTCTGGATAGTGGAGCGATCACTTGTTTCTGTGTGCCTTTACTCTCTATCTCCAGATATTCTATTGTAAGTATCACTATAATAACTGGAGAAAACCGGGGCGCCTGGATGGCTCAGTCGTTAAGCGACTGCCTTCGGCTCAGGTCATGATCCCAGGGTCCTGGGATCGAGCCCCGCATCGGACTCCCTGCTCAGCAGGAAAGCCTGCTTCTCCCTCTCCCACTCCCCCTGCTTGTGTTCCCTCTCTCGCTGTGTCTCTCTCTGTCAAATAAATAAATAAAATCTTAAAAAAAAATAATCGGAGAAAACCGAACCCAACAGAAAACACTGTGTGCTCAGGTGTAACTCTTCCTGGGTCTTCCCGCTCCATCAAAACCACAGTGCAGCAAGGACAAGCAACGTTAGAGCTCCTTTGGTATATGAATCACCTCTAGTCCCATGGTACTTCAGTAACCCTGGCCACCACACTTCTCCGAACCTTTGTGTTTTTCACCTTCAGGAGTAATGAATTTATTATTTGTAACACATCCTAAGATCTGTCATTTCCAAAGGCCTCCCATTTTTCCTAGGTGAACATTGCACCTGCACCAAGTTAACTTTTTTCAGAGTGACTATCCACGAGCTAATTGGAGGCATACATTTACTGTTAGTTCCCCGATACCAATAAAAATTTGCAGTGAAAGCTAAATTGCAGCCACAGGAGGAAAAATGTAATGGAGTTCTTTGCAGAGTTTAAATTTGTCAAAATTATGATGTGTTATATTTGGCAAATCATTCTACATTGAGAACGAGCTAGCAATCATGTCTGGTTTGGATGGTTCTACTAAAATCAGTACCAGGCTACGCCATTTTGTCCTTCTGGGTGCTTAAAATGGTTGTATGACTTTTTTGTCAATCACTAAGAATTCTGTTTGTTAAATCACTCTTTGAGAACGCGGTCCACGTATATTTTTATAAAGGCAGGAATGTGTTCGTGATTGCTAGATTGTATTATCTTTGCCTGTTTTTTTTCCTCTGGTATAGATTGTATTACTTCATCATATGTGCCCCTGAAGCCTTTTGAAAAGAATTGTCAAAATATTACTGTGGAGGTCGAAGAGTTTGTTCCAGAAATGACAAAATACTGTTATCCATTTACTATTTACAAAAACCATCTGTATGTATATCCCTTGCAATTAAAATACGATAGCCAGAAAACATTTGCCAAGGTAAGCAGTGTAAACTATACATTTTGGGGTATAAAATGCTATTTATAATTTTCTGGTTTTAGGACTCATTTTGAGTGATTAATCATTTTTAGGCAAGGAACATTGCGGTCTGTGTGGAATTCCGGGATTCAGATGAAAGCGACGCTAGCGCTCTAAAGGTTTGTTTATGATCTTGATAAGCATACACTTTTAATGTAAAGATAAATATTTTGGGGGCGCCTGGGTGGCTCAGTGGGTTGGGTGTCTGCCTTCGGCTCAGGTCATGATCCCAGGGTTCTGGGACTGAGCCCCGCGGGTGGCTCAGTCATTAAGCGTCTGCCTTCGGCTCAGGTCATGATCCCAGGGTCCTGGGATGGAGCCCCACATCGGGCTCCCTGCTCAGCGAGGAGCCTGCTTCTCCCTCTCCCTCTGCCCCTCCCCCTGATTGTGTGCGCATGCTCTCTCTCAAATAAATAAATAAATAAAATCTTTAAAAAAAAAGATAAAGATTTTGGTACTTGGTAGTTTCATAGGCTAAGTTTGATTTCTCTGAGCTCCACAAAGAAAATGTACTCGAGTGATGAAGGTAAAACTGCCTTTTCTACTCTTACACGTTAACTGTGAGGATTAAATATTTTAAAAATAACCAAATGAGGTAGGAGGGTGTGTAGCTTTAAAAATGGGTCAGCTTCATATACCAGCGTTTTGCTTTTGCTCCTCTTTGATTTTGCATTGCTCTGATGTGCCATCACAAGGTCATTTTCTCCTATGACCTGATAGTTTCTAATGGTATCATCAGGGGACCATAAACTCCTTTCTCCTTGAAACCTGAACAGGCTTTGAGCTAACAGAAGCACAGCATGACTGCTTTGATCTGAGATAGGACTTCTCCCCTGGCAGTGTCCAAATGGTGCCTCCAGACTTGGATTCGTGGTGGAGGCAAAGCAGAATCTCAGTATTCTCCGACAGAGGAATCCTTAAATACCTCTCACGTCACAGCGCCTTTATCTTTTCACTCTTGAGCGCATTAAACAGAGGCCTGAAAGAGAAGTTCCGAGAGCACCTAGCCGTCACAATTTGTTTATCTGGCCCCCTACTTCTCTAGCTTGAGCCTAAATCAGACAGATGGACAGCCAGTCCTCCATTCAGACCTCCTGGGGAAAAAGCCTGGAAGCCCCTGACTAAGTCGTTGAATGTTTAATAACCCCTACCTCAGAAAAGAGGTGTTTCGTTGTTTTTGGGTTTTTGGTGTTCTTCCCCCCCACCACCCGAGAAACCTAAGAATTAGCTGGCTCAAATTAGGTGTATTTTCTCTGATTCCCCCCTCCCTGGAGATGAGAATGACTCTTCCTTCTCCCCCATGCAATGTCCTTTTGTACCCTTAAAGATTCTTAGGTTATCCCTCTGCAGTTCCTGCAAATTGCCTCCAGAACCGTACTTAAGGAGAATTGGCGATGCATTCACATGGAGTTCTGAATTTCATTTCTTAGCTGGCCTAGAGGCTGGCTCTGAAGTAACAGGGTGAGGCAATTAGTACCTTGGCATGCTGACTCCATATTTATCCTTGAGCTTATTGGGCCTGTGGAAGTGCAAAACTCACACCAGAAATGCAATCGGATCTTTTCATGGAACCATAGAAAGCCTCGCATTTATTTTATGGGTCTCACAGAAAGCCAGTGAATTTTAAAACAGGGCTCATAAAGTGAGCGAACAGTAAGCTTGTCTGTAGCTTAGTAGACGTTCAGTTTTTAATCCCTTTAGGCTGGGAATGTGTCTGCTGTGTGCGCGAGTTTTAGCTCCTCACCTTGCCCACCGCCCAAGGAGCATCCAGCAAATGTTGCTAACTGCCTGGCGGGGAGCTTCTCAAGAAAGGCAAATAGCACGAGAGAAGTAAGCTTTCCAAATCTGGTTTCAGAATGTTCCCTTTCCAAATGATTAGCCATGTTTGACTTCTTGCTGTCAACTAATTGGGGAGTGCTTTTTTTTTTTTTTTGATGACCAGAAATTCAGAAGCATCCATGCAGCCAAGTTCCGCGATGTCTGGGGTGGTAGCTGGAGTGACTGTAAATGATTCAGAATTTACAAGCTCACGGTGAGAGCCTGGTGGGCTTGGTCATGGCCTTGGGCTCACAGATGCCTCCAACCATGTGTGGTTCCATTGCGTTATATTTAAAGGCCTTCACCGAGATGGGTGACTCCGTTTCCTTCTTTTGCAGTGTATTTACGGAAAACCCGCCGGGTCTGTTTTTACCACAAATGCTTATGCTGTTGTCTCGCATCACAACCAAAATCCAGAGTTCTATGATGAGGTGAGAAGGCATTTTTCCGATGTTCGTAAAACATGGCGGTGGCTCTTCTTTTTCTCTTCATCTCCATCATTTTCTCTGCCCTTGCAATCCCTGAACATTTTGTCCCGTGAAAATAGAAAGCGTCACACCAAGGCGAAGGGCTCGATGCCCTTTGATGACGGTGGAATGTGCCCACAAAGGGAAGGGGCTCCGGCAAGAGGTAACCACGTAGGGAACAAACGTGAGATGAGAGCTAGGATTCTAGCCTCGCCTTGACAACTGGCTCTGTGATCTTGAGCAAGCCACTTTCCCTTTCCCAAGTCTCCCATTTCCTCAGCCTTCAAAGAAGAAATTCAGAAGAGATGTTCTGAAGGCCCTTCTAGATCTTTCTTCCTGCGGTTTTGCATGGGGCTGGGGGCGCAGCCGCTCTGTAAGTGAAATGCTTTGAGAGACGCAGCAGCACGTGGGGGCCGCCAGAACCCCACTGGGTGCTCTAATGCGTCAGTGCAGTGTAGACGAAGGGGAGTGTCTCGCAAGCTCCATGCTCCCCTCCACCCCAGTCTACCTCTCGGGCCCTGCCTCTGCCTCTCTTTCCTTCTCCTTCTCTGCGTCTCTCTGTACTTGCCAGTGTCTCTCTTAGTGTCTCTGTCCCAGCCTCCTCCAGTTGGCATGTCCCTGGCTTAGCCAAATCTGCAGACTGCTTTTGATTCCTCAGTGTCTCCAGGAACCTGGATATGCATCCCAGGCCGCAAGCTTTGCTCTTTCTGCTTCTCAGGGCTCTTTGTCTGTCACCATCCCCCCTGCTGTCATGATTTTTCCCCAGGTCCACCTGCTGTCGTCAGGAGGCTTTGCACCCCAGCTTGAGGCCTCCTCCCTTTCTCCATCCAATGCTCTTGGTGGTGTGGGGGATGGGGAGGAGCATAGCGGTGCCTTGCGGTTTTGCCCCCCAGAGAGAGAGTGTGCCCATATTTATGTGCAGCAGAGCATTAGATACCCAGATGGTCTGGCTGCTATGAATAGGCATGTTCTGTGGTGAAATATACCTACAACAGAAATTAGTTCTAACACCAAAACCCTGCCTTGCGTGAATGATGATGAGGCCAGATGTCCAGCACCAAGCTGTTTTAATATGTCCCCCTCTCTCATCGACACCAGTCACTCCAGAAAACTCGATCGTTTAGCAAGTAATCCGCATTATTTTTAGGGCGCCCGAAAGAAACAGGTTTTTCAGTCGTTTCAGTCTCTATTGACCAAGACAGCGAGAGATTGAGAGAGATTGCATGTGTTTTTGTGCAGGTGTATGCACACGTGTCCAATCAATTAAATCTGTGATGTGTCTCTTATATACTTCCAGGAGGCGGTAAAGACATTTGGTTGGGTCCTGATTGGAAAATCACTTGAGATGCTTGTACTGAAGTGTTAATTTCTAGGATTAAATTCATGTGCCAAGGGTGACGATTTTTATTTCTTTATTCAAGAGTAATCTTGTGTTTTCCTTCAAAAGATATTTATATGAACTGTAATTGGTGGATACCATAATACCATAGTGACTTTTTGCACATTTATTTGCAAAGCTTAATTTTTTTTTTCCATGCAAAGGAAAGCAACAGTTTAGAAAAAAGAAACCTTTCAAACTCAGTACACATTTTAGATGGATTGCATTCACTGACTCAGATCGAGTTACATAGTATCTCTGGGCTGTGAGGCTGTGGTTTTGATCCAGTGTTTTAGAAAATCCTGCTGCAAAGTTGCATCCAGGAGAATCCACTGGACTCTCCAGCACAAGTCATAAATCAGCCCTCACTACCCAGGAGACTATTGTTGTCAAATTGAAACTGACTGGAAAAGCCTTTAGAGTATATTTAAATGATACCTATTACTTGAGGACTTGGCTTGTTGTTGAGAAAAAATATGTCATTGGAAAAGTATGATGAAATTGAACTAAAGGTCTGACTGTCCAGCTTGACAATGAAAACAAAACAAAATGCGATGTGTGATTTTGCTGTCATTTCAGATTAAAATCGAGCTTCCCATTCACCTGCATCAAAAACATCATTTGCTTTTTACTTTTTATCATGTGAGTTGTGAAATTAATACAAAGGGAACAACCAAAAAGCAAGACACAGTTGAAACTCCAGGTACGTGTACTCTTTCAAAGTCTCTTTCTACAGCTATTTGAGATGGAATTGTCTAGAATGTAACCTCTTTTCCTCAAGCTGCAAACCACTTCTTCCCCTCACCAAAATGTACATTTCTGAGTTAAAAAGTTCACTGGTGAAAGATGAATTATAGGTTCATTTGACCATCATTTCTTTTTTTTTTTTAAAGATTTTATTTATTTATTTGACGAGAGAGAGACAGTGAGAGAGGGAACACAAGCAGGGGGGAGTGGGAGAAGGAGAAGCAGGCTTCCCGCTGAGCAGGGAGCCTGATGTGGGGCCCGATCCCAGGACCCTGGGATCAAGACCTGAGCCGAAGGCAGACGCTTAATGACTGAGCCACCCAGGCGCCCCGACCATCATTTCTTTTAAGTAGAATGGCCCAGCAACCAGAACTTTCCAGTCTGTCTCGCTAAGGAAGTAGGAAGTAAGCCCAGAGCCCAGGGGTATATTTGAGCCTGAGGGAGATTGGGGACCCACCTGGTTCTAGTGAGAACAGAACAGATTTAATGAATCGGAATAAACGCTAGTAGTGAAGGGCCAGTCCTGGTCCCATCCAGCAAAGCTTTAGATAAACCAGTGGGAAGCATCCTTTAGGAGAACACAGAAGCCCTATAAACATTGTGTGTGTCACCGCCACTAGATAAATGTCAGGAGGCCCTGGGATTCAGATCCAAGCTAGCCTGGATCAGTCTGAAATTCATTCATTCATTCATTCATTCATTCATTCATTCATTCATTCCTGCATTCATTCATTCACCAAATAAGTCTGCATATTTCTTATGTATGAGACATTATGATAAGTACTAAGGAGAATACAGTGGAGACTCAAACATAGATCTCATCTTCAGTGAGCCTATGGTCTAGCAGGGGAAATGAGATCTATAAGACAACCATCAGACAAGATAGAAAGTAGTAGCTACCAAGAAAGCGGTACTGTATAATCTCCGGGAAGAGTGAGTTATTACTTCGACTGGTTGGAGGGACAAGTGGCTGGGAATCTGGGAAGGCTCCCAGGAGGAGATGGGGTTTGGGGTGAGGCCTTAAACGGGCTAAGTAGAGTTTGACAATGCAGTGATGGCAGGAAGGTAGATTCCAGGATAACGGAAGAGCTTGTCCAGAGGCCGAGTGTTGAGGGATATGGACAGGGAACCACGCGTAAGTTCAGTAGGACCATAGCACCAGGTGTTGGGAGGGGAATCAACAGGACGTCAGGTTGAAAAGGAGGCACCAGATCATGGAAAGCCTTGAATGCCAGGCTGTGGATTTGACTGTATTCTGTCACCAGCATGGAACTATCGAAGGGCTGTAAACACCGGTAAGAGCTCTTCCGCCGGCAGCGATGAGATGGCGGAGGGCGTTGGAGTGAGAAAGAAGGAAGAAACGCCAGTTAGGGGTTACTTCAGAGGTCCAGGGGGAAAGGGGGCCACCCTACGGCAGTAGCCAGGGGATGGAGAGAAAGGGACTGCAGAAGAAGAATATATCGGGTCTGACAAATGGTTGGTAACTAGAGAGAGAATTCAGAGTTAGCAGTGAAGCTTCAACACTGGAAAGAAGGAACTTGCAAGTAGCAAAATCACAGGGTAGTGGGGAATCATAGGTTTTGGACTGATGTTGAGTTTGAGGTGCCGGTGAGACATCTGAGTGAAGCCCGCCAGGCAGCCAGACTGAAGTAGTAGAAAGTTGCCCTTATGGATCGTGTGGTCCTGTTCTCTGTCTCCACAGGAATTGCAGTTTGTTCAGGGCAAGGGACCGCGAGGGTTGAGAAGAAATCTGGCAGAACAATAGGAACTCAAGACCGTGCACGTCCTAAAGGACACATTACTCTTTCCTTATTTAAATCCTAGACTGAAGGGGGCAAAGGGCTCGGTGGAGCACAAGATGGTTATTCCGTGGGCCACTCTTCGCTTTGAACTGTCCATCCTTAAGTGGCTTCACATCCCTGAGCCAGATGGCGTGTGCTCGACACTGTACCTTCTCAGCTTCCAAGTGCTCTGTATGAGTTTTGACTGAGAGACACCCTTGGCCACGCTCTGATTAATTCATAGTGCAAAAATGTTGCCTAAGCAATTCCATAGAGACAGAAAGTAGACTAGCAGTTGCCAGGGACTGGGGGAAAGGAGAAATAGGGAGTGACTTCTAAGGGGTGTGGAGGTTCTTTTGTGGCGTGATGGAAGAGTTCTGGAATTAGATCGTAGCAGTGGATGCCCAGCTTTGTGAATATGCTAAAAACTGTTGAAGGGTGCACTTTTAAATAGACGAACTGTATGGTATCTGAATTCTATCTCAATAAACATGTCTGTGGGGAAAAATTTCAACCAAGAACAAGAAATAGATTTTCCTATTTTTCTGGACTGGAAACCTTCGGTCTTGTGTCTGCTTTTTCAGTTGACTACTCTGACAGAGTCCTTTCGAATGGTTCCCGTGCTCACGTTACTTTCCTCTGCTCTTTATAAGAGAAGAGCTCTGGGTAAACCATTTCTTTTTTTTTTTTTTTTTAAGATTTTATTTATTTATTTGAGACAGAGAGAATGAGAGAGAGAGAGAGCACATGAGAGGGGGGAGGGTCAGAGGGAGAAGCAGGCTCCCTGCCGAGCAGGGAGCCCGATGCGGGACTCGATCCCGGGACTCCAGGATCATGACCTGAGCCGAAGGCAGTCGCTTAACCCACTGAGCCACCCAGGCGCCCTGGGTAAACGATTTCTGAAGTTGTGCTAGTAAAGATGCCCTTCAGACGTGTTTCGGAGTCTGAGAAAGCCATTTAGTCTCCTTAGAGAAAGCAACATATTTGTCTTCTTTGAAGAATTAAAGCATTTGCCAAATTAAACACGTGCATGAAAACATTCTAACCAGATTTGTGTTGACTTCTGTGTTCGCAGTATAAACATACACACTCACGCAAAGAATTTTCAAGAATCAGAAGGCAGTGGCTTTCAAAAAGGGCTCTCCAGCCAACATCCTCGCTCATGTGCCAAACCTTGGTCCCGAGCAAGCTTTTTTTACAGCTGAGATACAAACACTTGAAGTCCAGAGTAAGCTCTATAATGGAAATAATGACACTACTCAACCTGAGGAATACAGATGGCTCAGGCTTTTTTAGCTGGAACATGATGAGTTTTCTAATAGAAATCCAAGAGGCTCTTTTGAGCAGAACTTTTAGGAAATACAGAGACGGGGGGAAATCTCTCAGTGGATTCGAGTCGTAAACACTATGGCCCGTCTGCATTCTGCTACTACACCTCGTCCTTCTGTAATCAGGAAAACCTGCCCAGCTGAACACTGCCTTGTATGAATATGGGCTGTGACCTTGACTTGTGACCTTAATTTTTCATAGTCCCTCACCGTCGGGTTGCTGAAAGAAAATCTGCAACATGCTGATTGCTGGCTGAGATTGTCCCAGACCCGAGACTCTGTGCTCTCACTAGGGATGGATGAGGGAGCTCTGACTCTTAAAAAATAAGTCTACCACAATTCATCCCCCAAAGGGTAAAGATAATGGTACTGATGCACTTTAAAATTTTTTTAAGTATTCTCCTGTATTATCTCTCTTTGGTCTCTCAGTAACTAGTAGGCGGAAAGACTATGTGTCGTTCCCAATTTATAGTCCAGGAAGTTGAGTAGAGAACTCATTAGTGGCCAGGCTGTGATTAGGAAGCCATCCAAATGCATTGTTCCTTCCCCAGGATTCAGATGCCCACCCGCGTGGACTCCCCCATACAGACCCCTGGAAACATTGCCACCCCGCCCTGTTCCCCAGCATTCAGAGATCTGTGTAGCTAATTGCACTTGCAGTTTCATCTCTCACGGTTGATTATTGTCTTGGCAGTTGGCTTTGCCTGGGTACCTTTGCTGAAGGATGGTAGAATCATTACATTTGAGCAGCAGCTGCCAGTTTCCGCCAATCTTCCTCCGGGCTACTTGAATCTGAATGATGCAGAATCAAGAAGGGTAGGAAAATCACTGCGTTTGTTGAAGGGATCACGATGAAACGTTTAAAAAGTAGAATTCGCTCTTCTGGTGGATAGCTTCACAAAGTCCGGTCTGAGGACCAGTCCACAAGAAAGCTAAGTATGGAAAGTGAGCGCTGGAAAACTTTGGAGAGCAGTTTGACCAAGTTACCTCATGTCTGTTGATTCTTTTTTTTTTTTTTTTTTTTAAGATTTTATTTTTAAGTAATCCCTCCACCCAACGCGGGGCTCGAACTCACGACCCTGAGACCAAGAGTCCGCATGCTCTTCTGACTGAGCCAGCCAGGCACCCCTCGTGTCTGTTATACTAATAACAGTTTTACAAGCTGAGGCTTGGATTTTGTGCATCGTTGTTAAAAATGCATTTATTTAGTAATTCATTTTTATTGTACTTTATGAAAGTTCAGCCGGCAAAGCACTGGAAATTGAAAATGATCTAGGAGCCGTTTATTCTCAAGGCAGGTTATTGTCTCCAATAGTTCCCTATGTGTGACACAAACACATTTGTTTCTGGGGTTAAAAAAAAAAAAAGGGAAAAAGTTGAAATGTGTAAAGGTGTCATGTGTCGCTCATCTATTCATAGGTATGTTATAGAAACTCCTATCTATTTTCCGTCCACAGCAATCTAATGTGGATATTAAGTGGGTAGACGGTGCAAAGCCTTTGTTGAAGATTAAAAGCCACTTAGAGTCTACGATTTATACTCAAGTAAGTTGCATCATGTGAATTTTGTCAATTTTGATATTTGAGTCTTTAAGTTTGTTTATTTTTGAGTAATCTCCACACCCAGCATGGGGCTTGAACTCACGACCCCGAGGTCAAGCGTCGCATGCTCTTCCAACTGCGCCAGCCAGGTGCCCCCGATTCTATTTCTTGTTTAGAATAGACTATATTTGATTCCTGCGGCTTTAGAGAGATTGTGACCTCAAAGGCTTTCTCATTAGTAATAACATCATTCTTAATAGCAGTAACTCAGATTTTATAATCCCTTTCAAATCCCCGAATCCCTTTGTTCCCATTAATGGATTCAAGCCTCACAAAAGTCTGAAAGGATTGTGGAGGCCCTTATCACCTCTTTAAAAAAATAAATTTTAGTTTTTGGAACAGTTTGGGATTTACAGAAAAATAGGACAATACAGAGAATTCCCATATACCCTGTACCTTGTTTCCCTGTTATTTTTTAAAAAGATTTTATTTATTTAGAGAGAGAGAGCACAAGCCGGGGGAGGGACAGAGGGCAGAGGGAGAAGCAGGCTCCCCACTGAGCGGGGAGCCCGACCCAGGGCTCGATCCCAGGACCCTGAGATCGTGACCTGAGCCGAAGGCAGACGCTCAACGAACTGATCCACTGAGGCGCCCCACCTAGTTTCCCTGTTATTAACCCCTTACATTCATTAGTATGACACGTTTGTTATAATTAATGAACCAGTAGTGATACATAATCAATGACTAAGGTTTGTATTTACTCAGATTTCCTTAGTTTTTACCTATTAATGACATTTTTCTGTTCCACGATTCTATCCAGGATAGCATATTACATGTAGTTGTTCCATCTTCTTAGACTCCTCTTGGCTGTGACAAGTTCTCAGACATTCATTGTTTTTGATGACCTTGTCCATCTTCATGAGTAGTGATATTGGGTAGGCTGCCCTTCTGTTGGAATTTGTCTGATGTTTTTCTCACCGTTAGACCGGAGTCAAACCCAGAAATTTGAAGTCAGTGGATCATGGATGACTAGTACAGTTTACTCTTAGCCTTATCAGCCATGCAGTTAGAGTCAGATGTCTGTTGGAAGGCTCAAGCGACCATTCAAAAAATCACCGATGGACAAGAGGCAGTCCACGTTCCTTGGTGTGGCCCCCCTGCCCACTTCACCATTCCATGGATGGAGAAACCGAAACTTGGTCGGGTTAGATGACTGACCCAAGGTCACACAGATACTAATTAGAAGAAGCAGGTCAAAATCCAAATCTTATTATCCCAGTTCCCGATACGGTACGCACTGTCCACAGAGCCTGCGTATGATATATAGATTCCATATAGGCCAGCTGGACACTCGCCAGCCAAGTGCCATGGTAAGTTGAACATTGAATGCCTGAGACTTGTCTGGTAGCTCCCTGCTGCTCCCTTTCCTTCGTCTGTCAGTCCAGACCTCTATTCCTACTCATTTCATTAAAAATGTAGAAGCAGCCCAACTTCAGAGGCTACACCCGTCAAAAAAGGAATTAAACGAAGGTTTGACTAGTCACGCAAAAACTGTGGCTTGCCCGGTATGCTTAGGCACATGCTCACTTTGCCTGGTTTTGCTGCTTTGTGTGATGGTCCAGGGGACTAAGGGACGCGGACACAGATGTTGGTACCTGCAGCAGCCGGGGCTGGGTGCTTTGGAGACCCTGGTGGGTAGGTTTGCAAGATGAGGGCAGAAGGAGCGCTAGAGAGCCTGCGTCTGAGGGTGAGGAATCACATTTCATATGGCCGTGTCCATCTGTTTTTCAGGATCTCCATGTGCACAAATTCTTCCATCATTGCCAGCTGATTCTGTCAGGCTCGAAAGAGGTTCCGGGGGAGCTCATTAAATATTTAAAGGTAAATGAACAGCAGCTTTCTGCAAAAAGGGTTGGTTTTAGTGTCTTTCTTGTTGCCACCTTTTGATTGGGGGCGGGGATCAAACTAACTCCTTAAAATCCTTTGGGCTGTGTACCCTCAAGAGAATATTTTCTTTTATGTGCTTTTCTGTCAAGTGCCTATTTAGGAGCAGACCGCAGAGTTGCTACATTAGGAAGAAAATGTTGTAGCTAGAATCTGTCGACATATTTCTGAAAATCTCATGAAAATGTTTATTTCAGTTCCATAAATTGACTTTTTCAGGTCTTTTCTCTTCCTGCTTACTGCCCAGGAAAGGTGCTGAGGGGAAAAGGGTCAGGAGAAATGGAGTCCCTTTTGCTTGGAATAAAATGACGATTCCTGGGTCTATGGGTGAAAGATTATCAAAGGGGTCAACTAAAGACAGAAAAACCTCGGTTCTGCATGTTGCATGGAAGAGTCTTAAGAAACACCACATTTTGTCCAATGTATTGAGAACCCAAGACTCCCATTTATTGCCTAACATGGTAGGACCAAATTGCACATCACGGGACCTAGCTGACAGCGACTCTCCTTTTGGTTGCTCCTTCGGTAGGTCAGCCATGGCAAGCCTGAGGAATTTTTATTTTATTTTATTTTATTTATTTTTTATGAGACTCTTTTAAAGATTTTATTTATTTGTCAGAGAGAGAGATACAGAGCAGGAGCAGGGGGAGTGGTAGACAGAGGGAGAAGCAGACTCCCTGCTGAGCAGGGAGCCCAATGCGGGGCTCAATCCCAGGACCCTGAGATCACAACCTGAGCCAAAGGCAGACGCTTCACCGACTGAGCCACCCAGGCGTCCCAGGAATTATTTTATTTTATTTTATTTTAAAGATTTTATTTATTTGACAGAGAAAGACACAGCGAGAGAGGGAACACAAGCAGGGGGAGTGGGAGAAGGAGAAGCAGACTCCCCACGGAGCAGGGAACCCAATGCAGGGCAGGGCTTGATCCCAGGACCCTGGGACCATGACCTGAGCCGAAAGCAGACGCTTAATGACTGAGCCACCCAGGCACCCCAGGAATTTTTATTTTAAGTGAAATCTCTACAGGATTTCCCTTTGGACACATGTTACTACTTAATGCCATTCTCAGGAAATAAAAACGTGCATTTCTTTCAGAGAGGTAGTAGGAGATGAGATAATACGGATGGGTTCTGGAATCATTCACCCAGTGTGTGTCCCAGACCTGTCCCTTATTGGCCCTGGGATTGACCTTGGCCAAGTTCCTGAACTACTCCAAGCCTTTGTTTCTTCATCTGTCACATAGAGATAACCAGCAACGCCACCTTGTTAGGGTGGTTTTGAAGCTTAAGTGAGATAGGGCATCTACTATAGAGTATAGTAATCCTTGAGTCTACACTGAATTCTTGAGGCTTTCTATGGGCCAGGCATCATTCTAAGTGTTTGGAATATAAATGAAGAAAACAGACAACATCCCCATTGTCGAGGGGCTTACTTTCTTGTGGAGGCAGATGAACAATAAACAAAGAAATGAATATATATATTCATTCAGGTGGTGATAAGTGCCACAAAGGAACCCCTAACATATTGAAGAGGAATAAAGATTCTAAGGGGTCCCTCTTCTAGATAAAGTGTCAGAGAAGATCTCTGGTAAAGTGACACTTGCCAGAGACCTAAGGGAAATGAGGGCGCCAGCTAGGTGGACTTCTGAGCCAGCTGGGAGCAGCAGGTGCAAAGACCCCAAGGAGCTAGTTGGGGAAGGCCTCATACGCCATGATGAGGAGTTTGAATTATACCCTCAATGAGCTGGGAAGCCTTGCAGGGTGCTGAACAGAGGAGCCACATGATGGGCTTTGGGTTTTTAAAGCCTCATTCTAGGGCGCCTGGGTGGCTCAGTAGTTAAGTGTCTGCCTTCAGGTCGGGTCATGATCTCAGGGTCCTGGGATCGAGCCCCGCATCGGGATCCCTGCTAAACTGGGGAGCCTGCTTCTCCCTCTCCCACTCCCCCTGCTTGTGTTCCCTCTCTCGCTGTGTCTCTCTCTGTCAAATAAATAAGTAAAATCTTTAAAAAATAATAATAAAGCCTCGTTCCGCCTACCATATTGAGCATATACTGTTGGAAGGATAAAAGCAGGGGGATAGTTGATAAATGGTGACTGTTATTCTTAATTATTATTAAGAAGTCTAACAGTCCTCTACCTCTCAAATCCTTTCCTTGGGTAATGTCTAGAATGCCAGGTTTATGTGTGTATGCTGAGCCTGTTAAATTCTTTGGCTTTTCTTCCAGTGGGGAAGCTTTGTAAAAGTTTTAACAGAATGGAATAGAGCAGAGCTTCATTTTCAAATATACTGGTAGTCTTAAAATGGAGAAAAAAAAAGTACTCCTTTTTGTGTGGAAGTGAGGGTGTGGAAATTTCTGATATTTATGTGACCTTTGCTCGCCCTCTAGTGGCAGCGAGTGAAATGCTGTACGATTACAGAAACAGCCCAGTTCCTGTAGGGACTGTTAGCCCTGAAAGGGAGTCTTGAGAGTTTTTATTTTACGGATAAGGAGACTGAAGCCCAAGTAGAAGGGACTTGCCTGTGGTCGCTCACCTGGTAAGGAGCAGAGCTGAGCTGAGCCGAGCCTGTGGCGTGTGTCTCTTGACTCCTGGTCCCATGTTCTTTCTACCAAACCGTGTTATTTGTTGACCCCATAAATGACATTGTTTCACCAATTCACTTGCCACCTGCTTGTTGGGCTTTTATTATGTATGTAGTATTTTCCCAGATGCTGCGAGGCTTGCAGAGAAGAATAACTTAGGGTCATTGCCCATGAGGATCTTAAAACCAGTCAGAGAGACAGGACACATACGAGTCGAATGACAATGTAAGTGAGCAGTACCAATATGTGATAGATAGCAAATGCACGATCCAGGTTATAGTGCTAAGGGTCCAGGGAACCAAGGAACCCCTGAGACTAGAAGCCTCCCATCTTTATCTTAATGCTTCGGTTCCTTATTTTATTCGTTGATACAGTCATTCGCCAAATACTTACTGGGCACCTCGTATGGACCAGATAGTGCGGTGGGCACTAGGAATATGACGGGGAAGCAATTCAGACTACATCCCTGCTCTCGCTGGGGTAGAGAGGGTATAAATGAGTAATTTTTTTAAAAGATTTTTATTTATTTTTTAGAGAGCGAGAGAGAAACAGCATGAGAGGAGCAAGGGTCAGAGGGAGAAGCAGGCTCCCCGCTGAGCCGGGAGCCCGATGTGGGACTCGATCCCAGGATCCTGGGATCATGACCTGAGCTGAAGGCAGACGCTTAACCATCTGAGCCACCCAGGCGCCCTATAAATGAGTAATTTGAGGTCAAGATGAATGTTGCGGAGAAAATAGAACAGATGAATGGGATCCGACATGACAGGAGTGCGTTCTAGATGGAGTTGTCAGGGAAGGCTATCTGAGCAGATGATGCATCAAGCCGAAAAGAAATTGATGAGAGGAAAATGAGCGTAGGGGCTAAAGCTGTGGCAAAGGAGGACAGATGATTGCAGCAGGCGTAAACACCTTGCGACGGTGTTAGAAGGACGGAAAAGAAGAAGTGCAGTGAGCAGCTGCGGGGTGGGGGGGAGGTGGCATGAGATGAGCTTGGAGAGGGAGGTGGGGTACATGTAGGCATGGGAAGCCCTTGACAGCCTTTTGTTCATGGTGGTTTGTTTGGTCGGTAACAAGGGGGAGGAAGAACACTCTAGCTGTTGTGCTGAGAGTAAATTAACCGAGGAGCGATACTGGATCAGTTTTGCCTTGAATGCCCATCTCTCTTTTCTGCCTGCTATTATCCCACTTTGCCTTTCACCTGCCTCCTCTCTGAAGCCTTATTGGACATCCTCTGCCCACGTGAGGACTCAGTTGCTTCTTCCTTCGTGCATTTTGTACATACCCCATTTGTGTTGTAGATTTAGTCCCAGGTCTTTCTCCCCATAGACTCTGAACGGCTTGATGGGAGGAACCAGGTGTTTCTGATGTGCTTGGCCCTTGGAGGGTCATTCAGTATGCCTTTGTCGAATGAGTAGGGGTTTCAACTTGACTTGGAAGGATGGCTAGGATGCGGCTAAAAACCGAACAAATACACAAAGGTGGGAATGCATAAGATATACTGCCAGAGCAGTCAAGGCACCTGTTTGGCCTTATGAAGAATGAAGAGTGTTACAACTGGAAATCTAGGTTGGGTCTTAAGTAATCTTGGACCGTAGGCCCGAGTTTCTCAAGCTTGGCACTGTTGACATTTTGGACAGGTCAGTTTCTCTGTGGTAAGTGGCTGTCCAGTGCATGGTAGGACGTTTAGCAGCATCCCTGACCTCTATCCACTAGGTGTCAGGAGCACCCCCAGTTGTGACAACCCCCAGTGTCTCCAGACATTGGGGGATGTCCCGTGGGGGACAAAGTGGCCCGTGGTTGAGAGCCGCAGGCATTTTGGCAGGAGGTGGTCTGATGGAACCAAATCGGAGGGAGATGAATTTGGAAATGAGACGTGGATGTGGAGAGTTAAGACGACCTGCACAGAGACCGACTATGAAATGATTAGACGATTTGGGTTATAGGTTAAGAGGGGTGATGGCAGTAAGGCAAGAAGAAAGGGAGCAAAAGGAAGGAAAAACTCGAAGGATAGACATGGGTTCCTTGAGCTCGATCTCTTGCCTTATGCATCTGACTGAAGAGACTCTGCCCAGAACTAAGAGGTCACGGCTGAGATGCTTCGCATATAGATGATAGTGTCCTGAAAAGGGATGATGAGGCTAAGGATGGAGAGACAGAGCAAAAGAGAAATACTGAGCTCCTTAGGTCCAGAGACTTGTCTCCTCCGTCTCTGCATTTCCCATCACAATGAACCGTGAACTGGTGTACAAGGTGCCCAGTGAGACTTGTTTTCACCTTTTGGTTGGCTGGTTGATGAAATGATTGAGTGAATGCCTGAGTGAAGGAGGGGAGGTGGGGAGAAGGGAAGGAAGAAGAAAGACATTTTACAGCTGTTGCTGCTCATCTCATTGCTACAGACATACGAACACATTTCTGCTTTGTGCTGTTGACGTATCTATGGCTAGAGACAGGGTGTTAGCACTTGCAAGAAATGTACTGTAGGGATGTTTGAATGCAGTGCTGCCCCCGTTTTGTGGGTGGTGCCAGTGTGAAGCCAGTTACGGAGACCGACTGGTTATAAGTTAAGAGGGGTGATGCTCTTTACTGCATCCCATTTACCTTCTCAGCAGATTAACGGATGGCCCACGTTCTGTAGAACACACTCCAGCAGGCCAGTCTCCAGAACCTTCACACACATCTGCTCTCCCACTCCAGTGGAGTGCTGGTTTACCAGCAATCAGTTGTCTTGATTCCAAAACCCCTTTATCCCAGTTACACTTTTTATCTTCGGTAGATAAAGTGTTTAATGTGAAATACACAAACAAAATCTGAGTGCCAAAATAGAGATGTGGATAAAGGAATCAACAAAACAAAGTCCCCTGTCTTATGAAGCTCACATCGAAGTGGGCTTATATTCGAGTGAATGTATTTCTCATTACTTAATTTTTTTGTTGTTTCACATTTGCAAGTTATATCATATTTCTGTTTGTTTTCATAACTAATAATGACTTATTTTAGTGTTTGCATGCCATGGAGATCCAAGTCATGATACAGTTTCTACCTGTAATTCTTATGCAACTCTTCCGGGTTCTCACAAATATGACCCACGAAGATGACGTTCCTATCAACTGCACCATGTGAGTTTCGGTGTTAAAATACAAAGACACAACTTTTGTTTCTTTTTGTGTTTCTTCATTTTCACTATAAATTTATCTTCCAGACGAGAACCCAAAAGTCAGATATCTAATATCCATTTTCTCTTGTTTCATGCTTTTCAGACTGGGGTCATGTATTGCCAGGGATAGATGGTACCAGAAACCATAGGAGAAACTTAATGTGTTTTCCTCCACCAGGGGTTCTAAAACCTGACTGCATGTTAGAATCACCCGGGGAGCTTTTAAAGAGGTCTGTGCCCAGACCACATTCATACCAATGAAACCAGAATATCTAGGGGTGGAACTTCAGCATCAGTATTTATTTATTTTTTTAAGCTATCCAGGTGATTCCATAATGCAACAGAGTTTGAGAACCATTGCCCTAGACCAGTGTTGTCCGATAGAACTTTCTCCAATCGTGGAATTGTTCTACACTTGTGCTGCCCAATATGGTGGCCATTAGCCACATTTAGCTTTTGAGCACTTGAAATAGGGCTAGTGCAGCTGGGGAACTGAACTTTTCACTGTTGTCGATTTTCATTAAATAGCCACAGGTGCCTAGTGGCTCTCATGTTGGACAGAGTCACCCTAAGCCATGAATTTTCACTCAAAAACAGTGAGGGACTATTACTTTTATAGAAACAAACAAGGATATATGGTAGAGTAGAAGGCAAAATGCACTGAATTTTGCAATTAAAATAGGATACTTAAAAGCATTGAGAGCTCAGTGCTGGATGTTTCTGGCTTTGCTGCTTCTACTGTTGCCACGCCCTCTCCGGCTGGGCCTTAAGCGACACCCCTGCGCACCTGTTTGTTCTACTCTGCTGTTGGGGACAGTCTGCTCAAAAATTTACAAAGCATCAGTATCACCTGGGAGCTGATGAAACATGCTGGTCGTTGAACTTCACCCCAGACCTCAAAAATCAGAACCTCTGGGAGAGCGGCCCAGCCTTCTGCCCTCTGGGTGATTCCGATGCGTGATCATGTTTGAGAACCACTGCCAGTCTCGTATGTGAATTTTAGATTTACTGCCAATCGCAGGTCACGCCATTATACCCGTCCTGTCTCTCTCTTCCTTTTCCCCCATCTGTAGATGTGCTTTCCATTTTTTCTTTATCTTTCTCTTTCCTTTCCTTTTACTCACTGGAGGGGATTTCAGTATTTACCCCACTGGAGGTCTTTTGCCCCGTAGTAGCCGTGACCCTACTTGAAACGTGCACAGAGATTTAGAGCTGGGCTGCCAAAACGTAATAGCCTTCTTTTGAACCGGGAAGTGTTTTTGCAAGGCCCTGAGCATGTTAGGTGCGGAAATCTTGTTAGACAATCTTATTATATTTTCTGCAATCCTCTCACTTTTAACACTTCAGGTAGTGTGGGGGTATTTTTAGGGCTAGACAGTGCAACTGTGGAAATTCACCATAGCCTGACACGCTGCCCTTTGCGATTGTGTTTTCAGGGTTCTCTTACATATCGTTTCGAAGTGCCATGAAGAAGGCTTGGATAATTATTTAAGATCCTTCATCAAGGTTTGTGGAGGAAGCTTTCTTTGGGAGCAGTTTCTTTTCCTTGAGAATTTTGACTGATGGTTCCTTTTCCTTCGTTTGTAGTATAGCTTCCGACCTGAAAAACCAAGTGCCCCTCAGGCCCAGCTGATACACGAAACCCTGGCTACCACAATGATTGCCATATTGAAACAGTCTGCTGACTTTTTAGCAATAAACAAACTGCTAAAGGTAAGGAAACGGGACACAACAGGGTAACAAAAGCAGCCGGAGATGTACTCGCTTGATACCCTCCCACTTGGGTTCTGGTCTTTTTGTCATTTGCCCCCTTTCTTTACCACTCTGCTCATGTATCCTTTTCCCTCACGCTTTCCACAGAACCTTCTTCATTCTCTTCACCCTTCCAACCCCTCCCCCCCCCCCCCCCCGTTCTCAGTTAAATGTGTAATAGAAAGAATTGTGTAAAGGAAAGACCTGGGTGAGAATCCGCCACCTAGTAGTTCTGTGATCTGGAGCCTGTTATCGACCGGCTCTGGGCATCCAATTCCTCACTTCTAAAATATAACTAAAGCATTTAACACGTCGTTTCTGGCACATAGGCGTTCAAGTGGTGGCTCTTATTTTTGTCATGATTTTTACTATTTCTGGTAATGGTAGAATTTCAGTTTCAGACACCAGAGGATATATCTGCTGGAGGCTTCTCTCTACCTTTCAAATAGACTTAGGCAAACACCTGTGCTCCTTGGGCTGGCCCCAGTGATGTACCAAGGGCAAGGTTGGGTCCCTCACTGGGTGCAGACACTAGTAAGATTCATTGCCTGTAGAGAATTGAAAAGCAACCATAAAATAAAAGTTGGTTTGCCGTCAGCACCATATGTAAGCAAATCAAAACAATGTCAGTGATAAAATGCACCTCCCCACAGAGTGGAGCATTCCCACCACAGGCTCCTTGTACCTTAGCAGCCGGCCCTGAGGTACAATATTACCTTTTTGGCAATGCAATTTAAAGGTATTTTGTGGAACTTCGATAGTGAATTGCAATCACTTTTAAAATGTTGTTAAAGTTCAGAGATAAGATCCATATTGATTTGTCCAGCTTTGCTAAGCTTCAGGATTTGGATAACTATTAAAAATTGATTTTATTTATTTGTTTGTTTATTTTAGTACTCATGGGTTTTTTTTGAAATTATTGCAAAGTCTATGGCCACATACTTGTTGGAAGAGAATAAAATTAAGGTAAGTAGGCTCAAGAATAATATTTAACATAGGCAAAGAAGGCTAATCTTACTCATAGGTAGCAGTGACATGCAAATCCTCTTATACTAAAGGGCCCTTAGCCCTTCGCTTTTTCAATTTTGCCTTTAAAAAAAAGCGTTAAATGTATTGCATAAATCTGAGGTCTGACAGTTTATGCATTTTCAAAGTCCTCGGAGACTCTTGGACATACCTTCTTTCCTATTAGTTATTTGCCATGTAAAATGCATTTTCTTTGAAGCTTTCCCCTTATCTTGTAGCTTAAACATGTCTGTGTTGAAACATTTTCTTGGTTATAGGAATTCTAGAGTTCAGATTTGTGAAGTGGAAGACAGTCACCTTGTATTTACCATTTTTACAGACTTTTCAGAGTAGGTTTACCGAAATAGAGATGCATGGATACATGAATTCTTTGTGTGTCAGGGAAAAAAAAATGGAATGAAAGCCTGGGGTGTGTCTGCATCTCAGGAACATGATTCCAAAGTTGGCTTGTTGATGATTTCAGTCAGTTATATTATTCGAGGTCCAGATAGTTCCTATGATAATCTGAAGTGTACATTGAACTAGCAATGTCATTTTTAAGTTGGGAGAAAAGTTCTACTCCAGTTGAACACATTTATGTCTAGAAAGTGTTTGAAAATAAGAATGGCAATCGATTTAGACCTTTTGCGACTCTGACTTTTTGCTATGCCTATTTAATTTAAGCTTCCCAGAGGCCAGAGATTTCCAGAGACATATCATCATGTCTTACATTCGTTGCTTCTCGCAATAATTCCCCACGTGACTATTCGCTATGCCGAGATTCCCGATGAGTCCCGAAATGTCAATTATAGTTTGGCTAGCTTCCTGAAGGTGAGTTAAAAGCAGCCGGAACGTGGTAAGGAATTATTCTTCATCAATATGGTCTTTAAAGCCAAAGAAAAAAATTGCCCACTTTCTAGAGACTCAGCTAGGTCTGCATAAGAAAACTTTTTTTTTTTTAAAGATTTTATTTATTTATTTGAGACAGAGAGAATGAGAAAGAGAGAGCACATGAGAGGGGGCAGGGTCAGAGGCAGAAGCAGGCTCCCCGCTGAGCAGGGAGCCCGATGCGGGACTCGATCCAGGGACTCCAGGATCATGACCTGAGCCAAAGGCAGTCGCTTAACCAATTGAGCCACCCAGGCACCCAAGAAAACTTTTTTTTAAGATTTTACTTATTTATTCGACAGAGAGAGTCGCACAGGTGACATTCGAGAGAGAGAGAGAGCACAAGCAACATGAGAGAGAGAGAGAGCACAAGCCGGGGCGGGGAGGCGGGGAGGGAAGGGCAGAGAGAGACGGAGAAGCAGGCTCCCCACTGAGCAGAGAACCAGATTTGGGGCTTGACCCTAGGATCACGACCTGAGCCGAAGGCAGACACTTAACTGACTGAGCCACCCAGGCACCCCTGGAGAAACTTTTGACTAAATCACTCCATCAGTCAAACAGCCCAGTTTGGGCGCCTGAGTGGCTCAGTCGGTTAAGCGTCTGCCTTCGGCTCAGGTTGTGATCCTAGGGTCCTGGGATCGGGCCCCCCATTGGGCTCCCTGCTCAGCGGGGAGTCTGCTTCTCCCTCTCCCTCTGCCTGCTGCCCGCCCCTTGTTCTTGCTCTCAAATAAATAAATAAAATATCTTAAAAAAAAAAAAAGAAACAGTCTGCTTTGATTTTCTTTTTAGCCCCCCACTGAAATGGCTAATTAAATCAGAAGTCCCACACAGGTGATTTAGCCGGAAGGCATGTTTTGCTCATTTCACATGATGTTTTTTCAAATATATGCCTTTATTTTTTTAATTTTTAAAATTTTTATTTTATTTTATTTTAAGATTTATTTATTTATTTATTTGACAGAGAGACAGAGAGCACAAGTAGGCAGAGCGGCAGGCAGAGGGAGAGGGAGAAACTCAATCCCCATGAGAAATGAGATGCAAACGGTTGGTTGATCAAATCTGGAGTTCCTTGTATTTCATAGGGATAGTGTGGGCCCTGTGGAGAACATAAAGAGAAAGAGAGACTTCCTATTGTCCTATCTAGGTAAAAAGACAGGGAACTAATAAGTAAAACACAAGGTAGCGTAGAAGAAAATGTTTGACAAGGGACTTGTGGGCCAACGTGGCTCAGGAAGATGGGATTTCATCTGAACATTGAGGAATCGGTAGGATTCGGCAGATTCCTAGCCAGGCCTGGCCTGAGCACAGACCCGGAGTTGGGAATACACAGCGCATCCGGAGCAGATAATGAGCAGATGAGCTGTATCGGGCGGTAAAACAGGCGAAGGAGGTTGGGACGACATTGTGAGTGTCCTTGAATGCCAGGCTGAGGAGTTGGAAATTATATTAAAGACTATAGGGAAGTATTGAAAGTTCTTGGGAGGGAAGGTGACATGATTAGGGCTTGGACTTAGAGATGAATCTGGAAGCAGATGGATGGAGAGATGATGGGTGCACACTGATTCAGAGGCTTCCTGGAGTTGTATGCTTGCCCGGTAATGAGAGCCTTAACTAGGAGGAGGCCAGCAGGCACCTCTGGACAGCGGTGAGGGCGGTCACGGGAGAGGGCTGTATTAATGGGCCAAGACGTCACAGAACACAGGAGAGCCTTCTCTTTGGGTCTGAAATGTTGCCCTAGCCAAACCCCACTTTTAGAGCTAACTGACCACTGTATGCTTCACTTTGAGCTTTTAGAGTTGACCAAAATGAGACAGAGTAGCTGAATAGATTATACGTATGTGTATGTGTATGTATATGTGTTTATGTGTTTATATACATACATATGTATGCTTATAGATCTATGTGTATTTGTGTATATATATGCGCATCTGTCCATCTCTATATGAAAATTGTACAGTTGGGACCCTATTCCAACAATAAATCACTTGTCCTTTATCTTCTTCTTTAAGTCACCTACAGTAAAACTCTGAAAGCCATTATTCTATTGTCTGTAAAAGTGAGAATGCCATGCCCTTCATGCGGAACAAATTTGAAAACTTTAAAAAGCTGTCCTTGCCAGACTTCCAGAATTATGTCACCGTTCCTTTTGTTTGGTTTCTGTAGCGCTGCCTGACGCTAATGGATAGAGGATTTGTTTTCAATTTGATAAACGACTACATATCTGGATTCAGCCCCAAAGATCCCAAGGTAAGTTATAAGGACGTTCCCGTGGCGGCCGTCAGGCATCAGAGCATGAGACCAAGGGTGATATTTTTTCTCCGGAGGACTTGGAGCTGCTGTTTTTATTTAGGTTCTTTGAGTATAGCTGTACCTCAAAGCAGGGGGTATTGGGTAGTGTTTGGGGAGTCCCCGAGACCACCCACATGTTCCGGGGTGCACTGGAAAGACTCACAGGACTCAGAGTATAGTTATGGCAGTCTTAGTCCCAGCTAAAGATTCATGACGGTGACACAGTGAGGATACACAGCTGGAACAGTAAGGGAAAAACACATTTAGGGGAGTCCTCGGCTGTTCTCATGCAGGCTTCCCGAGGGCCCGTCCTCCCTCCCGTGAAGGTCACACGGAGCACAGCCGTCCTCTAGCAGCGAAAATACAGACACACGCGTGCAACAGTGCTGTGCTGGGAAGCCCTTGTGAGACTTGGAGTTTTGGTTGTTTCTGGGGGGCTGGCCATGTACTGGAGACCGGTCAAAATTCCAGAGGCAGGAAAGGGAAAGAAAGCAGGTGTTCACAATAAATCACATTGTTTGTACCAACAGTCTGAGCAGGCTGGGAGAGAAGGCAGAACCTTATCATGTAGCGAGCATTTCAAAATCCAATTTCCCAAATGCCAGCCAGCAACCAACCTTGCGAGCAGGCTTGCTTTAAAAGGAGAGCCTGCTGTGTTAACTCTTTCCTGCGCAGGTCGCATCTCAAGGTGTGCGTAAAACCCTGAACACTTCTGTTTGGGAAAGGAATGGCCTGTGTTTAATTATTAAAACAGTAAATGCCGATGAAAAAGGGAGTTCATGTGTAGCTTCTTTCCATTTAGGTTCTGGCTGAATACAAGTTTGAATTTCTGCAAACAGTTTGCAATCACGAACATTACATTCCTCTGAATTTGCCAATGGCATTTGCAAAACCTAAACTCCAGCGTGTTCAAGGTATGTATTTGCATTTTCCATCACTCGAAATTGTGGTTTTCTTTTGGGGGGGGCTAGCGCTAGCGTAGAGTACTGTTTTCTGGGCAAACCGTGAATTGAAAGGTAACCTCAGAATCGTTAACTGTCCGAAGACACATTCATTAACAGTATTCCACACTTGCTTCTTAGTGTCAGTGATGGTAGTCACAGCGTGGAGAAATCAGGTGCATTATTACATCAATGACTCCTTAGCCAGAGATGTCAGATAGTCGTAAAATTGCTTTCTGTAATAGTGTTTGAACTCTTACATGAGACCGAATTAAAAAACAAAAAAACAAACCATAGAAATGCATTTCCACTGAAAGGAACCTCAAAAGAGAAGCATAAAAGCAGAGTGGAATTGTAATTTGTCGTATGTATTAAATGTATGAAATGCCTTCAGTTAACTCCATTGCTAGTTTTATTGAATGCTTTGCTATGTAGCACTATTCTTATGTTACTATGTTTTTTATTTGTCCCTTTTCTTTTCATATATTAATTAGATTTTTTTTCATTTGCGGTGGACCGTTTGACTTCAGTAGGTAGGTTTAACTCGGTTCACTCTCAAGTAGTTCACTGTCTTTAAAAACAATTGATTTGATGAATGGCTAAGATGGACGGGGGGAGGGGCTTTGTTTGCTTTTCAAATCTCCCTAGCCACAGTGAGGCTTTAGCCTAATGGACTCAGCAAACCAAGGAGTATTGGTTTTATTATTTGTTTCCTTTTATAATCAGCTTACACATTGATTGTTAGAGGAATCCGCTTGAAAATAAGTTCCTGCTCAATGCAGCGTGGGGAGCAGAGGGTGTATCTGTTCTTTAAGTGTGTGTCCTCTTGCCCAGGCTTGCCTCCCTCCTCTCTGACCCTGTCTAATGACTGTTTGGCTGCAGTTTTGAAGGTTTGGAGGAAAGTACCCGATTGGATGTATTCAAATCACTGAAGTAAAAAACCAAAAAACCAAAAAAAAAACAAAAAAACTTAACTGCCATTGCAGAATCTATCCGGATAGAGCCACCTGGGTTAGTCATGACTGGCCCTCGTGTGCGGAAAGTGCTCGGGATTCACAAAAGAGGATGAGCCAGGGCAAGAAGAAAATTGGCTGCCTTGGTCTCCAAGGGAGTAGCTGTTGAGCGATGGTGTGGGTGGGTGGGTCGGTGTGTGTGTGTGTGTCTGTGTGTGTGTGTGTGTGTGTGTTAGTGGGGTGTTAGTCACTGAATTGGAGCCAGTGAAAGTGAAGAAAAAGTATTTAGAAAACATATCCTTTAGCTTTACAGCTTAATTAAATACAAGGGTAGAAGAGAGGAAATAAGTAAAATAAATAAATAATAATAAATAAAGATTGTGAAAATCTATGGTAGAAATGACTAAACTTGATCACAGTCCCTTGGGAGTAGTTATGGGGCAGGCCCCAACCAGGATATTAGCAGCTGGGATTTAAAATGGACTGAGGTCTAAAAGGGAGTGAAAGACATAGTTTGAAGTGAAGTGGTGATTTTCTGAAGTCAAAGATCTGTACTTGCCTGCTGATGAATTGGGAGTGAGATGAGGCTGTTTTTCTTACTGTTCCTGTATCCCGTTGTATTCGGGCCGGTATGTGACATTTACTAGAACAGTCCATAGGTAATACCATTAGAATGATTCAGTTGTCTTTTTCTTCCTTTTCCTACTTCACAAGTGTAAACAGATAAGTAATTCAAGTATCGTTGTATAGAATCCGTCCAATTTGTAGTTGTCACGAAATCTCTTCGGATACAAAGACATGTGTTAAGATATTGCCAAACAGAGTATTCTTTAATTCCGGGTTCAATCTTAAGACTCCTAAGAATTGAAAAGAATCTAGGAAAAAGGAATCTAGGGACTATTTTACCGACTGAAATGATCATTAAGGCTATCCTACAGCCCTAATTGTGAGTGTGCCTGTCTTGTAAAAATTTTGCATGCTCATTCTACATGACAAAAGAATTGTTCACATTCGTTCAGAATAAAATTATAGCTCTTGCTAGCATGATCACATATCACTAAATAATAAATATGGTATTTTAATGTCAAGGGAATTTTTGATTACTTTTATAAATGGGTTTTCCATTTCATTGTACTGCAGATTCAAATCTTGAATACAGTTTATCAGATGAATATTGCAAGCATCACTTCTTGGTTGGTTTACTTCTGAGGGAAACCTCCATTGCTCTTCAAGACAATTATGAGATCAGATATACAGCTATCTCTGTCATAAAGAATCTTTTGATAAAACATGCATTTGACACTAGATACCAACACAAGGTAAGGATGCCCATCTAATCAGTATCACAGTAGTAAATTTCTGTTAAGATTTTACATTAAAGATGATGTGTTCAGTAAGGCACATAATATGAGCATCGATGAACTTTTATGAATAAGATTTGTTTCAGTATCAAATGATTGGGTTTTAAAAATACTGTTCAGTTAACTATTGAAGAAAAACACTGGTTTCTCAAATCGTGTAAAGAACAACATAACTACCTCATGAGTTGTTACATAAGCTAATTCGACTTTAAGAAAAATCATATATGGATGTAGCCATGTGGACTCTTTCAAGTATATTTCTTAGTATACATCCTCAAATATATATCCCTAAATCAGTTGTATTATTGATTAAGTGATTAATAGTAAGACATGTTAACTGGGTCAAATATGAAATACGTAATACGAAGATTTTCTTCTTATTGAAAAAATGTAGGTGTGGCTATAAACCTTATAGACATTGCACAGTGTCTGTGTGTGAAGACCATAGCTATAGTTGTTGTTTGCTGCACCTTTAACATATATATTCAGATCTTATTAACATTAAACCCTATGGGCTTAAAAAAGGAGTTCGCAAACTGTGGATTTAGAATAACCTAACTTACGTACCTAGAATCAAATGCCTCAAGGTGACATCATATTATTTCATAATTAATAGTTTGTCCTTTGGTTTTTACATTCCAATACAAATCAAAATTAGGATATCGTTTATTATTGTCATCACTTGGGAAAGCTGACTTGGAGATAGAGCTTATTCTTTTTCTACAGTATTCCCATTTGTCCTTGATAAACAGAAGATGCCTGCCAGCTACATCTAGTTATAGTTCTTTAATTCCAAAGTTTTTTTTTTTTCTTACACATTTTGCTGGTTTTCTTCATGTGATTCTATCCTAAAGTAGATTTAAACTCAGCGTTAAGATGTTATTTGTTACTCACCGCAGTTTGCATTGGTTTCTGTCACATTATAACTATAGTAACATATTCCCATTGCTCCATATATATGTGCTATTTTCTTTTGTTGTGAATGTCGATATTGACGTAATGCAAGGTAACCAGTATAATACATCTAAATGAAAAGATATCTCAAAGGTCAGCCATTCCACCCAAGCTTTGTCAAACCTTTAAAACTGCCAGTTACCACTGGGTTCTGGTGAACTGCTGCTTATGTCTAGTAGTGCAGAAAAGGATCTTAGGCAACGGGGAGGAAAATGTCTCTAGCTGTGATTTCAAGGGATTCATGGGAAAAGCACAAAATGAACTTCCCCTCCCCAAAGCAGGAAACTGTGTTATTTACCTCTGCCTCTTCAGATGAAAGTGCAGGAAAATGGGATTTCGCTAGTGTCTTATCTAGAGGTGGAATTTTAAATATTTCCTATCACATATTTGGACATTATTCCCTTTTTAAAATTCTGAGATGTTACAGTATACACACACACACGTAACTCTTGTTATCTGTAAAAGTTCAACACTACGCCTACTTGAGTATTTGAGGTTTGGGAGCGTGGGAAAGATTGAAATGCCAAGCTCATTACCCCTTCAGTGACTTCTAAATCCCTTTTCTCTTTGTTCAAAAGCTTTAAACAGCTGTTACATGAGTATAGGATTCTTTCTGATAGAACTTTGCTTCATGGGCCTTGTTAACCAAAGCTTTAATTCCTTTCTCTGCTGGGTCCAAAGAATTCACAGGTGGACTGAGTAAGGGGTCATTTGTCAAATACATTCAAGTAAAACATGTTCACCATTAATGGTGACGCCAAGGTAAGGATAGAGATGGATGCTTTAGGCTCCCATAATTTTTTTTTAACTTTTTAAAAAAGATTTTATTTATTTATTTGACAGAGACGCAGCGAGAGAGAGAACACAAGCAGGGGGAGTGGGAGAGGGAGAAGCAGACTTCCCGCTGAGCAGGGAGCCCTACACGGGGCTCAATCCCAGGACCCTGGGATCATGACCCGAGCTGAAGGCAGCCGCTCAACTGACTGAGCCACCCAGGTGCCCCTAGGCTCCCGTAATTTTTATGGGCTCCCCCCGAAGTCACCCCAAATAAATATACAGTCAAGGAAGAAAATGCTTCCTATGGAAAGTCTGCTTTTGAGAGACCCTAGTCACACCCCCTCAACCATGTTGCTACTCTTTGGCCCCTCGTCTAATGAAATTATCAAGATGTCACTGGTCCCTATTATGTGCTACTCAGAAACTGCTTTGGGAGATCTCCTAACTTGTTATAATAACTATGAGACCTCTTCTCGACTCAGAACAAAAATGTCCAGCAGCTGCTGTTTGCCCTGAGGTCTGTATCTGTTCCCGTACCCACTGCAAGTGATGTTAATACCTAAGAGAATTGCAGTTTCGACTTGGGCTGTGGAACAATTTTTTTCCCTTCTCCCCCCCTTCCCCCCCACTCCCCACCTCCCCACTGGTTTGTTTTTTTTTTTTTTTTAGTAATCCACGTACATGGTTAAAAAATGCCTCTCTCCCATTTGTTATCCCCATGTCCCAATTCATCTCTCCAGCAGTAGCTACTCTTATCAGTTTCCTATACATACTTCTACTTTGTCCATGCACAAGCCTATATATATAAATATATGTATATACACACACATATGTGGGAACCATTATGCATTTTTCTTTTTTTTTTACCTAACAGTACATCCTGAAGATTAGATCTACCACATTAAAAAAAAAAAACCCTGCATATTATTCCATCATATCGATATACCTCATTTTATTTCATTTATTTTTTAAGTAGGCTCCACACCCAATGTAGGGCTTGAACTCACAACCCTGAGATCAAGAGTTACACGCTGAGCCAGCCAGGCGCCCCTGGATTATGCCTTATTTTAAACTGTCTTCTAGTAATAGATTCTTAGGTTGTTTTCTATCTTTTGTGCAGGCAAAGCTTAATATATTTTACACTGTATGTTTTCCTGTGTTCCTGTTCCCCTGAGAGAGTTGTATTAGCTCTTTCCCTAGTGCTCACTATCAAACGAAAGTGGACTCCCATCTCGAAGCTATAGTATTAATAATGACAGCTTAAATTTACGAGGACTCGCATGTCAGACACTATTAAATACCTCACTTGAATTAATAGCATTATTATTATTATCCGCATTTTACGAAAGAGAAACCTGTGGCTCAGTGATGTGATCACAGTCAAGGAATGGTAACAGGAGACTGGGAATTCATACAAGTATAAAATCCAAAATCTGTGTTCTTAGCCACGAAACTATAGTGCCTGTCAGATCCACAGTGGAAAACTACAGAACTGCCAAAAACAGGTGACCACGCTAGGGGAAAAAGTCTTAAAACCAAAGCCACGTGAAGAACAAAGGAAAGGCATTAGGGCCATTTAGCCTCGCGAAGAATGAATTAAGCTGATTTGTGGTAGCTCTCTTTAACTATTGGAAGAGTTGCCATGTAAAAGTGGGAAGTAGCCTTACTCTCTGTAGTCCCAGAGGCCAGAGCTGTACCTAGCAGGTAGAACTTACAAGGAGTAAAGCAGCTAAAGGACCCTTCTAACAGAATCCAGGAAAAGGCTGGAGTGTGAAAGTGAACCATCTGTCAGGGATGCAGGGAAGGGCCATTCCTGCCTTGGGTGGGAAGTTGGTTCTCAGACCTCTGTGCCCATCAGCACAATCTGGCTCAGAGTCCCAGAAATAATTGAACAATATGGGAAATTGTTCAACCTGAATAACAAATGCAAATCCAAGCAACGAGGAGATACTATTGATCTTCTGTATTCTGTATGTTGACTATTGAGCCCTAGAGGCCCTCTCTAAGTCTCTGGAAAAACCTCCCAGAGTCATGAAATGTGAAGGGCAACTTTGATGCCATTACATCCACTGTTTTTGCTGACTCGAGTGTATGTATGTGTCACATGAGGAATGTCTAGAGCTGAGAGAAGCAATAAATACATTTTCATATAAGAGGTACCACATTAAGACTACTAGTGGCCAGGAGATAAATATATTTATTTACAAATATATCTCCCAAGTCTTACAATTGACTCAAGGGGCCAAGATCACATTATCTTAATCGCGCTGATCAAAACAAAAAAAATGTTAATTTAAGGAATAGAGTAACTCACCATTTTTTAAAAAGATTTATTTGAGAGAAAGAGAAGAGGGGGAGGGGCAGAGGGAGCGAATCCTGAAGCAGACTCTGTGCTGAGTGCAGAGCCCCATGTGGGACTCAATCCCAGGGCCCCGAGATCCTGACCTGAGCCGAAACCAAGAATCGGCCGCCCAGCTGACTGAGCCACCTGGGCGCCCCAGTAACTCACCATTTTTTTCACTTCTTCCACTGATTCATTTATTCAGCTAATGTGTATTGAGCACCTCCTATCTGCCCAGGCACTGGGGTTGAAGTGGTGAACAAGATAGACACCATCCCTGTGCTCATGAAAACTCAACCCTCACTGGAGTTGAAGAATAGGACTGATGTTATCTGCTTTCTAGGTCAACCGCTATTTTTAAAAGAGTGAACTTTTGCCTTTTACTTTATGCAGTTATTGAGGGATGTGATTTGACTCTGTATCGTGTAAAAATCCAAAGACCAAGAAAGTTGTGTGGCAATTAGTTTTGAGACTCGTAAGTATAAATAGCCTCATGCTTCACTAATTCGTTGTGGATATTAGCCCACTTTGAGTCTTGAAACTGATAGATGGGGCCAGCTTTATTTGTGAAATAGACATATTATATACCTCCTAAGCTTTGGGTAATTATTTTTCAGAACCAACAGGCCAAAATAGCACAATTGTACCTACCATTTGTTGGACTGCTCTTGGAAAATATACAGCGGTTAGCAGGTCGAGATACCTTGTATTCTTGTGCAGCCTTGCCTAATTCTGTAAGTAGTAATGTGTTTCCACTGGCATTTTATCCCATTTTATTGACTGCGTTTGGAACTGGGGTCGTATGCTGTATTTCTTAATCATTACTTTTCATTCCATTTTTACAGTTAATACTTTTTTTTTCTAGAGCAGTGCTTCTGAACCACCCAGGCGCCCCTGCTTCTCATACTTTAATGTACATACCAATCACCTGGGGATTTTGTTAAACCAGAGACTCTAACTCAGTAGGCCTGTGGTGGAGTTTGAGACTGCGTTTCTAACACACTTTTGCCTGCTTCTGGTCCAGGGACCACACTTTCAGTAACAAGGTCCAAGAGAATACCAAGAATCCCTTCCACCCAGTTGTTTTAAGATTTACTGTTGGGGCACCTGGGTGGCTCAGTCGGTTAAGCGACTGCCTTCGGCTCGGGTCATGATCCTGGAGTCCCTGGATCGAGTCCCGCATCGGGCTCCCTGCTCTCATGTGCTCTCTCTCTCTCTCATTCTCTCTGTCTCAAATAAATAAATAAAATCTTAAAAAAAAAGATTTACTGTTGTTATTTGCCTTCATATATTCAACTTGAAAACGGAATGAAGGATTCTTCGCTTCCAAAATGTCAGGCATATTCCTTTGCTTCTCCCTTCCTGGGACAGCCTCCTTTTAGTTCTTCTTTTGAGCTGCTTTTAGCTCAGCACAATTGGTCTGTGCTTTTTTCCCCCTTTAGAATCTTAGTATTAAAAGGAACCTCAGAGGGTGACCAGTCTCCCATTTGGCAAAACAACATTTTGCCTTTGTAATAATTAAAACTTTCCTTCTCACATTAGACCTAAAACGTTTTCTTATCTACTTGTCCTAGTTTTGCCTTCTTAGAGATACATAGAACACAACATCTGTTCCCACTTCCACATGATACCCCTTGCACAAGTGCCTTCTAAATTTTTCTCCAGACCAGATTTCTCTACTTCATCTTTTGTCATTCCCAAACCCTTGACAATCTTGGTTACGCTCTTCTGAATATGCTCCATTTTACCAGTCGCCCTATTAAAATGTGGTGCACGGAATGGTACGCTTTATAGTCTCCCCAGAGGGACTATTAAGTCCTGCCCTGCCCCCACTCCATGTTCCGAATGGCCCAAGATCACCTTCACACTTTCAGTAGCCATGTTATATTGTTGAGTGGCAGGTTGAACTGTGTCCTTTACAGCTTCCTTTGGAAATTACCCCTATCAAATGTCCTCGTCGATTTGTCCAGCCTGCCTTGGGTTCCTGAGAAAGCTGCTTTTAAGCCTCCCTGATGGCTTTATTGCCTATAGCTCCCAGTTACGTAAATCAGCTAAATGTAGGTGCTGCATTATCTACCTGGGCTTTAGGCTGGTCTTTCTTCACAGACACAGTTAACTCATGCTTATGCTCACTCCACAACATTCGACCGTGATATTTGGGAATATTTTACTTATCTGTTCTTTCTTCTGTAGCTGAAATTCATCTAGGGCTTCTGGTCACACTCCTCCTTCTAGCATTGCACCTAGTTCCAAGGAGGATTACTGAGCCATACTGGACTGCAACCAGTCGGAGCTTTTACCAGCCATCTAGGGTTCTGTTACTTGGCCAGGGGTCATGCTTGCAGAGTACACTAGTGCCCCGTTTTTATTTTATTTTATTTTATTTTATTTTATTTTATTTTATTTTTTAAAGATTTTATTTATTTATTTGACAGAGAAAGACACAGCGAGAGAGGGAACACAAGCTGGGGGAGTGGGAGAGAGAGAAGCAGGCTTCCCGCCGAGCAGGGAGCCCAATGCGGGGCTCGATCCCAGGACCCTGGGATCATGACCTGAGCCGAAGGCAGATGCCTAACCATCTGAGCCACCCAGGCGCCCCAGTGTGCCCCGTTTTTAAAGAGATGTCACCAAAATACCAACAGTGATACCTGATTTAGACTTTCACAGTGAGCTTTGTTTAAAGTTCGGGTACCCTCTCATTCTGTTAATTCCAATTTCTCATCCTCGTGTACAAATTTGTTGAAATGACAGAGGTGTCACATTGTGTTACAGGCATCCAGGGATGAGTTTGCATGTGGCTTCACTTCACCTACAAATAGAGGGAGTCTGAGCACTGACAAAGACACTGGTAATTAAGTCCTTTAAAGATTATACATTGCATGGCTGTGTCGAAATGCACCCTGTACTTCTCTGTATTTTTGAAATACTTCATAATAACAACTATACATAGCATGATCTCTTCTAAAGTTTAATTAAATCTGACTCACACTTGCAGCCATTTTTTTTTTTTTTTTTTTTGCTTAAGTTTCCTTATCTAAGCTTGTTTAAAATGTAGCTTTGGTATACTGGTAAAATAAAGGATAATGAGAAAAACACTGGTTTCCGATCCTATCTGTCTCCAGTCTTGGATAAGACACTTCCCTTTTCTGGGCCCAAGTTTCCTTATCTATAAAACTCTCTCAAATTGTATGGCTTTCCTTTATTACTTCCAGAGAACCTCTTGTAGTTTCATACATAGTAAAGTATTTCAAGTGGTTTAAAAAAAAAAAAAGTCACCCTTTGTTAGGCTTCTTACGGTGTTTTGATATAAAATAGAAACTTCACATTTTAGATGACCAAGATCCGTTCCCTAAAATCTATCTTTAAATTAACCCAGTACTTATTTTTAAAAATATTTTTTGACCATTCTTCCTGTTGTTAACAAGGACTTGGCTTTTTTCCAGCTTATGGGGCTTTTCAAAATGGACATGGAATCAAGAGGGAAGATTCAAGAGGTTCCCTCATCCCAGAAGGAGCAACAGGATTTCCAGATCAGAGCGGAACTGTTGAAAATGTAAGAACCTAAATATAAGGGATAACCCTAGGGATATGTTAGGTTACAACAGTCTGGTTTTTTTTTTTTTCAGTCTGTCTTTTATATAAATTAAAGGCTCTCTACTCTCCTGTAGTTGGCCTGGATCTATAAAAAGCATCCCGTAATTCTTGGATGTTGCAGTGGTTCCTTCCTACCATGGCAGCTGCTACTTGGATATTTAAAACTGCTCATGGGGGTGCCTGGGTTGTTCAGTCGTTGGGCGTCCACCTTCGGCTCAGGTCATGATCCCAGGGTCCTGGGATCGAGCCCCGCATCGGGCTCCCTGCTCTGCGGGAAGCCTGCTTCTCCCTCTTCCACTCCCCCTGCTTGTGCTCTCTCGCGCGCGCGCTCTCTCTCTCTCTGTCAAATAAATAAATAAAATATAAAAAAAAAACTTTATGGAGGATAAGGCATTCGTCATTAAGAGTTCTAACTTTGAATACCTCCTTTAATCCTCGTATACTGTAACCTGTTCTAGAGAGGGAAGGTTCAAGTTTAAAATATCTAGTGCACGTTGTCATTTAAATCCCTTCTTGGCAGAGTTAATTCAGCCTTTTATTCTTTTGTAAAAGAGTAATTAACATGGGAGAAAAAAAATTAGGCCTCCAAATTGATGATTTCAGTGTCCTATCATCACTTAATCACAATGTATTCTCTAAAATTTGGGATATGTCTGCCTTGAGACAGAGAAACCTCATTTTATTTAATTTTAATTTTATTTTAAGACAGAGAAAGAGCAAGTGGTGGGGGTGGGGGAGCAGCAGAGGGAGAGAGACTTTTTTTAAAAAAAAGATTATTTATTTATTTATTTGACAGAGAGAGACACAGCTAGAGAGGGAACACAAACGGGGAGTGGGAGAGGGAGAAGTGGGCTCCTGATCGAGTAGGGAGCCCGATGTGGGGCTCGATCCCAGGACCCTAGGATCATGACCTGAGCCCAAGGCAGATGCTTGACGACTGAGCCACCCAGGCGCCCGGAAAGAGACTCTTAAGCAGGCTTTACACCCAGCTCAGAGGCCAATGCGGGGCTTGATCTCACAACCTTGAGATCATGACCTGAGCCGAAGGCAGACGCTTAACCATGTGAGCCACCCAGGCACCCCGAGAAACTTCATCTTGGACCAATAAAGCCATGTCATGCTGCTATGTAAAATCACAGAATTATGTAAAATTAGGGTTAGAAGGGTGCATAAAAATAATAAATTCCAGGGGCGCCTGGGTGGCTCAGTTGGTTAAGCGACTGCCTTCGGCTCAGGTCATGATCCTGGAGTCCTGGGATCGAGTCCCACATCGGGCTCCCTGCTCAGCAGGGAGTCTGCTTCTCCCTCTGACCCTCCTCCCTCTCATGCTCTCTGTCTCTCATTCTCTCTCTCGCAAATAAATTAAAAAAAAAAAAATTAAAAAAAATAAATAAAAAAAATAAATTCCAACTCAATTTACAAATGAAAACTGGGTTGTGACTTAGGACAACCATACAGGTATGGCAGGCCAGACCGGAACCCGGGTTTTCTGATTCCAGCAATGTTTCTCCTATATCGTGGAATTCTTGGCGTGCATCAGAATCACCTGGGCGCTTAATAAAAACAGATGGCTGGGCCTCACCCCCAGAGTTTCTGATTCAGTCTGGGATGGGGCCTGCTAATTTGTATTTCTAAGTTCCAGGTGATGCTGATGCTGCTGGTTGGGAACCACCCCTTGAGAACCCCTGGAATATACTTCCTTGAGCCTTGGGGTAAATAGTAATTTATTCACAAAGGCTCCTATTTTATGTCATTTAGAATTCTGTCAACCGACACTATCATAGGTAAGGCAGATAAAGGACAAAGAAGTTAAATGACTTGTTAATAATCACACAGCTAAGGGCGCCTGGGTGGCTCAGTCGTTAAGCGTCTGCCTTCGGCTCTGGTCATGATCCCAGGGTCCTGGGATCGAGCCCCGCTTGGCGGGAAGCCTGCTTCTCCCTCTGCCACTACCCCTGCTTGTGTTCCCTCTCTCGCTGTGTCTCTCTCTTCAAGTAAATAAATAAAATCTTTAAAAAAAAATAATAATCACACAGCTAGCAAGCATTCAGAACCTAAGTGTTTTGCTCCAAGTGAAAGTTCATTCTTAATAAATCCTGGTTTAGTAAATGCATATGTCCAGCCCAGTTTAGCTCAACTGTGAAAGAACTGGTTTTTAATAAGGTAAACTCTTTAGATTATTAGTATTCTATTCTTATAAATCCCCAAATAAGTCAGATCTTGTCATGCTTAACAACTGGTATTTTAACAAAAGTCATTAAAAGGAACATCACTGGTTTGTAGAAGCTGTAGTTCTAAAGTATTACTGGATTCTTCATCATATAATTATCTTGTAATATTAGCCCTTTTTTAAAAATACAGATTTCCTGACCTATTATTTGTAGGTTGAATTTTAATTAGTAGACTCTGAAAGATTCAAATTAAGAGAGCTTAAAATGTTTGTGCTTCCATATACCTTAGTTAAGATCCCCCTCCATGTAAAAGCTATCTTTCCTGGAATAGCCGCATATGGTTATTTAAATTTTTTACTGCTACTTAAACACAGAACTTAAGGGAATGAAACACATCGTCCATGGCTGTCATCTTGAGGAAGACCCACAGGTAATTTCTAGCAGTACGATTCTGTGCAGTCGCATCAAAGAAAGATTCGGCTCATTTACCTTCCAAGTATGATAGAAAATCTGGATTTAGGGCGCCTGGGTGGCTCAGTTGGTTAAGCGACTGCTTTCAGCTCAGGTCATGATCCTGGAGTCCCGGGATCGAGTCCCGCATCGGGCTCCCTGCTCGTCAGGGAGTCTGCTTCTCCCTCTGACCCTCCCCACTCTCATGCTCTCTCTCTCTCATTCTCTCTGTCTCAAATAAATAAATAAAATCTTTAAAAAAAAAAAGAAAATCTGGATTTAGGCTTAGAATTATCCCGAACAGGACTAATGATACAAGTAGTTATTGAGTGAAAAGCTATGGAAAAGTAGAGTACCAATATTGTTTGACAAAGTCCTGTCTTTCTATTGCAGACCCGACAGAGTTCTACAAGGGGTAGCGTATCCCAGTATAACCGACTCGACCAGTATGAAACCAGAAGCCTCTTAATGTGTTACCTGTATATAGTAAAAATGATTTCTGAAGGTGAGTTACCAGCATATTAAGCATGGTCTCTACTAGACATCCACCCTCACAGGGTCATGCAACAAATATTTGATCATCACCTGTATGTAAAACACATGCACGTTAGGAACAGATCATTGAAGACTCTGACCTTAAAACGTTCCTCTATTTTTAACTTAAAATAGGTTCACTTGGGTCATACAGGTTTGATTCTTTGAACTATTTTTTTTTAATTTAAAAGTTGATTTCTAAAATGAAACCGTAGTTTTAAAAGTGCTAAACGTATTTTTTTCCACGCAGAGCTTATAACGCATTAAATGACCAATGTAAACAGAAGGAAATAATAACCAGAAGTCATATTTAATACTTTAGCTTTTATTTGACCCAGGATTTGGAAAACCAAAAGCAAACAAAAAGACAGGAAGTGTTCTCTGAGGGTTGGGAATGCCGCTGTTATCTTCGTAGTGCGGTGCTGCATGGTGGTAGGTTGTTTTGCAGCCTCCGGTTTTTTTCCCCCTTGGTGTACAGTTGTATTATTTACTAGTATTACCAGTTATTTATATGATAGAATAACCAAAGGGTTTTCATAAACTGCATGTCCTCTGGAAGTAAAATCAGAAGGTTATCTTATTCCCAGATATCACATTAACTTACACAATTCTCTCCCTTTTCTTCCTTTTCTCAATATTTTCACTAAGAAACATGTATGCAGGAATGAAGAACATAAAAGCACCTGGGTTCTGATTATCGTAATCATTCTCTTTTACTTATTTTCTATTTTTTGCTGTATTTTTAAATATTTTTATATTTAAATATTTTTAAATATTATATCTTTTTTATAATAATGCAGGATATAAAAACATAAAATAATTTGATAGTTAACTATCAAAGACCTTAAAAATAGCTAGATATGAATAATAAATTCTAGAATGTATTAATAAAACCGTAGAAAAACAACTCTAATCTTTAAATCCTAAGACTGTATAACTTAGGGTAAAAATCAAAGATTATATTGAGACTCTATGATGTACCTCCCTGTTTTGGGAAAGAAATAAATAAAGGGAGATCATTTTTGACCCCGGTGGTATTTCATTCTGAGAGATAATGGATCCGTTAACAACTACAGCCACAGCTGTTTTTCTCTTCCCACAACGTGAAAAGTGGGCAAACATGGAAAGTGCCCGCTAATGTGTACGGGGTTTCTTTTTAGGGTGATGAAAATATTCTAAAACTGGGGTGATGGTTTTACAACTCTTGAAAAATACTATAAACTATTGTATTGTGCACTTTTAAAATGGGTTTTATGGCCCATGAATTCTCTCAATAAATTTGTTTAAAAAAAAAAAAAAGGCCTAAGAGACACATGAAAAAAAAAAAAACAACAGAAAAAGAAAAGTAGTTGAATACCACCACAGCCCAGGGAAAGTAAGTTGGGGGCAGGGGGAGGAAAAAAGGGAGGGGGTGGGGAAAGGAGTGGGGGGGAGATGCCCAGCTGACCACTTCTCCTCATCTCCACTCGAGTGCGTGTGCATGCACACATCCACACACACTCTCACACCACATACTGTGATAACCAGGGACAAGCCTCTGGCAGCTTTTTCAAGGTCATGGATAAGACCATAACTGCTTTGTTTCTTGAGAACTTCATAGTTCTGCTCCTCTTGTAAATGTTGACCTTGCTTGCTGAATATTTGGTTTTTGCTCATTAGATTTTTCTTTCTTCTGCTCTTCCTTTTTGATTTTTAAAAGCACATTTTTAATAACCAGTACACAGTCGTGTCACATCTTCTCTTTATCTTTTGTGTATGTAAAGTCGTATTCATTTTTTTCTGAAAAAATCTGCTTCTGGACCTTTCTCAATGGATGTGTTCTAGTTACTTTGTCTTGTCTGGTAAATTTTTTAGTCACTCTGTATGCATTTAAATGTTGAACTCTTATAAGTCCACACTCTTCAGGTCCTCTCTTGGCTTTCTTTATTGGTTCATAAACAGTAGCGACTTAATTTCAGCAAAAAGATGACAGACCTCTATACTTTTATATAGAAGTACAGGGATTCTACAGAATGAATTTCCTTTTCTATTTGTGGCTATATTTTATTAACTGGCAATAATTCACTGTTTCAAAGTCTTAGTCACTTGCCAAACTTTTTTGTTGCTGTTCTTACTGTCTTGTTTATTATTTCCTGAGAAAGGGAATCAGAGTCAGGGGTAATCAGTTACACAGTCCGAATTGACAGGAAGACTGTCCTCTTGTAAAAGAAAAGCATTTTCCTTGAGAGGATGAGGGAAAGCTACTTTCCCCCCTTTTCTAACACTATCCTAGCTTTTCTCTTTATTGCAGACCCCAAGGTGAAACTTTGGGTGTCACCTTGAGGCTTATCGGCATCATACTCTGTTCCTGTAGATTCATTAGCATTCTTCTTCACAGTGGATTGTTTGGTGGAAAGCGTCTGGTTGCTGCAATCTCTTACGGAAAACCCAGTGTTGCAATGAGCAATACCACTCTTTGATCTTTTCCCACTTGATTTTAAAGTAGAGTCAAAAGGAAATGCAGTTTTTAAAGGGGATTTTTCCTTACTCTGTGTAAAAGGGGGAAGTGAACTTCCATTATAATCAGGCATATTTTCCTCTGAAGTTTCAGATATGACTTGAATAGTGGGGTTTTCTGTGGTAGAAATACTGGAAAGGCTCCAAGAGAAGTTAGTTTGAGTTTCACAGTTTTGTGTGGAGGTCTTCTGGGTGAAGATGCGTTTCCTTTTTGGCTGGCCATGCTTGTCTTCATGAAGGTTTGAAACATCTTGAAATCCATACCCCCTTTGAGGACCAAGGGTAGATGTTAAAGGAGAACCTGCAGGTGACTTCTGATTGGCACTGCTCTCTCTGGTAGGCTTATTGCTATTAGAAGAAGGCTTCTCACAAGAGATCTCTGGCTCCTCGAAGAGGTCCTGACTGTAAAATGGAATCGAAAACTTTGGACTTTGTTGTTGTTCCTTTTGTCCAGAATTCATCCATTCAGTACTTGATTGTTTTATCAATTTGTTAGGCAGATGCCCCTGAGATCCTGGGGAAGGCTCCCTGACCGAAAAAACTGGCACAGACCTTTGAGTACAGGGAATGAAATCCTCATCATCGCTATCAGAAAAAGAGGGAAACTGCTGCAGATTCAGGTTTAGTTTTGCAGAAAGCTTTCTATTTTCTTCTCTTAACCTATTCCTTTCTTCAGTAAGCTCAGCAATAAACTTAAGATTTTGTTGTTGGATATCATAAAATTCTTGCTGTAGTGTGTTCCTGTAGGTTTCATTCAGCAAACAGCGGTCACATATTTTTGCATTTAACTGATCTCGCAAGTCATGAATGGTGCTACTGAGGACCTTCTGTTGCTCGGTCAGCTCTTTAATTTTGGCTATGGAGCCCATCCACCTTCCATCTGCCAATCGGTCTTTCCTCAAATTGGCTAATTTTGCCTGTAAACGGTGTAGCTCTTTGTCATGGAGCTCTTTTAGCATTAGCCAGGTTTTCAAAAAATCGTCGGACGACACATCACATACACTAAACTGTAATTTATCTCTTCCTGAAGGTTTCTTACCACCGCCCCTGTCTCCTCCATCCATGTGCCCTGCCTGCATCATGTCTCACCGATTTAGGATTTGGAAACGGTTGAGACGGGCCAGCGGCTTGAAAGCACTACGCCGTTGCCGAGAAAATGGCGGAGGAGCTGCTGACTAGAACTAAGCCGTGGCTAGGATGAGGCCGTCACCCTCTTTACAGACCTTCTGCGAAGCTGCCTCCGGGCACAAGGCTGGCGCGGGCGTAGTTCAGGGAATGGCAGAAAGTCCCGGTGTTCGGGGCAGAAAGAAAGCACCAGGCTTTCGGCGGGAAGAGCCGGTGCGTGGAAGAGGGAAGATGGCGCCTTCACGCCGCTCTTCAACGAGAGGCCAAGAGGCCGGAAACCCAGTGGCTTCTGGGAGATCTGGGCTTCTCTGAGCCGCAGGGCATTCAAAAGCAGGAGTGGGGGAGACCGGAAGTCCCGGTTCGCTTTATTTTTTAAAACAAGTCTAACTTGATGCCATGTTAGCCTTTTTATTCTTGAGGATCAGTGTTTGGGAAATTATCAACACTCGTGGCTTTAAAAACAGTTGGAAGTAAAGTCAAAATCCCTACATTTCTCCCTCTCCCGCCCCCCCTCCGTATAGCCAACATCGCCTAGTCTGCCAACCCTATCTCGCCCGGGTTGTTAGCTGGGTTGGCAGTTTTGTCATTTACCACTTTTGTGATACCTATAGCGTGTTTACGTTTAAGAGCTACTGGCACCGTTAGCTATATCTGAGTAGCCTAAAAAGGGAATGGAGAGGGGCACCTCTCTGGCTCAGTGGGTAGAGCATGTGGCAGGATCTCGGAGTTGAGTTCTAGCCCCACTTTGGGTATAGAGATTACTTTAAAATAAAATCTTTTTTAAAAAATTAAATGAAAAAAGAATGGAGAGTTAAGTGGCAGCAGTATTTTTTTCTTTTTTTTTTTTAATCTCAGTAAATCACTATGTTGGAAGTAAAGAAGCAAGTCAAAAGAGAAGTATATGTGATAGATTTAAGGGACTTTTATATCTGGAATAGTTCGATATATGCGTGTGGACATTTGGTTAGAAGATAAACAGGCATGTTTTTAAGAGTTTATTTGAGCAAAAATTGATTAGAATCCGGTAGTATCCAGGCTAGCAGACAGAAAGAAGTCCTGAGGAGCTGTACAAAATGAAAGACTTTTAACGGTAGAAGGGAGTTGGAGCAAGGCAGTTTATACAGGGAAAGAAGTGGGTTGGTTATTGCAAAGTCACTTTTGTTTAAGGGATGCCTGGGCTCTATCAGGCAGATTACATTACTAGTGCTGATCAGATGATTCCTAATGGACTGGTTTAAGATTCCATTCCTGGGAGAGCAGAAACTGTAATTGTCTTGGTTTGGTGATGTGGGGCTTAGCATAAGCAAGTCCCATTTTCATTCAGCCTGTTGTTTTGTTTTTAAGTCTCTGTGTGTGTGTGTGTGTGTGTGTATTTACATAATACCAGGACTTCAGAGTTTATAATGCAAAGGCAAAGAGGAAAAAAACAAAAACTCTTCTTCTAAAGTTTAAAGTTCTCAAACTTTTTGGTTCACAGAGCCCTTTGAGTAGCAGGCAAAGGTACTTGACCCTCCCTTTGGAAAAAGTACGCATAAGCACACCGTGTTGCATAAAATTTTAGGAAGTTCATTAAAAACTCCAGGTCTCTTTCCCTTCCTCTGCCCTCAGGGATGCTATCAAGATTAGTATGAGCCATCCAAAGGAATATTTGCAAAGTAAATAAAAATAACTGTTAAAATAATTACAGATAAAGCAGTACATTTGGAATTAATTCAAACAAATACAGTGTGTGTATTGAACAATGAGCTGGGAGAGGATATAGATGAACCACCTGGATGGTTGTTGAAGCTAGGTTATTGGTACTTTGGGTGGGGTGCACTGTGCTGTTTACTTATTTCAAGATCCACCACTTTATTTATTCCATTTTCAGATACTCTCTTAACTTACTGGAATAAAGTATCTCCTCAGGAGCTCATAAACATTCTCATACTTCTAGAGTAAGTTATATTAATTTATTTTCATAAATTTTCTCCTTACTTGGGGGATAAAATATTACCTTTTTTTCCCCAACAGCTTATTTGCCAATAACCAGGTTCTTCACACAGATGGAAGAAAACGTGGAGATGGAATACTTATGATATCAGAGAAATTAGCTAATAATAGACCATTGTTCAGCCCAGCAGCAGTCTTGCTGTGATCTGGAAAACTAGAAGTGGCATCAGCTGTCCGAAAGCATTCATTTGGAGCAGATGCTGGCTTAATGGAGCAGCTTCAATGACTGGAATGTAGAATTTATACTCCTCTGTAGAGCTAATTCTACTGGCGTCAGAAATGCATATATATATATATATATATATCCATTCCAAGGCAGTTGGGGGAAAATCCAGTCTTGTTTCCTAGGTAGAGGTGGGAAGTTGTCCTAGATTGTTTGCTGAGCTATCTGTAATCCTTACTGAAAGCTAAAAGAAAAATTAGAATGAAATCTAAGAAATTTTTAGATAAATAGCACACAGGGGCTCCTGGCTGGCTCAGTCGGTAGAGCATACGACTCTTGATCTCAGGGTCGTGAGTTCAAGCCCCAGGTTGGGCGCAGAGCTTACTTTAAAAATAAATAAATAAATAAAGAGCACGCATAAATGATGTTTTTATGTGCATGTCTTTCAAAACAAAAAGGGGATAATCGGTGTGTGCAGTTTTGCAGACAACATCAGCAAACGAAAATGGCAGTTACGATTTTTAAAAACTATACCGTAATATTTACTAATGAAAATGTATGATGTTGGGGGTTTGCTTCAAAAAAAATACAGGAGGTAGGGAGGGTGGAGGGAGAAGGAGGGCACCTGTTCAGAGTAGAGGATAAACAAGAACGGCCCTAAGCTGATAACCGTTGAAGCTGGTGGGTGCTGGGTACGTGGGAGTTTAGTATGCTATCCTCCCAACTTCTGGATGTGTTTGAGATTTCTGAATAATAAAAAGTATTTTAATGCCATTATAAAAATATAGCAATTGCTCCAATTTTTAGGGCTTAAGAAACTTTTTTTTTTTTTTTTTTAGGTATTAATGGCTAAGCTAGAGATCTTTGCTATGAAACATTATTGAGCACAATGTAGAATCACCATTTGCATTGACAGGCTTTTTAAATGTCGTTGAATTGTATGTGAAGACATGGAGTTTTTTGTTTCTAATGGTGTTGTGGCAAATAAATCTAGAAAGATACAGCAAGCCCACAAGTGGTTATATGTATATGTCCGTATACCAAAACTTATTATTGCAATATGGTTTAAGTAGGCCATTCTTTGTAACACATGAGTTTTCAAATATTACTTGTTAAAATGCAAAGCGTGGCAATATCTTACTAACCATGCTGTTGTTTTTCTTTCTAGAGTGTGTTTGTTTCACTTTAGATATATGGGGAAAAGAAACATAGCAAGGTAATTCCCGTTGCAAGTTCCACTTTTTTCCCTTCCTTCCAACAGGTGGCAGTCTTGATCATGCCATGTAAAACCTAGCTTCTTCGTTTTGCATTAACCTGAAGTTACCCGTGATTTATTTAACATGTCTCAACTCAAACTGTAAATTAAGCTAGTGTGAACTGACATATTTTTAGGTTTCCCAAAGGGTAGTCACTAGCCTGCTATGCGGAGCTTCGGTTCTAATCCTAGAACGGGTGCTTGGGGCGAGAAAGGGCCTAGATCCAGGGGAAGGCAGGAAGTCATCAAGAGGGAACTGTAAGGTCTGTACTTTTATCAACAACCTGTCAATATTGACTTCAGTTGCTAAGGTAAATAGAAAGCCACAATAGCAGCTGGGACGTGCACTTTCTATTAACTGTTCTCTTCTTTTTGCCACCTAAGTCTTTTTTAGCATTTTTTTTTTTAAGATTTTATTTATTTATTTGACAAGAGAGAGACACAGCGAGAGAGGGAACATAAGCAAGGGGAGTGGGAGAGGGAGAAGCAGGCTCCCCGCTGAGCAGGGAGCCCGATGCGGGGCTCGATCCCAGGACCCTGGGATCATGACCTGAGCGGAAGGCAGACGCTTAACAACTGAGCCACCCAGGCGCCCCTTACCACCTAAGTCTTAAAGAAATAAATACTTCAAAACATGTTTGAGGGACCCTAAGGAAAAGATTCTTTATTTCAGTAAGATCTGTTTTTAGGGGGTAGAGTTAAGGAGCTCAAATAAAGTGTCCTTTTTAAAAAATTAAATGCCATGGCACTTCCAAAAACTGAAGGGGCACTTTGGATGGAGTTTATTGCTGAGTGTCGGGAACATCCTAATAATGGGTAATTCAGGTGACCATGTCTGCTGCCTTTCCCCGTGACTCGGAGTCGGCACGGTGACTACCACTCTGAGCTTTAATCTCTACGATTCTCCCTGTTCTCCCACTCCATTTACTAGAGGATGGACAAACTCTTTTTCTTCCTGAGTTGCCATATGACCCAGCTGTAATTTTTTTTTTTAATGGAATCTTTAAACTGAAGGAAAACAGAAGTTGGCACATCCTAGTAACAGACATGTTCAAAACATGTCTGATCCAGGTTTAACTCCAGGCCAGAAACAGATTAGATAGGCATTCCTTCTTGCACACCCAACCCCAGGAATACTCCGCATCCTCATTTCCACTCTGAGTATCCCTCCCACTAATTTCTGTGACTCTGGCCCTTCCTTCCTTGCCTTTTGAGAAAAGACTGCATCTTATGGAGTGTTGGCCACTTGACTCTGATTTTTTTGAGGAGAAGGAGGGAAGGAAGAAGCTTTTTCTAAATTCCTTAGTTATATTCTCATAGCAAAAGCTCTTTTATTTATTTATTTTTTTAAAGATTTTATTTATTCATTTGACAGAGAGAGAGATAGCGAGAGCAGGAACACAAGCGGGGGAGTGGGAGAGAGAGAGAAGCAGGCTTCCCGCGGAGCAGGGAGCCCAATGCGGGGCTCGATCCCAGGACCCTGGGATCATGACCTGAGCCGAAGGCAGACGCTTAACGACTGAGCCACCCAGGCGCCCCGCAAAAGCTCTTTTAAATATACACTAAAACTTCATACAATTTCCAGTGCTGCCTCATTTAAGCCCAGTAATAGTAGATAGAATATTGAACACAGTATACTGTTTATGTGGAAACCTAATCATTTATTAAGTTTTTTTTTTTTTTTAAATAACATTGAGATCTGGTACGAAGAGTACTCCGTTTCCTAACTTTAAAATTTACTTTAGGGTGCACGATGCCTGGCTGTCAAAGCACTTTGGAATAGACCGAAAATCGCAAACCATGCCAGCTCTTCGAAACAGATCAGGGGTAATGCAGGCCCGACTTCAGCATCTTAGCAGCCTGGAAAGTTCGTTTACACTTAATCACAGTAAGTGAAAATGTGGGTAGTCTACCCATTTGAAACATACATATAATGCTATGTAACCTTGAAGAAATTCTAGCTTAAATCACCAATACGATTGGAAATGACTTCACATACATGGATGTATTTGCGTATCTCTGTGTTTATTTACAGTCCTTTTTTTTTTTAAAGATTTTATTTATTTATTTGAGACAGAGAGAATGAGAGACAGAGAGCATGAGAGGGAGGAGGGTCAGAGGGAGAAGCAGACTCCCTGCCGAGCAGGGAGCCCGACGCGGGACTCGATCCCGGGACTCCAGGATCATGACCTGAGCCAAAGGCAGTCGCTTAACCAACTGAGCCACCCAGGCGCCCCTACAATCCTTTCATCATACAGGAATATCTCATAAAATATGCGTGGATTTTCCAGCGGTTTTTTGGTGATGGTGGTTTTTCTCTTAGTTCAGTATTAAAGAAACCAGTTTTTTCCAACTGAATTGCTGTTGTCATCATATTATTTTACACTGGATATCCTTCATTCCTACTGTTAAACTTCAATGCAAATAATGGCATCTTAATGTAATAGTATCTATAATACTTGTTTTAGTATATATAATATCTGTTCATTCAATGATTTTAAGGGATTACACCTGCTGAGCTGACTGCAGAAATGAAAGAACTGTAAATACTATTTTGACAAAGGTATATTGCACATGTATTGAAGGATTGACAAGGAAAATAGGACAAGGAGAGAAATGTTGACCAGCCAGGGAAAGCTAGAGGGTTATATAAATGGAAGCTAGCCTCTGAAAAGCAAATATTAATAAAAAGCCAACGAGAAATCTTTCATTTCCATATAGTCCTCTGGAGCCAGCCAAACAGGCTTTGTGATAAGGACTAATAATAAAAACAAATGTCTTGAGCAGATGGACCCTGAGCTAATAATAGACTCAAGAACTTCAAAAAAAAAAAAAATGCAAGTTTTACAGCCTTCGGCTTTGCTCTTGTCACTTGTAAAAATGTAATGGTCCTACTTCCTTTGGTTGGCCCAGATGTTTGGTTTTTCTTCTGATGTAGAAACGAGTCCCGTAACATTGGCATAATTAGAAACATCTGGCCATAGGGCAACACCATATGTGATGTCGCCTACTGTCTACGATTTCTCATTTTTGCACACCTAGTTTCCTCTGTTCCTAGTTACATCACCATCGTTATCCCCTAGTTACATCGCCCGAGTTCATCCCTGAAATCTTGTCTCCAAAGAAGCGGAGACACCTAATTATGTGTTGCAGAGCTGTTGATACAGAGCTGAAGTAAGAATGGGTGGAATTGATTAACCAGGCTCATATTTGATTAAGGAATAAATACAGTGAAGCTCATTAGGTCCGCGGATATTGAGAGCCTCCTTCTTGCCCATCTCTCTCTGAGTCTTTGGGGCGGGGGGGGGGGGGGGGAATCATTCCAAACTGTCACATGATTCTCTGCGTTGGGCAGTTTTAATTTACCTTTTTTTTTTTTTTCTTTAATCTTAGGCTCTGCGACCAGCGAAGCAGACATTTTCCATCAGGCACTTCTTGAAGGCAACACGGCTACTGAAGTTTGCTTAACGGTGCTGGATACCATCTCCTTTTTCACCCAGTGCTTTAAGGTAAAGACGAGAAGTCAGAATCCAGTTGGTGTCATAAAGAAAACATTATACACAAATTAATTAGTCAGAGGAAGCGTAATGCGGTGAAAAAGCCCCAAATGAACAGTCCAGAAACTTGGATAACAGACCTCATTTGGCTACCGTGTGACCTTGGGAATTCGCGGAGACTCCCTTGCCACATCCATAAAGGGAGGGGCTTGGACTCATTTGCTCTTAAGCTTCCTTCTATCTCTGAACTTCTGCTGTTGGATTTTTGTGTGCGTGTTCAAAACCCGTTTTCGGTCACACTTTTATTAATCTAGCCAGTAATTTTTAGCTCGAATGAAGATTGAACCGGTGTGCCCAAATACCCTTGGTGATGAGGTATTTTGTCAGGTTTGACGATGCCCAGGCAGGCTGGCTGGCTTCCCTGGCCAGGCGCCTGTTCAGTGCTTTTTCTCAGATGTTTGCCTCTCAACACAAATCGGCATTGCTAGGATTTTAAAAAGAAGAAGGTAAAAGCCATGATGTTGCAGGGTTGTCGGGAGTAAAATGAGATAATAGGAGAGCTCTTTGAAGAGTAAAAATTATGTAACCCACATAATGTAACATTAGCGGGAGAGCTCAAAAGTGAAAAATCTTGCTTGCTTTCCCCTGAGTTACAATCAATTATTTTATTCCCTCTTTTCTATGTAAGGCAGTTAATTGCTTCAGCCCTCCAGGTTTACTTTTTTTTGAGAGAGTGGGCAGGGGAGGGACAGAGGGAGAGAAAAAGAGAGTCTTAAGCAGAACCCACGCCCAGCATGGAGCCCACTTGGGGCTGGATCTTACAACCCTGAGCTTATGACCTAAGCCGAAGGCAGACGCTTCCCCAACTGAGCCACCCAGGTGTCCCCAAATGCATTTTTTTTCATGTTTTGTAGAGTCAACTTTTAAATAACGACGGCCACAACCCATTAATGAAAAAAGTATTTGATATTCATCTGGCTTTCCTTAAAAATGGACAGTCTGAAGTGTCGCTGAAACATGTTTTTGCCTCACTACGAGCTTTCATCAGTAAGGTAAGGAGGACAGCTTTATAGCTGCGAGTGGGCTTCCTCCGTGGCAGGCAGGTAAGAGGGCAATGCGGGCCCCTGGAATGACATCCACGAACCTCAGGTCACGAAGCTGTTAAGTACGGGTGCAGAACAGCAAAATACACGAAGATGGCCCAACCAAGAACCCCGTGAAGTCCAAACATGCTTTTTATTTCACACTGACATTCCTTCCCCCTTTCGGCAGGCTCCTATGAAAAGTATCATTTTCAGATTACCAACCTCAACAGTTTTTCTTCTAGTTTGCTTCTTTTTGAAAGTACTCTCATGCCGAGGATATAGAAGTTAATCTGCGTGCTCCCGTATAAGCCCGTGGAAAGTGGAGACCAGGTTGTCTAACCCCAGGGTCTTGTATCATAGCCTGCAAATGGTAGGCACTCAATACGAGTTCGGGCGAATGAATTCTGCCTTCCAATGCTAATTGTGTCTGCAGGCTCTAAATGTTCAGGCTTCAGGCTGCTTACCTCATCTCAACACAGACCTCAGACCAGGCTTTTAGGAATAAATCTGACTGAAACAGCCAAAATTTATTTCTGGTCTGTTTCTGATAGCTTTTAAACGTAATAAAAAGCATCATAAACCAGGATGGAGTTACAATTACGGAAAGCTACAGTCGAGGCCTCTGCTCTGGTATGAAACTCCAACAAGACAAAGAAATTCAATTAACTGATCTGTGTAGTGGAATAGCTGAGCCTGGAAAACTTTTTTGTCATCATTATTTGTATGGTAGCTTATTGCATTTACTCGATGTAGAACTTGGGTGGATTTGGAGGTTGTTTTTTAATTGCCACTCCTTAATATAATTTTTTTATTATTTTTAATTTTTTTTAAAGATCTTATTTATTTATTTGGGAGAGAGAGAGCACGAGCAGAGGGGCAGAGGGAGAGGGAGAAGCAGACTCCCTGCTGAGCAGGGAGCCCGACATGGGGCTCGATCCCCGGTCCCTGAGATCATGACCCGAGCCTAACTCAGACACTTAACTGAGCCACCCAGGCACCCCAATATAATTTTCTTAAAAGATTATTTATTTATTTGAGAGAGGAAAGAGCAGAACAAGCAAGAGAAAACACGAGTGGGGGGAGGGGCAGAGGAAGAGGGAGAGATAGGCTCCCCGCTGTTCAGGGAGCCCAATGATGCCGGACTTGATCCCAGGACTCTAGGATTATGACCCGAGCCAAAGGCAGATGCTTAACCCACTGAGCCGCCCAGGCGTCCCTCCTTAATATAATTTTTGAATAAAGAAGTATGTGGAGAACTGAATTCAACACAAGCATGATATAAGCAACTAAGGGAAAGAGATTCAGAAATAATTCATCGACCAGTTACCGGGTAGGAACTTACTGGTGTTAGACACTGTGTCCAGGATACAGTCCAGGGGCTTATTGTCCAGTAGAGGGAAACATACACACATATATGCATGCACATCCACAAATACTGCTAGAATAAAAGAAGTCTATACAGGGAACTAAGGGTGGGCAGGAGGAGGGAAATGTTCTAATTTAGCACAAGTTTCTCCGTAGCGGTAGAGATAGAACTTAGTATGGACTGAGCGAGAGATGAGACTGAAGAGGTTAATGGGGACCAGATGATTATATACTCCTCTTAGGAGTTAGACTTCATCTTTGAGCCCTCAGGGAGCATGGAACCAACACAACCAAACCAACCAATACAATTGGATTTGTATTAAGAGCAGATCGGTGCGGGCGGGGAAAAAACTCTGAAAAGTAGTGTGGAAGGTGGATTGGTGGCAATATTAAATAAACGCAGGAAAAAGGCTTACTACAATAAGCTAGATAAGAGATGAGGACCTAAAGTATTAGTGACAGTGACAGTGGAGATGGAGAGTCAAAGGCAGACATAAGACATGGTAAAGAAATTGAATTGATGGGATTTGGTCATCAGTTCGCTGACTGGATGGTGAAGTGTGGTGGGTAATGTGAAATCTAGAGAAAAGACTACATTTGGGGTAAAAGTTAATGAGTTCTGTTTTGTGGACCTGTTGAATTTAAGGTGCCTTTAGGACATCCTGTTAGAGCTGTTAGGATTGGCGGTTGGATATATAGATCTTTGCTCTGGAGAGAGATCTGGGTTAGAAAGCTAGATTTGGAATCATCAACCATCCATCCACCCACCCATCCACCCATCCACCCATCCATCCGTCTATCCATTCATCCATTCATCCACCCACCCATCCATCCATCCATCCATCCTATATTTATTGAACACCGTTTCTCTGGTACTGTACCAGGTACTACAGATACAATGGTGGGGATACAAAAGAAACATAGTCTCTGCCCTCATGAAACTTCTAGTCTAGTGGGGTTGGGGAAAGAAAATGAACAAGTAAGTAAAATAGTAATTATAAGTTCTAGGAAGGAACCAAGGTGCTAAGATAGAGAATAATGATTTGTAGGAGATACCTTACTTTATTTTTATTTTGTTTTTTTTATCAAGCGTGCGCACAAGTGGGGCGGGGGGAGGGGCAGAGGAAGAGGGAGAGAGAGAGAGAGAATCTTAAGCAGGCTCCATGCCTAGCGCAGAGCCCCATGCGGGGCTCCATCTCACAACCCTGAGGTCATGACCCAAGCCCAAATCAAGAGTCGGACATTTAACCAACTGAGCCACCCCCCAGGTGCCCCAGAGATACCCTACTTTAGATAGCCTTGTCCCTTTTAAAATGAGACCTGAAATATGCAAAGGGGCCAACTGTTTGAAAAGCTCAAAGAAGAACACTCTAGGGAAAAGGACATGCATATGCAAAGACCCAGAGTTGGGAAAGAACTGAAAACTCTGGGAACTGAAAGGCCCAGTTCAGCTGGAACCTAGTGAACTAGGGAGATCATCAGCATATGAGTGGTAATTGAAGCCATGGGAGTGGTTTAATTTCCCCTGGAGAGTATGTAGAGGAGGAACAAGAAGAGCAGTACATTGGGGAAAAAAAACCTAGGAAGGGCTGGAAAAGAAATCTGTAGAGATAAGAGGGGACCAGTCACAGAAGTGGAAAGAAAGGCAAAAAAGAGGGATATCATGGAAGCCAAAGGAGAAAAGAGTTTCAACATTATTATGAGGTTTGGAGTGGTCTAATAAGATAAAGGTGAAAGGGAGTCCATTGGGATTGGCAATTAGGAGGTCGTTGATGATTTTGGCCATTGCCCACTGAGGGAAGTATGGTGGAGTTAGAGGCTAATTAGAGTGGATTAACTACACTACCCCCAGGCCCTCCCTTACACCTTTATTTTCATACTAGAGTATCTTGCCCAGCAAGATTTGGTCTAATCTGGTGACACTGTTGATGAGCTTTCCCAATTGCTACTCAAAAAGCAGTCATTAAACATTCATTATCTGCCCTGCACCTTGGCACTTGGTGTTAAGGTGATAAAAAGGAGTAGATTCCTGGGACTCCTGGCTGGCTTAGTCAGTAGAACATGTGACTCTCGATCTCGGAGTCATGAGTTTGAGCCCCACATTGGGTGTAGAGATTACTCTTAAAAAAAAAAAAAAAGGGTTCCTGTAACATGGAACTTCCTAGTTAAACTCAAGATTCCCAAGGAATAATTTTGAAAGGGCGGCGCTCTAGCTTCACACTCCCTGCAAAAATCCATCGTGTACACTTGAAGCAACTTACTACTCGCTTGCCTCGGCATGGAAGCATGGGAGATTGTATCCAGCCTATGTTGTACGAACAGTTTATCTTCCACAAAGAAGACTGAATACATTTTCACAGTAATAGCCACTTGGCCGTTTTGACGATTTGCATCACTTTTGTACTCGCTTTCTAATGCCAAAATGCATTTTACTCAACACTGTTTATGAGTAGAAGATTCACGCGCATGTTTGTGGATGTACACTTCACCTCTACCTCATTTTGTTAAATGATCGCCTTTACTTGATGGATAGATTCCCAGTATAATTTTCTCAGCATTTGGGAGCTCATAATGTAAGGAACTGTTTAAATAGAAAGGAAAAGAGTAAGCAATGCAGATTGTCCTTCCCATTTTCAGAGCCCAAACTGACACCCATCAGTCATTCATCATCTCAGCCATTCATTAAGTTAATACATATTATCAAGAACCTACTCATCATCTTTTCCAGAGCATCATGAGCTTTTCTCAGATCTGTCGCATTTATAGTCAGTACCGCACATTTTGGTAGTGACCTGTATACGGACTTGAATTATTCTGTTATTTTTTTTTTAAGGGTTTAATTTATTTGCTTGAGAGAAAGAGCAAGTGAGAGAGACCGAGCGAGCATGAGCGGGGCGGTGGGGCAGGGGAGGCAGGGAAGGGCAGAGGGAGAGGGAGAAGCAGGCTCCTGGCTGAGCAGCCGGACTCGGGCCGATCCCTGAACCCCAGGATCATGACCCAAGCCAAAAGCAGATGCTTAACCGACTGAGCCACCCAGGCACGCCAGCACCCAGTACAGTTTTGAGTGAGAATGTAGTAGGCATTTGATAGTTGACTGATTTTTGTGATTGGGTTTTCAGATACTTATGTTTTTGCTGTTCTTTAGTTTCCCTCAGCCTTTTTCAAGGGAAGGGTGAACATGTGTGCTGCATTTTGCTATGAGGTTTTAAAGTGCTGCACCTCGAAGATTAGCTCAACCAGGAACGAAGCATCTGCACTTTTGTACCTTCTGATGAGAAACAACTTTGAGTATACCAAAAGGAAAACCTTTTTGAGGACACATCTTCAGGTCTGTGAAAATCAAAGCTCCTGTTTTTTTTTTTTTTTTTTTTTTTTAAGATTTTATTTATTTATTTGGGAGAAAAAGAAAGAGCATGAGCGGGGGGAAGGGGCAGAGGCAGAGGGAGAAGCAGGCTTCCCGCTGAGCAGGGAGTCCGACACGGGGCTCGATCCCAGGACCCTGAGATGCATGACCCCAGCAGAAGGCAAGCGCTTCACCAACTGAGCCCCCCCAGGCGCCCCCCCAACCTGGGTTTAAATCCCAGTTCAGCTCCTTACTTACTGTGTGACCCTAGGCAAGGGACTCAGTCTGTCTTCAACTTTTGCCTTATCTGTAAAATGAGGCAGGTATGGTTCACCTTGCTGGGTTACCGTGAGGGCCGAACAGAAAGTGTGTGTGGTGTCAGGCACTATGCCTGGCATGTGTGTAAGGGACACTTAGTGCGTGGTAGTTGTAATTTAACGTCTACATTTCTTTTGCTTGTTGGATGAAACCACTCTGAGCCAGACCACAGATGGGACTTCTTGACTCACTAGGCAGCTTTGCCCTCTAGGAAATCCTTGGTCGTATTTCCGTCATCTTCGCTGCCACAGTCTGTTCTATTGGTGGTGTTTTATTGGAGCCTGGGTTAGAAACGGGGAAGCAACCATAAGTGGCTTCCTAGAAACATCATCGGGAATGGGAAAATCTGATAGAGGTAGATGCTTCCTATAAAAATCTGCCACGTGGTTACTTAGGGCTACGAGGGCCAGCATTACCTGTGAGGGCTTCTGCTATGTGCTTTTATGAGGCACCACTTAAAGACCGCCTTCCCCAAAACACTTCGGCAGTAAACGTGCCAGTGTACCTGAAATTCCCCATTCAGGTCCATTCTTCGGGGTCAGAGCATCCATTCTCTCAAGTCATTTATCGAAATATCACATTAATAAATGTGAAGACTTAAAACCATCTCTGGCACATAGTAAGTGCTCAATAAAGGGTTAACTAGTATTATAATTAGGATCTCTTTCATTCTCATAACTGCGCTATCAAGTAGGTATTGTTATCCTCCCCATAGGACAAATGAGGACAGTGAGGCACAGGAGGGTGAAATAACTTTCCTAAAGCCCCACAGTGAATAATCGACTCTAGAGCCTGCACTCACAGCTCCCACAAAACCCTGCTTCCCGTGAGCGGGGGTAGAGCCTCCAGCCATCAACAACAGAGAATGAATCACGTAGGCGATCACCCAAGGGAGCTTGAAAGATTCAAACCACTCCCTAAGGCCCTAATGTATCCTGCCATCTGAACTGGAGAGAGCCGAGTCAGAAACCAGGACGGGAGCTGAGGGGCTGCGGTTGGGAGTCCAGCATGCTGAAATCGACTAGTGAAAGGCACTGAGAAACCATCCAAGAGAAATGTCATTTATTCCCAGCTTTGCCATGGTGACCACCTAGCCAGCGGAGACCTGACCACCGTCGTGTCAGTTCATGATCTTGCGAGCTGTTTTAGATCTCGCTGTGCTAGGACTTGTGAACAGTTGTTCGCCACTAACCAAGAAAAGGTTGAATAAACTTTGCAATTGTGACCTTTTGAAGTTGCTCTTTTGCTAGAAGAATTTAAACCCTTCATGTATGAAGAAAACAGATTATGATGGAATGGTGTAGCATTTTTATTTTATTTTTATTTTTTTAAGATTTTATTTATTTGAGAGAGAGAGAAAGCATGAGTAGGGGGAGTGGTAGAGGGACAAGCAGGGTCCCCGCTGAGCAGGGAGCCCGACGCGGGGCTCGATCCCAGGACCCTGAGATCATGATCTGAGCCGAAGGCAGACGCTCAACTGACTGAGCCACCCAGGTGCTCAGTGCAGCATTTTTAAAAGGAACATTTCATACAGGTGCTTATGGGCTTCCACAATGATGAAAATAAGCAGCATTTGTTCAAAAGACATTCGAGAAACAGTGTGTGCTTCTTCCCACAGATCATAATCGCGGTGAGCCAGCTGATAGCCGACGTGGCGCTAAGCGGAGGATCGCGATTTCAGGAGTCTCTGTTCATTATCAACAATTTTGCAAACAGTGACAGACCCATGAAGGTATGTTCTCACTGCAAGGAGTAAACTAGAACCACCTTTCGTGGCAGAGAAGTTTACACTCCTCTCATTACACTGTCATTGGATTCACCACTCTTGATGGTGTCGAGTGTATAGGACGTGGGCTTTGTCTTGTACAGGCCTGCGTCTCCAGCACCCAGAACACGGCCTGGTACGTAGTACATCTTCCCAAAATTATCTGACTGGATGGAGGAATGACTATACTGTGTATACATAGTATTACAGCTAGTGGGATTGGAATTTTTTTCTGAGCTTGATTTCCAAACTTGCTCAGAAAACAGATGGCTTCTTTTTTATTTTTATTTATTTTTTTATTATTAACATATAATGTATTATTTGTTTCAGGGGTGCAGGTCTGTGATTCATCAGTCTTATGCAATACACAGGGCTCACCACAACACATACCCTCCCCAGTGTCCATCACCCAGCCACTCCATCCCTCTCACCCTCCTCCACTCTAGCAACCTTCTTTTTTGAGAGTTATTACCATTTATGATATTGGTTACTGAAGCACTGGGTTTCAGGAATCCTCTGTTCACTGATTACGGCTTGCCCTAGATGTGGATTGGAAAACCCAAGCCCAGTCCTGTTGTTCTTAGGTACCAGCTGGCTGAGGCTGAGCCCAAGACCCTGACCACCATCCCTCTTTCTTACCTGTACACTCACAACCTATAACATTGTAAAAATGCATTTGTCTTGTTGCACGGAGAACATGTCCTGATCTTCAGTGATGCATGTGTGCAAGGGAAGACGAATCTTTTGCCAATAGAAGACTTTCCCTCCCAGAGGGATCATCCCCATTCTTGGGAAAGGTCATCCATCCTCCAGGATCATTTAACAATACTGTATTTAAAAAAACTGGAAGGAAAAAAAAAAAAGCTCCCAGTCACAGCATACTTGATGTTTAGGACATGTAGAATCTATGTACCAAAAAAAAATTATTCCCATAGGAATGTTGCTTAGACTGAAAAAAACAAAAAACAAAACAAAACAAAAAAACCCACTGAGTAGTACCAGCCCTTCTCCAGCTGGGAAAGTTTGCTTTTCAGCCGGTTCTACTGGTTCTCTGCGAGATCAGTATATGTTCCAACTAATCCCATGAGCACAGAAACAATTTATGTCATTTAGGATCTTCTACCCTGAAATTTATTTTTACCAGTTATTACCATTCTTAATTCTATGTTATGTAAAAGTTGGATTAGCATCTTTTTCAAAGTAAATGAGCTCTACTGTGGAAACGAGCTCTACTGTGGCTGACCTTGATAAGAACTCTTTGTCATGACTCATTTCTTAGTTGTCATCACCAATAAACCCTGTGACAACAAGGTGTGCCTTTACCCCCGTAAATAAAATTGCTACTGGGGTATAAGAAGAAACTTTAATCTGAAACTAAGGATGTACTGTATGTTGGCTAATTGAATTTAAATAAAAGTTTAAAAAAAAAAGGAACCTTATTGGACATAATTATGATTTTTAAAGGGATCAAGAAAGCACTTTTAAGAACTGTTTCCTCCACATTTGGTTATATTCACATTGGAAAGCTCCCTAACCCCTGTACTTGTCCCTCACTCATCTTCTCCGAATCCTACAGGTAATCGTGATTAGTCCACTGGGGTTAAGAGGAAGTGATAGTACTTTCTTAATAGTGGCTGGGGTAAGAGGAAACTGTAACTTAGTGGGTTTGGAGAACACAACAACACTCCGAGAGAAGCTAGTAAATTCTTTAGAGTGTTCTGTGATTCATAACCTTTTAGTTGTAGAAGTGGAAATGTTTGCAGTATGGTTTTTACCTGAGTGTATATGGTAATTGGTGGATGGGATAGGTATGCTTGTCTGTGTGGGAGAGTGGCTGAGATCACTAGCCCTGGAGCCAGGATGTCTGGGCATAAATCCTGTCCCTACCACTTAACCAGCTGTGACACTTAGGCCGAGCTGTTTAACTGTGGTGTGCCTCCGTTTTCCCATTGGTTAAATGAATTATAACAGTACCGATTTCATAGGGTTGCTGGAAAAATTAAAACATGTAAGGCACTTAGACCATTGCCTGATACATAGTAAGCTGTCAGTTTTTAGTTACTCTTGTAACTGAAACTACACAATAATGGCAAGTAATTCTCGTGGCCATGGCATTTACAGTGGACAAGCTAGAGTTCAGAGCCAGGTAGTCTGGTTCCAGAATCCATGCCTTTAGGTATTGTGAGCATACTGCCTTCAGCCTTCAGCCCTTGAAGCCTGAGCCAGTTGGACCTTTTAAAAAGAATTCATTTAAAGCTCTTTAGGGGCGCCTGGGTGTCTCAGTCAGTTAAGTGTCCGGCTCTTGCTCTCAGTTAGGTCTTGATCTCGGGGTCATGAGTTCAAGCCCCATGTTGGGCTCCATGCTGGGTGGGGAGCCTACTTAAAAAAAAAATAAAGCTCTTCAGACATGTAATATACCAAGAACCAAATACCAAGAACCGTAACCAGGAATATAAATCATGTTATTCCCAGAATTGGATGCCAAGGCTTAGAGGACATTGATAATATTAATGGACACGGCTTTTGTTTGTTTGTTTGTTTCGAAATCAGGCAACTGCTTTTCCCACAGAAGTCAAAGACTTGACCAAGAGAATCCGTACCGTTCTTATGGCCACTGCTCAAATGAAGGAGCATGAGAAAGATCCTGAAATGCTCATTGATCTCCAGTATAGCTTGGCCAAGTCCTATGCAAGCACCCCAGAGCTCAGGAAAACCTGGCTCGACAGCATGGCCAAGATTCATATAAAGAATGGAGACTTTTCAGAGGTGACGCCTTCAGACTTTGTTCTAAGCACAATCCTGCAAAAACCCTGGAACACGGGCTGACCGTTCTTTCTTTGTCCTCCTTTTTCAGGCAGCAATGTGTTATGTCCACGTGGCCGCTTTGGTTGCAGAGTTTCTTCATCGAAAAAGTAAGATATTTCTGTTCTTAGAGACAGGGAGGATTTCCATTAGTGCGAGAGTTTTTATGTTTGTAGCTTGATGTCATTGAGCTCCGAAAACTATGTTCACCTTTAGCCCCATTCCGTGTTAAACAGAAGTTGTTATAAAAGAAAACTGGATTATTCATTTTGCCTTCTGCTTCCATTAAGAGTACAAGAATAAGTTAAATAGTACAGGGCCAGGCCTGATGCCCAGTGTTTATTTTTTCAAGACTGTCTCCCTGGAAGATTGCCACCGATTAAATTCTTCTCAGGGCTTATGAGAAGCTCGGGTTAATAGAGATCATTTGTTTTCCTCTCATCTCTCTCAGCTTCACAAATACTGCCCACCAGGGATCTCTCTGTAGCCACTTTCACACACCAATACTTTGGTATTAAAAGGCAGTTAGCACATCAGCAAGATGGCCAAATAAGGTGTCCCTTGTTTGTATACCCTCCCCTCCTACAGTTGGGCATCTATCCGTGGACAAAAGTGCCTCTGTGGGAGCTGTGGGATCCAGCACCGTGTGCCCAGGGGCCTGGGGAGGAATCCCACCCATACGTTAGGTAACGGGCAGTCAGACCTTGGTCCCCTAGCAGGCCCTAGCCCTTCTCAGCTGCGGTCTGAGAGCCCCTGGAGAACACTGCCTTAGACAGTCATCCACAGATGAGAGGACCTGGGTGCAAGTCCAGGGGTCCAGTTGAGATGTTTAGCATGCCTTTGGAGCAAAACAGATACAAGTTCGGATGCCTTGGGGAGGGTAAGAGGACCAGTTTGACTTGACTCAGGCACCCCCTTCCTCGAGGTGGCACAGCTCAGTGCCAAGAGAGACCTTCTCACCCACGATTTCTTCAGTGGGAAAAAGTGAGAGCCTGTGAATGGGCACCTGGCTTCCCCAGCAGTACAGGACCTGCCGAAGAGGCCTATTTCTCTCTTGCCCCGCCAGAGTCCTGGCTCATGAGCCGCATGACTGGCGGCAGGAAGAGGTGGGGAGTGATGCAGATAGAACTCCTAGAGGACACTAAAAAGACAGGGATCCTACTAGCTGCCTTGCAGGCCCCATTCAGAACCCTGCCAACAAGGCACTAGGGACACTTAGCTCATGGATTCCACCCCCCTCCCGCCCCATCTAGCCCACAGGCACTGTCCGTACTCTGTGCATCTAAACCACATACTCCTTTATCCTGTAGCCGGCTCCCTGTGTGTTCTCCTGATGGGTGGAGAGAGCAAGCTTTGGCAGATGACCAGAGAGCCATCCAGAATCTGTAGGCCACTAAGGGACCACAGACTTGAGCTTTAGCATCACCCTTGACAGAGCAAAAGGGAGCTGTTAGCACCCAGCCTGGTGTGTTGCATGATGGAGAGAAGGCATACAAGCTTAAGGAATCTACCACAAAGGGGAGCATGAAGTGTGAAGCAAGGATATCCCTAGTGGGTCTGGTAAAGCCGCAGACTCCCTAGCAGGGCAGATGGAAGGTATTTCTCTCCCAAAGTCAGTCAGTAAAGGTGGTTGGAGATGGCTGCTACTTTCAGATGCAAGACTTCCGAGAACGGGAAAAATAAAGGAAACATGACACCACCAAAGGATCACAGTACTCTTCTAGTAACTGGTGCCAAAGACCTGGAGCTCTGCAATTTACCTCATCAAGAAAACAAAAGAACTGTGTTAAAGAAGCTTAATGAGCTGCAATAAAACAGAAAGACAACACAATGAAATCAGGAAAACAATACAAGAACACAACAAGAAGTTAAATATAGAAATTTTTAAGAAAACACAAATTCTGGCATTGGAGAATACAATGAATGAAGTGAAAAATGCAACAGAGAGCATTACCAGCAGAATGGATCAAGCAGAAGAACTAATCTGTGAATTAGAAACCAGGACCTTTGATGGGATACATGCGTGGCTCTTGGTTCAGGCTCGGGTCACAGTCTCAGGGTCGTGAACGCGGGCTCCATGCTCAGTAGGTTGTCTGCTTGAGATTCTCTCTCCTTCTCCCCCTGCCCCTCCCCTCTAAAATAAATAAATAAATCTTAAAAAAGGAAGAAGAAGCCAGGACCTTTAAAATGACCTCATCAGAGGAGAACAAAGGACAAAAGAATGAGAGTAAAGAAATCTATGTGGGTGATCTTTGGGACAGCATCCAAAGAAACAATCCGTGAACTCTCAAGAGTCCGAGAAGGAGACAGAAAGCTTTTATTTCAAGAAATAATGGCTGAGAACATCCCAAATCTAGGGAGAGATTTGGACACCCATGTTCACGAGGCTGAGATCCCCCAAAAAACCTCAAAGAGAGCTTCTCTAAAGACACATTATAGTAAAACTATCAAAAGACAAAGGATCCGAGGGCAGCAGGAAAAATAAGTTTGTAACTTACAAGGGAACCCCATAAAGCTTTCAGTGGGTTTCTCAGCAGAACCTTGCAGGGAAGGAGAGAGCGAAATGATCTATTCAGAGCGCTGAAAGAATAAAACTGCCAATCAAGAGCACTCTTCCCAGCAAAGTTGTCCAGAAATGAAGGACAGATAAACGTTCCCAGGCAAACAAAAGCTGAAGGAGTTCATCACCACTAGACCTGCCTTGCAAGAAATGCTGAAAGGAGTTCTTCAAGCTGAAATGAAAAGATGCTAATTAATGACACAAAAACATACGAAATGGATACGTATGAATGGATAAAGATGTGGCACATATACACAATAGAATGTTATTCAGCCACGAGAAAAAGGAAATCCTGCCATTTTGGGCAATATGAACAGACCTTGAGGGTGCTCTCTAAGTGGAATGAGTCAGAAAGCAAAAGACAAACACTGTACGATCTCACTTTCATGTAGTATCTAAAAAGTTGAAGTCACAGAAGCAGAGAGTGGAATGGTAGTTGCCAGGGGCTGGGGGGTGGGGAAAACTGGGAAGATGTTGGTCAAAGGGTAGAAACTTTCAGTTACAAGATGAATAAATTCTGGAGATCTCATGCACAGCACAGTGATTATAGTTAACGATACTGCGTTATATACTTGAAAGTTGCTGAGAGGGTAGATCTTAAATATTCTCATCTCCCCCAAAATGGTAATTATGTGTTGGTGTTAACACCGCTGTGGTGATCGTTTTGCAATATACACATATTGAATCAACACACACACCTTAAACTTACACAGTGTTATATATCAATTAGGTCAATAGAGCTGGCGGAGAGGTGGGGAGTGGCCCCGGGAAGGGGGGAGGGTGAGAAACAAAAAGGGAGTCAATGGTCTTGAAGGGCTTCGGGATCCAGCAGGTCTAATTCAAGAATCTGCCAGAAAGCTTCCCTTTCTGAAAACAATATTGCTGGCTCCTACTGTAAAAACTACTCAAGTAGTAAAACAGTTGAGCTAGGTTTAAAAATTGATCGGCAATGGATTATTGCAAAGAAACCTTCCACTATCTATCATAATGGCCAAGCTACTTTAAGGCGGTTGAATGAGTAACATGAGAGCAAAATGAAACCGTCTTGTGGGAGTCCTATCACTCTGGCTTGGTCTATGAGAACACAGCCATATTTTGTTTTGTTTTTGTTTTTGAACTCCAGAATTCCTACAGCTAACGATATGGCTTTCATTTCACGTCTAAGGCTCAATGTTTGATTGCCTCATATAATACCACCCATGTGGGGAGAACCTCTTTCCAAAAAGAGCCTTCCCAAGCGTGGTGTCATGACTAAAATGTAGATTCATTTTACTTATATTTTAAATGAACACTTTCTGTTTGATACTGAAATATTTTTTTTAACAATCCATGTGTTTGAAATTGGCATACTCTAGTTTTCTCCTTTTAGTACATAGGTGGTTTGAAAGCAGAAAATCTTACTTATCAAAAGAAGACCCCATTTGAGATTTTTTTTTCCTACATCACTGGTCTGCCCGTGAAATATTGAAATTCCAAATAAACTAATATGAGAACTCTAAACACACTAATACGTTTTTAGGTCTATTTTTCAGATAAATGAGGTTAATATTACCTCCTCTTTTTAATTAGAGAAATCTGCAATAGAGTTTCATGTCCACTGAAAATGGTTAAAAACATTAAAATATTTCCCTAGAATTTGTTTCCACAAGTCCAAAAACCCTACAATTAAGCAAAAATCAAGAATTATTCATCTCCATTATCAATCCTTAAGCTTTAAAAATATAAGACTGGACAAATAGCAACATATATATATATATATATATATATTTTGCTGTGGTTTTTTTGGACATTAGCTTGAGGCAGCTAGCCTGAACACCAAACAGTGTGACATGTTTCGGTAAGTGTAAATGGTGCTTAAAAGCCTTTTTTTTTTATTTGACTGTAGTTGACACACAGTGTTACATTAGTTTCAGGTACACAAAATAGTGATTCAACTTCTCTATACGTTATGCTCTCCTCACCACGGGTGTAGCTCCCATCTGTCACCAAACAACACTATTACAGTACCAGTGATTACAGTCCTATGCTGTGCCTTTTATTCCTGTGACTTATTCATTCCATAACTGGAAGCCTGTATCTCCCACTCCCCTTCACCCATTTTGCCCGACCCCCATTTAAATACTTACTTCATGATCCCTTCGAGGTTTTTCAGAGTTTACCCTTCATAGAAATCAGGGGGCCCCTCTCAGAGTTGGAAAAAATGTTTAGCATTTTAAACAAAACATAATGTCAAGTTTAGGAGTTTACATATTTATTTATAGGCTGCCATCTATTTTTAAACTTGGAAAATCCTACTTGCTTAAACTAGCAAAGCTGATTCCAAAATGATGACGGAAGTAAAATCCTCAGGGTTCCCCCCACCCTTGGCTTTAGTCATTCCGAGGATCCAGAACACCTTCTTTTGGTGATTAGCTGATTAAACTATGCTAGTTATACCAATGCGGACTACTAATTGAAAACACAAGTTAAAAACTTAATCCGTTAACCTGTTATCCAGTCTGAGAACTTCAGGATCTAGATAAGAGCTGGATATTTGCCCTGTAAATAAAAGTATACAGTTGAGTGCAGAAAAGAAAAAAAAAAAGTTTTATTAACACTTAAAGACAGACTTACTTCACAAGAATAGTTGAGCAATTCCACAACCTTTCTACTGTTAAGTGTCCTTTGATCACGAAGACAAAGGGGAAGGAGAGTTAGTAGAAGGTATTTTTAAATCTTTGACAGCTCAATTGCAAAAATTTTGCTTTCTCAAACTCCTATGCCATTTCTCTTGAAGTCATTATAAAGCACTTCTTTTAATCAAAATGAAATGAAATACTACCGACCAGCTCACATACTGAAGACAGATGTTCTCCTGTTTACAGTTTTTAAGGAAAAAAACTAGTTTGTCCATTGGGTGGTTGCCTAACAAGCAAAGGCTTGCACCGCCCCCCCGCCCCGCTTTTGGGGGGCTGACTCCAGAAGACCAGCAATGGCCTATTTCTAGATCCTTTTTTTTCATGTTGCAGGCACCGAACTGGAAAGGGAAAGGGGAAGGAGACGTGCAGTTCTCCCTGCCACCCCCACCCCCACTTCTTTCAGTCAGCCAAAGCTCTTGCTCTTCCTACTAGAGGGATCCTAGGCATTATCATTCTCTTCCTTTTACGTAAGTTACCTCTAAGTGGTGATGCTTACTGGGTGTTGGTTACTCTTACCCCCACAGATATAAAATAGAAACCAGGCCTAAATGTCCCTATTTCTGTTTTATCTGAGAAGCCCCAAATATTCTAGATCTCCTTTGGAGGCTAGACTTTATGTACCTCTCCCTCTTCTCTTCCTGAGGGCAGGCACAACTGTTCTCTGCCCTCCCCCCCCCCCCCGGGGAAGACAAGAGTCAAGTCTCTGCATTCTCCCACCCCCACTTGGCGTCCAGGGTTCAACAGAGCTTCCGTCCTAGAGGGCTCCCCCAACAACCCACAAAAAGGAATTTCCTTTCCCATAGAGTCTGTTCTTTTCATTCCTTATAGGGTAATGTTGCTCCCTTTCTCAACTCTTTGTACCCAGGATCTGATAGCTTAAGTTCTGCAGGCTTTTTATTTCCCGATTCCTTACCAATCACAGCCTTTCCCCTCTTCTGCCCTCCTCTCAGGACTTTCAACCTCTTATCCTTCCTCTGACCAGCAGTCTTACTTTATCAAGGGTTGGACTGCTGCCCCATCCTCCAAACTCCTCCCCACTTTTTTTTTTTTCCCCTGGGATCACTTGTGCTCAGGGTAATGGTCTGTCCTTGGACCGTTTGCATCTTGCTTTCCCTGGGACAGCAGTCAGGAATCGAGAAGCTATAGCTATGAAGGGCAAGGTCAGGAATCCAGGTCATATACCAGAAAGATCGACAGCAGACTCTTGAATACCACCTTCTGTAATGCTACACAGGGCTATGTGAGGTTCCTGAAATGCATGCCTCTCTTTGTTGGGGTATATACACTGGCCACTTCTAGATTCAGCAACTTGCTTCATCTGAAAATCTTTCCAGCATTTTAAAGACCCTCACAACCAAAAGGGTCCTCATATCATTGGATAGTTTGGTGGGTGCTAATAAATTAGGCAAACAAGGGGTTATAGTCTCCTCTAGGTAAAGTTACATCATCAGGCATAGAAATCAAGATAACACACTTAGTAAGAATAGTGGAATCCGAGGCTAGCAATCCATAACAGTAGGCTTTCTGCCAGATGAAGCAGACATCAAACTTCAAAGTGGGTGTTAACCTGTCAGTTTCTGAGAAAAAAAAAAAAACATAATTTGCCCTCCTTCTACTTAAAATATATACCAGAAGACTCTCTCCCACGATGCTGTAGCCTCATCTGATCTCAGGCATAGGAGTGTGCCTCTTTTTGTCCTCCCCTAAATTACAGCATTCTAGAAGAATCCTAGATTTGGGAATCACTTAATAAATCTCAGAGCAGACAGGAATTTCTTCCCTAGTCATGGACCTAGCGGCCAGAGGCCTTCAGGGACTAATGGTTTTTCTCTGTCGAGGACTACACTCTATCGCTTTGCTCAAGTTTTGGGGGCCCTCTTCCCTCCTGCCTGGCTCTTGACTTCACAGAGGTGATCAAGTGGGACATTTTCTCCTCGATTTCAAAACATTCTCCTAATGCACTACCCAGAGAGTGGCCGATCTGAGACCTGTTTGTTACTGGTCCACAGCAAGGTAAGGAGTATTATCCTAAATGTAAATCAGCTATGTCACTGGGCATATTTAATTCAGTGGACATTTGTTCGCCCGTAGACTTCCTCAAAGAAGGAAAAGATGTATTGATTTATGTTCTGGTGCCAGTTCCTTATCTTGTTGTGGTCCAGCGCTTTGAATAGATTGCTCCTAGAAGTCTATCACAGACCATTTGAGGCATGCTTATCTTCAGAAACGGAGTGTGTCATGCCCTATCTTCAGTGTCTTTTATTACCTAATTTCTTTGAACAAAAATGGCCCTAAAGTCCATTGGGTCAAAGTAAATCTCATTTTCATTTCTGCTTCTCCTTCCTTCACAGAAATCCACTGACTGCCCCCAATGTGTTTCTCCATTCTTGAAGAAGGACTTCAGAATGACCCCATCTTCCCTCACCCGAATTCTGTCTCTCTCTCTGATTCTCTCACAGAAGCATGGTGCTTACTTGATAACTCACGCTCCATCAAGCCTCTTACCAGATGGCCTATGTCCAGTTAGCTTTCATTTAGACAAGAGGAGTTGGCAAAATCCAAGCCCCAATACCTGACCTTTTTTTTTTTTTTTTTGGTACCAGAATTCTGAGAAATCTCCTAAATATGAAGTCTGACTCTCTTTTAAGTCTTCCTTCTTTTTCCCCCCAACCTCTAACCTCGGGAAGCTTTCCAGCGCTTCAGCTGTGAGTAGATCATGCTTTCTAAGCACCACTGTTCTAGAGGGTGTAGAACAATAGATTGCAACAGTTTTTATTCGCTTGTGACCAGCCACTTTTCACTGACTAGCAGATTCTTTTATAAGGAGCCTGGATTTCCCGTAACTCTTAAATTACAGCCCACTTACAGAAGGGTAAATGAAGGCAGCCACGACAAGAGCTGCTTGGACATGTTCCCCTGTCCAGAGTGTGTAGGGTAGCCGCGTGGCCTGCCTTCTCTACCTAGACTCTCGCTTGACAGGAACCATTTGGTCCACGATCCTACAGCAGCTGTTCTCAGCTTGGGCTCACTTGCTGCTTCCCAGGGGCCCAGCTGTATCCTCACTTACTCTGCCAGCTGGCAACAATTGTCCAATCTTGGAAAAGCCCATTTATTTATTGGTAGCTTTGGTCGTTAATAACTCATTCAACACTCCCTATACGCTAGGTTCTGTTCTAAACACTTTGCATTTCCTTTAATTCTCACGAAGTAGCTGTTCTCTCTGTTTTACAGCCGATGAAACTTTTTACGGTTCTAGAGAGATGAGCATGTCTCGAATCACGCAATTAGTGATAGACCTGAAGCCCTCGAACTCCGAAAGCTCCGATTCTCCCAGTGCCTGCCCCTTTTCTCCAAGGATGCTTCAGCCCTGCCATATGTTTTCTCTTTCTGACTCTCTTACAAGTCCTAGGCTAGGCTTCCTCCAATGACCCACTTCCTTTTCCAGTTCTACAGTGAAATTAGGAACTAGAAATGGTTACAAAAGTTTATTCTCTGGGGCGCCTGGGTGGCTCAGTTGGTTAAGCGACTGCCTTCGGCTCAGGTCATGATCCTGGAGTCCCGGGATCGAGTCCCGCATCGGGCTCCCTGCTCGGCAGGGAGTCTGCTTCTCCCTCTGACCCTCCTCCCTCTCATGTTCTCTGTCTTTCATTCTCTCTCTCTCAAATAAATAAATAAAATCTTTAAAAAAAAAAAAGTTTATTCTCTGGTTACCTGAAAAGTACATGCCCTCCTTGATTAGGGGACAAACGAGAAACATACAGGATCAAGGTGTTAGATGACACTAGGGAAGCATTGCCTTTACTAGCCATTGGAGATGATGCAGAGTCCAAGAAGGAAACTTACTTGTTGGTAACTTGAGCTCGCATTTTGGGGGAAAAGACTGGTAAAATGTGTAGTAGTTGGGAATCATTTGTAAAATTCTTTACAGACTGAAAATTGCACATAGGATTTTTGATCGGCACAAAAATATCTGCGTTTGTTTTTAAGGGTAACCAGTCCCTGTAAAGCTGTTATTTACAAAATGCTTTTTTTAAAAAAATAAATTCCTTTCACTGCTTTCTATTCATACAGAATTATTCCCTAATGGATGTTCAGCCTTCAAGAAAATTACTCCCAATATAGATGAAGAAGGAGCAATGAAAGAAGATGCTGGAATGATGGATGTCCATTATAGTGAAGTAAGATTCCAGGGCCTGCAATGCCAGTTATATAAATTTAACTTCTTAAAATTCATATTAAAAAATTATTACAGCTAACTTAATTGGGAAGGGAACTAAGGACCAATGAACTGTAAGCATGAAAACTGCCCAGGGCAGAGATGTCCCTATTTGGAATGTGGAACCCTGCCTCTGGAACTGTTCCTATTGTCTGGCTTTAGAGAGGTGATATTTATCATCTTCAAATAACCATCCCAGTAACCAGATCAGGGTCAACATGCTTTGGAAAAATTTCCATAAAAAATATAGCTCACAGTGTAACAGCTAAGCAGAGTATGCATAAGAGTCTTTTTAAAAATGGAACATTTCTGCTGTAAACTTCATAAGGATACCGAATGGCTTTGGTTGTCAGTCAACAAATATTTATTGACTTAGGAGCAAGGCTCTGGAGCTGGTGATGTAGGCGCTATAAAATAATTAGCGAGGGCCAAACCCTGACCTCCAATGTCTACCTACACGGAATGCGAAAAAAAAAACAGAACAAAACAAGACCAGGCCATTTGAATAATACACACAGTGGACTGTTCCATGGAAAGTCAAAGGTGAGAGAGATGCCTTTGAGCTGAGGTAGAGCAGCGAGCTGTGATTAGAGAGGGGTGGGGTGAAGAAAGAGGACACCACGAAGGCGGTCTAACAGAGAAGGAGACCAGCAGGGACGAAAGCTACGAAGTGGGAAAGCGTAAGGCATCGGGGCAGTAGAATGGATCCTTTTGGCTAAACCCAGTTGGGTTCACAGAGAGAAGTAGTTGAGGTCAGATTTTTGAGAAACTTTGAATGTTTGGGCTTTATCCAGCAGAATGTTGAATTGCTCTCAAAGTTTTGGGGGCAGAACAATGGCAGGATCAAAGCAAGGAAGAGGAGAGGGTAATTTGGCGGTAACGTGGGAGCTAGAGAGAGGGCTGCCCAGGAGTCCAGGAATGAGGCAGTCAGGGCCAAAACCCACCTGCTGACAGAGTCACGAAACACTACGAAGAAAGGAGGAAGGCCTGCTGGCTGTGGGAAGGGAAGAGTCAAAGGTAGCTCTGAGCTTTTGGGTTTGGATAGTCCAGAAAAACTACAGGTGGATGATTTTCCAGGGAAGATGATGAATTCCGTTTTTGACGTGTGTTGAATTTGAAATAGGAATGTATCAAGATGGAAATAACTGTCAGGCCATTAGAAGTTTGGAACCAAATCTGAGGAGAGAGATCAGGGTTGGAGAGCCACATCTGGAAGTCATCTGTGTGAGAACCAAAGCAGAGTGAGGAGGGGAGATAACATAGCCAGTGGAAACCAGAGAACCAAAGACCAAACCACGGAGAAGTTTGCAAAGAATGGGAAGATGAAAAATGAACAAAAACAGAAATTTAAGGGTTTGTAGCTCCATAGAAATACATTGTTTAGAGTTGTATTAAGAAACGTAAGCAATCAGGTTGAAGTGACAGAGATATACTTTATGAATTGGTTTTTTTTTTTAAGATTATATTTATTTATTTGTCAGAGAGAGAGACAGAGCACAAGCAGGGAGAGCGGCAGGCGGAGGGAGAAGCAGGCTCCCTGCTGAGCAAGGCACCTGGTGTGGGGCTCGATCCCAGGACCCTGGGATCATGACCTGAGCCGAAGGCAGCCGCTTACCCAACTGAGCCACCCAGGTGTCCCGAATTATTGTTTTTTTTTTTTTTAATACAAGACAATCTTAAGTTAGCTCTCGTTCATTTAGCTAAAATGACATGCCTAGAAGCTTTAACTATTTCTATATGGGTCTCTTGCCTCATCAGTAACATAAAGACAATACCATCCTGGTCACTTCAAAATAAATGTGAAAGCTCTCTTGGCTCATTAAGTACCACACAAATGTCACACTTGATGGTTGACCTACTTGACAGTGACGTTACCTTTTACCCCAGAACCGAGAAGAGTAGATATTTACAGCATGCTAGAAACTTGAATTTTAATTCCAGCTCAATTCTTGACTGTGAAGCCTTGGGTAAGTTAATTCACTTTTTTTTGGTCTTAGTTAGACTTAAATGATTTTCCAGAGACTTCCAGTTGTTATGGGCTGCCAGTGGAAGGACTCAGCGGAGTTCACGGAAGATAAATGGTTGAGCACAACTGAAGTTATATTCTTGTCTTCCAAATAACAGCTTCATCTTATTCACAGAAGTAGCCTTGAGGCTGACCCTAATACTTTCAAGGAGAGTGGCAACATTTCTTATTAGTCAAGAACTATAATCTGTTTTCTATGTAAACACATTTGTTGGAACTCTTGTGTGTTCTACAGTAATAGTTTATACATTTTATTTGATGTATACCCATAGAATCATGTTCAAAAATAGCCTTCGTATGTTTCAGCTTATGGAAGAAGGCTTCGTCCTCATGCCCGAGCCAAAGGAAAAATAACTGACACTGATTTATGAGCTTTATTGAAATGAAAAGTACAAATGGTTGTCTCTTTAGTGCCTGTATTTAAATATATGAATTAAACCAATAATAATGAAATTAATTTGTTTCTAAAACTGCTTTCCTGACCTTTGATTTGCAATAGTTTTTAGTTTTAAAAAGATTTTATTTATTTATTTGTCAGGGAGAGAGAGTGAAAGAGCGTGCACAAGCAGGGGGAGCAGCAGAGGGAGAGGGAGAAGCAGGCTCCCTGTGGAGCAGGGAGCCCAATGCGGGACTTGATCCCAGGACCCTGGGATCATGACCTGAGCTGCAGGCAGATGCTTAACCGACTGAGCTACCCAGGCATCCCATGATTTGCAGTACTTTTTAAGGATGTAATTAACACATTCCTAAGGGAACAGTTTGATGAATTTTGACAGTTGTATACATCCGTGTAACTTTCCAGCAGAAACAAGAAATAGAATATATCCATTCTCACAGAAGGTTCTCTTATGCCCATCTCTAGTCAGTCTCCCCTCCCCACCACCTAATTTCTATCACTGTAGATTACTTTTGCCTGTTTTGGTGTCATAAAAATGGAATCCTTCACTCCATTCAATACATACCCTTCTGTGTCTGGCTTCTTTTGCTTAACCTAATGTTTTTGAGATACATCCATGTTGTTGAGTATATCAAAAGTTTGTTCTTTTTCGTTACTAAATAGTATTCCATTGTATTGATAACTGATTTTTTTTTTTTAACCCATTCTCCTGTTGATGAATTTTGGATTGTTTCCAGTTCGGGGCTGTTACGAATAAGGCTGCTCTAAACATTCTTATCTATGACCTTTCATTATTCTTGGGTAAATAGCTAGGAGTAAAATTGCTGGATCCCAGGAAAGTTGTGTATTTAATCTTACAAGAAATTGCCAAAGAGTTTTTCAAAGTGGATGGACCATTTTATACTTCCACCAGGATTGGACGAGAGTTTCAGTTGCTCCACATCCCCACCAACATCTGATGTGGCTAATCTTTTTTTTTTTTTTTTTTTTTTTTTGCCATTCTATTAGGCATGAATTGGTATCTCATTGTGTTTTTAATTTATATTTTCCTTTTTTTTTTTTCAATAGTCTCCACACTGGGCGTGGAGCCCAACACAGGGCTTGAACTCACGACCCTGAGATTAAGACCTGAGCTGAGGTCAAGAGTTGGACGCTTAACCTCCTGAGCCACCCAGGCGCCCCATTATTTATATTTTCCTAATAACTAATGATGTTGAGCACTTTTTCATGTGCTTCTTTGCCTTTCATCTATCTTCTTTTGTGAAATGTGTGTTCAAGTCTTTTGCCCATTTTTAGAAATGGCATTGTTCATTTTTTTATTGTTGATTTGTAGGCATTTTTTTAATATATTCAGGATATAAGTTCTTTGTCAGATATATGTGGTGCAGATTTATCTTTGATTTGTTTATTCATTTCTTAATTGAGTCTTTTATTGAACCAAAAGTTTTGGTTTTGACGAAGCCCAATTTACCATCTTTAGTGGTTTGTTCTTTTTGTGTCTGGTCTGAGAAATCTTTGCTTACCTCAAGATTGCAAATGTATTGTCTTACATTTTTTTTTAAGATTTTATTTTTAGGTAATCTCTGCACCCAACGTGGGGTTCAAACTCACAACCCCGAGATCAAGAGTCGCACACTCCTCTGACTGAGCCAGCCAGGCGTCCCTTACCTTTTCTTCTATAAACTTTGTTTATAAGTTTTATATTTAGGTCTGTAATCTGAAATTCATTTTTGAGCATGGAATTAGATAGAGGTCAAGGTTGAAAGCAGATATTTAGATGGTTCTCACCATATGGGGGAAAATGAAACTTTCCTTTTGCCTGATTGAATTACTTGGCACCTTGGTCAAATTTTAGTTCTTTATATGTGTGCAGCCTATTTCTGGACTCTGTTCTGTAGCACTGACCTATTTGTCCATCTTGATATGAATATTACACCATCTTGATTACTCTAAGTTTATAAGTCTTGAAATCAGGTAGTGTTAGCCCTCCAGCTTTTTTTTTTTTCCAAGTCATTTTGACTATTCTACATCCTTTGAATTTCCATATAAAATTCAGAATCCTCTTTTCTGATTTCCTCAAAATAGCCTGCTGGAAGTTTTTTGGGGATTTTGTTAAGTTTATGTGGAGAGTGGCAAGCTTAACAATGTTGAATCTTTCAGTGAACCTTTATTTTGGTCATCTTTCATTTCTCCCAGCAGTATTTTGTGATTTTTCAGGGCTTTGCTGGATTTATTGTCTTTTGCTAGATTTATTGTTAGATAATTGATGTTTTGCTGCCACTGTAAATAGTATTGCTTGATTTCTTTTTCAATTTATTGTTGCTAATATATATCAATACAATTGATTTTTGTATGTTGATCTTACGATCTCCCACCTCGCTAAATACGCATATTCGTTTTAGTGGTTTGTGTATTCCTTAGGCTTTTCTATGTACACAGTCATGTCATCTGCACAGACCGTTTTACATTCGCCAATCTATATGCCTTTTCTCTCTTTTTGTTGCCTTGTTTCACTGGCTGGCACCTTCAGCATCATGTCGAATTCAAGTGGTGAGAGCAGGCATTTTGACTCATTCTCAAACTTATGAGTGTTCAGCCTATAGGTTTCTTGTAGATGCCCTTTATCAGATTGAGGAAGATCCCTTCTCCTTCTTGTTTGCTGAGAGTTCTTTTTTAATATCATGAAGGGATGTTGCATTTTTTCAAGTGCTTTTTCTGTATCTATTGTTGGAGGTACCAGTTTTCTCTTGTATCCTGCTTTGTTCTATATATTACAGTGGATTTTTCTTCCCTATTATAAACCAGCTTTACATTTCTGGGACTCACTAGTTTGTAAAAGATTTTTAATTCCCCCAAAGTCCTTCCTTCCCACTGTTGCTAGAAATTTTAATTTGGCATTAATGACTAAAGAAACCAATATAAATAAGATACTGTTACTACTCTTGAAGAGTCACAGCCTATTTGGAAAGTCAGATACATAGATAATGGGCAAGTCGAGGGATGTATATCCACCCAATGAATTCTCAGAGCAGGATAAAAGGTATCTAGTGTCTTGCTGGTCTGTATTGATTAGGAGAAAGATCCCAGAAGAGGTGATACCTAAGCCGTCTTAAAGGGGTTAACCAAGTGAAGCGGTGTAAAGGGCAGAGGGCATAGCATGAACAAAGGCACAGAGTGAGGGCAGGGAAACTACTAGTAGCTCATTGTTGTTGGAGCATAAAGTACAAGGCTGGGCATGGTGAATGATGAGATTATAGAAGCATCAGCCAGACTATTGCAAGCCTCGTGTGCCAAATGAAAGAACTTGTCCTTTGCTCTGTGAAAGAAGGGGCAGCCATGATGAGATTTTAAGAAGAGGAGAGGGACGTGGTCTGGTTTGCCTTGGAATCCGAAGCCTACGGCAGATAGATTTATAAGTGTCGAGGCTGGAGGCAGGAAGACCAATTAGAAAAAAATGACATGGTCTTAAACTTTAGCAGTGAGAGTAGAAGTGGAGGAAGAGTCAGATTTGAGAAATATTTAGGTAGTCAAACTGGCGGAAGTTGGCAACGAGCTGATGAGAGGATGAGTGGAGAGAGAGCACACTGGTTCTCCAGGGCTGCCGTAACCGAGGGCACCCACGTATCGTCTCACAGCTCAAGCATCTAGAAGTCTGAAATCAAGGTGTCAGCAGACCATGTTCCCCTCTGACACTGTGGGAACAATCTTTCCTCGCCTCTTCCTGGCTGGTCTCTGGCGTTCCTTGACTTGGAGCTGTGTTACTCCAGACTCTGCCTCTGTAGTCACGTGGGGTCCTCCCTGAGTCCCCGTCTTCTTGTGAGGATCCCAGCCATATTGGTTTAAGGGGCCACCGTACTCCAGTATGATTGTGCTGTAATTAATTATATCCACAGTGACCCTATTTCCAAATAAGGTGACATTCTGGCCTTCTGGTAACTGGGGGTTAGGACTTCAACATCTCTTTTTGAGGGACACCCTTGAACCCATTCCAGGAGCTGAGTCAAAACTACTCTTAAGTTTTCTAGCTCAGGGCTCATAGGGTGTTGACCCGGCTGACTAGGAAAAACCCAAGTGAAAGAACCAGTTTAGGAAGAAGTTGAGTTCAAAATTGCTAAAGGGCATACAGGAAGAGCCGTTTTAGCATTCAGTTCTGTAAATCTCAAGAGCATGTCTTCGAGATAGAAACAAGCTGTTAAGACTTAGGGCTAGCCGCAGTAATGGGCTTCATCTTCTTATTGTTGAGAACATGAGATGGTGGGTCATAAAATAATTTGTCGCAGCTGTTATCATTCTGGCACAGTCAGAGATCTCTATCTTGAGCTATTATCCTCTCAATCTCCCCAGTTTTAGGGCCAACAGTCAGGAAGGAAGCATTCTTTACCAAAAGCTTCATTTTCATAAACATCCATATCGCTAACACAAGAGCTTGAAAGTTGTCAAATCCTTTTTTTTTTTTTTTAAGATTTTATTTTATTTATTTGACAGAGAGAGAGAGAGACAGCTAGAGAGGGAACACAAGCAGGGGGAGTGGGAGAGGGAGAAGCAGGCTCCCGGCCGAGCAGAGAGCCCGATGTGGGGCTCGATCCCTGGACCCTGGGATCATGACCTGAGCCGAAGGCAGACGCTTAACGACTGAGCCACCCAGGCACTCCGAAAGTTGTCAAATCTTCTTAAGATTCTGTTATATTCTGTGTAAATATAACTTCAGTATAAAAAAAAAACAACAATGAACATTCATCAGCTTAGTGGGGTTTATCCCATCAGACCTTCATTCGTTCTCCCATTTGGAACAAACAATGCCTCTGTAGTCACGTGGGGTCCTCCCCGAGTCCCCATCTTCTTGTGAGTATCTTAAAGATACTCCTTAATGGGTGACATTTGTAAGTACAGTTAACATCTTCATTGTGTGAGTGAACAAAATAAATAGGTACACTTCACTATGGTCAGGGATTACTCTCATATTTTTAAGAAGGGTTTCCATTTCAAATATTTCAAGTATTTGATTTAGAAAATAGAGTTACATAAGCCCTACTCCTTCGGTGCACGTTCTGTTTGTTCTCTGTGAACTTGAAATGGTTCAGGATTTATTTGCCCAGAACTGTCAAACCATCTCTAATTCCTGATTGCATTTTGCTCTTAATGCAGGAAGTGTTGCTGGAGTTGCTAGAACAATGTGTGGATGGCTTATGGAAAGCAGAACGTTATGAAGTGATTTCTGAGATTTCCAAGTTGATCATTCCAATTTATGAGAAACGTCGTGAATTTGAGGTAGGTAATTTAAACATTTGCATCATTGGCCTCAACTACATTTTATTTTGGTCTTGGAAAAAAAAACAGTCATGTCATTATGTCACTATCCCTCTACTATGTGTCCTCTCAAAATTAGAAGGTTCATTGTATTATGGCATTTGTATTTTATTATAGAATATAGATACTTAACTGTGTCGTTTTGACACATTCGTCCAATTTGAAAGTTCCTATCCTTCAAAATCCTGTGAAATCCTAAAATGAGAATTCTACCTTATATTCATATACATTTTCCAAATGAAATTAAGGGTAAGACATCTAAAATATAAGTTTAAATTTTGATTATGTAAGTGGTTCTTAGAACATTTTAATCTAGCACTTCCCCCCCCTTTCCCCTCAGGGCATAAAAAATTCAGTGTTGTCTTCACCAAACCTTCATGGAAAAAAGCTACTGAATTTCCATGTTGCTCTGAGAAGAGGTATAGGCCTAGCCTATTCTCTGCAATTCCATGAGGAGACCAAAGGTGCTGGCAGCTGAGAATGGGGGAGGTAATTAAGACACTAGTAATAGTCCTGCCATGAGTTTTTCCAGTTTAGTCTGCCAGCCAAAGCTGTTGGTAAAGGGTAATTAATAAAGGCTAGTAGTGGGGCGCCTGGGTGGCTCAGGCGGTTGAGTGTCTGACTTCAGCTTGGGACGTGATCTCAAGGTCCTGGGATCAAGTCCCATGTCCGGCTCTCTGCTCAGTGGGGAGTCTGCTTCTCCCTCTCCCTCTGCCCCTCCCCCTGTTGGTGCTCTCTCCGTGTCTCTCTCAAATGGATAAATAAAATCTTAAAAAAAAAATAGACTAGTATATAATGAACACCTGTTGCCAACCTCACTGAATAGGAATGTTTTATATTCAAGTCTCTGAGTCTGTATCATAATTTCTACCCCTGCTGTGCTGGGAAGGGGTGATTTAGGATTCAAGCCCCCCCCACCCTTTCCTTTAAAGCAAAGCCATTTATTCTTACGTATAGCAAGCACGCTCTCATTGTTGAAGAAGTTTCCCAGAGGGGAAACACATACATTTAATATCATCTGCATAGTGTTCTAATCTCTGCTTCAGACTGGCTCTGGTCCAACTCACTTTTTTTTCCCAGGATCTAGGCCTTTCTCTCTTTGCCATACTTTTGGTGTATATGGGACATGCCTGAAAAACCATAATGGAGTTCAAGTGATTCTATGAATAAGCAAGAGATGAATAATTAAACCTAGGTCATAGAGGTGGCAAAGAATAGCCCATGAGACAAGAAAAGAAATGGCAGGGGTGCCTGGCTGGCTCAGTCCATGAAGCGTCTGCCTTCAGCTCGGGTCATGATCTCAGGGTCCTGGGATCGAGCCACATGTCAGGCTCTTTGCTTGGTGGGGAGCCTGCTTCTCCCTCTCCCTCTCTCAAATAAGAAATAAAATCTTTTAAAAAAAGAAAAGAAATGGCATTGCTCCTTTTCTCAAAGCATTACATCCTAAGAACCTTTGTAAAATGTCCATAGTACCTACTTTCTTACTAGCTTGAAGATCAGGCTGTTAGAAGCCCAGGGAGCATTTTGCTCCTCAATTAACTAACAGGGAAGAAAGAAAAATACATCTTCTCTACACGTGAGAGGAAACGGTATTTTCTTTTCTTTTCTTTTCTTTTTTTTTAAAAGATTTTATCTATTTATTTTGACAGAGAGAGACACAGCGAGAGAGGGAACACAAGCAGGGGGAGTGGGAGAGGGAGAAGCAGGCTTCCCGCGGAGCAGGGAGCCCGATGCGGGGCTCGATCCCAGGACCCTGGGATCATGACCCGAGCCGAAGGCAGACGCTCAACGACTGAGCCACCCAGGCGCCCCGGAAACGGTATTTTCTATAGGGACACTACTCCTGTTTCCCTGGAGGCTTGTAAAGGTCTGTGCAGATCCCCTGGCGTTCTACACGAGGTGTAGTCGTTGTTTCTAGGACACTGATGTATAATTTTTCACTGTATCTTTATGGGATGGGCTGAAAAGTATCCGAGATAACAGCCATAAAGATAAGGAAAATTTCCCTCCAATTGAGCTCAACTGTTTCTGTGCTCCCCTTTTTTATTGAGGTGAAATTCACAGAACATACAATTAGCCATTTTAAAGTGTACAATTCAGGATCATTCAGTGCATTCGTGATAGTCCAAACCCACCACCTCTCTCTAGTTTCAAAACATTCTCATCACCCCAGGAAAACACCTCCTACCCACAAAGTAATCACTCTCCGCCTCACCCGCCATTCCCTGGTAACCACCAATCTGCTTTCTGTCTCTCTGGATTTGCCTATTCTGGATGTGGCATAAAAAGGGATTAATAAAGATGTGACCTTTTGGGGGTGCCTGGGTGGCTCAGTTGGTTAAGCCACTGCCTTTGGCCTAGGTCATGATCCCAGGGTCCTGGGATTGAGCCCCGCATCGGGCCCCTTGCTCAGCAGGGAGCCTGCTTCTCCCTCTCCTCCCCACTCATGTTCTCTCTTGCTATCTCTCTCTCTCTCTCAAATAAATAAATAAAATCTTTAAAAAAAAAAAGATGTGACCTTTTGTGTCTGGCTTCTTTCACTTAGCATAATATTTAGAGGTTATTCCAAGTTGTAGCCTGGATCAGAGCTTTATTCCTTTTTATGGCTGAATGATTTTCCATTGCATGGATATGACACAATTTGTTTATCCATGCATCCATTGGCAGACCTTTGGGTTGTTTTCACCTTTTGGCTATTATAAATAGTTGCTGTTATAGACATTCGTGTGTAAGTTTCTGTGTGGCCATATGTTTTCATTTATCTTGGGTATATACCTAGGAATGGAATTGCTGGGTCATAGGATAATTCTTTGTTTAACTTTTTGCATAACCACCAAACTGCTTTCCCTTTTACCTTCCCACCGGCAATGTATACATTCCACATTCTGAACAATGCTTGTTGTTTTGGGTTTTTCATTAAAGCCATCTTAGTGGATGTGAAGTGTTATCACATTGTGGTATTTGATTTGTACTTTCTTATGACCAATGATTTTGAACATCTTTCTATGTGCTTGTTAGCCATTTGCGTGTCTTCTTTGGAGAAATGTCCATTCAAGACCTTGGCCCATTTTTAAATTGGGTTGTTGGTCTTTTTGTTGTTGAGTTGTGAGAGTTCTTTTTTTGTTAAGATTTTTTTTTTAAAGATTTTATTTAGAGAGAGAGAACATGAGCATGAGCGGAGGGAGGGGCAGAGGGAGAGGGAGAAGCAGACTCCCCGCTGAGCATGGAGCCCGACAAGGGGCTCGATCCCATGACCCTGAGCCGAAATCAAGAGTTGGACGCCCAACCGACTGAGCCACCCAGGTGCCCCTGAGAGTTCTTTATGTTTTCTGATAGTACACCTTTATCACATCTGTAATTGGCAAATATTTTATCCCATTTTATAGGTTGTCTTTTCACATTCTTAATAATGTGAAAATAACCTACTCCCTTTTTCTGGGTGCTCTTTGAAAACTTCTGTAAGCTTGTATAAAAGCAGTCCTCACTGAGGCATATACTCATTTTTATATCTGCTTTTTTTATTTTAATTTAAAATTTTAAGATTATTTGAGAGAGAGAACGTGAGTGGCAGGGAGGGGCAGAGGGCAGAGGGAGAAGCAGACTCCCCTCTGAGCGGGGAGCCCTATGCAGGGCTCAATCCTATGACCCCAAGATCATGACCTGAGCTGAAGGCAGACGCTTAACCGACTGAGCCACCCAGGCGCCCCTCTACCCTTAGACAACATGGTTGAGGAATTTTGTCTAATTGTGACAAAGGGGCAGGGACCCCAACAAAACCATTTTGAAAAGGAAATAGCATTGCTTCCCCAAACCTCCCCCCCAACCCAGTGCATGTATCTTAGCCATTTAGTAATGAACCAAAAGACAAAGCTGATTTGTATATTTTCCTTTTTCAGAAACTTACTCAAGTTTATAGAACTCTTCATGGAGCTTACACAAAAGTTCTAGAGGTTATGCATACAAAAAAAAGACTTTTAGGAACTTTCTTCAGAGTTGCCTTTTATGGCCAAGTAAGTATACTTCCGTTCATAAAGTTGTTTTTCTTTTTAAACATTCACCTTTGAATTATTAGATTGCTCTAGCCGCGGGTACTGGTTCTTGGAGTGTGTCTAGATAGAGGGCTGATCACAGCAGGCCAGGAGGCTCTGTAAGTGTAAAGTTCACTTTGGTTTCCATATCTAAATCCATTAGGTCAGAGTACAACATAGAAGATTTGTCCCTATGATGGCGAATTTGAAAATTCTTACTTATTTGAAGTTAAAAGAGTGAATACACGCCACGTTGCTTTCAGTACTATTTAAAATGTATTTCAAATATATTATTGCTAGCTATTTTGTACACTTTCTTTAAGTGCTGTGCTTGCTCAGACTATTTATAAGTGATGGTGTGTTTCACTCTACAATAGTCTTTCTTTGAAGAAGAAGATGGGAAGGAGTACATCTATAAAGAACCAAAGCTCACCGGCCTCTCAGAGATTTCCCTGAGACTTGTGAAACTTTATGGTGAAAAATTTGGCACAGAGAATGTTAAAATAATTCAGGATTCTGACAAGGTAACATATACCCTGCATTTCGAAATCATTGTTTGTGAGTTCCAAACGTGGTACACTGCTGACTTTTTCCTTTTTCAGCTGGTGGGGAAGAAGTATGGAAATAGAGCCTGTCCAGATAGTGAAAGAAAGGATGGGGGTTTTGGAGTCAGAGCAGGATTCAAATCTCCATTCTCTCTCTCTCTTTTTTTTTAAAGATTTTTATTTATTTATTTATTTATTTATTTATTTATTCATTCATTCATTCATTCATTCATTCATTCATTTATTTATTTGAGCATGAGAGAGAGATTACGAGCAAGGGGCTCCATCCCAGGACTCTGGGATCACAACCTGAGCCGAAGGCAGATGCTTCACCGACTGAGCCACCCAGGTGCCCCAAATCTCCATTCTCTTGCCATTTGCTAGCTAGGTGACCATAGGGAAGTTACTTAACTTCTCTTGTGCCTCATCTTTCTCGTTAGTAAAATGGAGATAATAGTGCATTTCCTTCTAAGCTATCCTTAGTTCAGTAGTTACATGTGCAATGAAGTAAGTTTAGGAGAGATCCCTTGGCCTTGCTCTGAAGGTTACCCATCCCACCAGGCCCTGCCAGGCCAGGATGAAAAAGGTTCCAGCAAGAGAGGCTCTTTCCTAGAGATGCATCGTGTCCCGTAGGCGACATTTGCGGAAAGCACAGTAGGAATGCCTGACCGTTCCTAGTCGCCATAGATGTGCCCAGAATGAGAGCTGGTGGTTAGGGCAGTGCGGGATCTGCAGGCCACAGCGATATTTATGGAGCGACGAGGGTGCAGGCGACTTAGCAGCTAATAGACAGTGTCGCTAGAGCGAAAAGCTCCCGGCCATAGTAAAGACACTTCACGGTCCGTCATGAAAATGATCTCTTCACTTTGTAGACTTAGCTCGTCTCCCACGGAGATGGTTTTACCTTGACTCTGTGCCCGAGACATTTAAAAGTAGATATGCTGGGCGCCTGGGTGGCTCAGTTGGTGAAGCAACTGCCTTCGACTCAGGTCATGATCCTGGAGTCCCTGGATCAAGTCCCGCATCGGGCTCCCTGCTCGGCGAGGGGTCTGCTTCTCCCTCTGACCCTCCCCCCTCTCATGTGCTCTCTCTCTCTCTCATTCTGTCTCAAATAAATAAATAAAATCTTTAAAAAAAAATAAAAAGTAGATATGCTGGTGGGTTCCAAATTCATTAATATTTGGCACCAGCCCTCTACTTCCTTCTTTATCAGTGTCACTATTTTGTGTTGTTTTATTCAGTTAAGACAACAGAAGATTTTACCTCCCTGTAGCCAGATAGTTTCAGGCTCGTTGCCACACGACTGATACTATAAATGGGAAGTTAATGGAAAGCCAGGCTTGCTGAGCAACACGCAGTTTTCTGCTTTATTTTGCCCCTGAACACTCGGCGAGCCGGTGCTAGGGACCGACCACTCTCAGGCAGGTGGACTCCTGGCATTATTTGTATGCACAATATGTGAGTCATTCTCCATTGGCAACAGACATCATAAGCACTTGCTACTTTGAAAGTCCTTATTTCTTTCTTAATGTGTGCAAATTAAGATTAAAAACACTCTTCTATCTTGCCAAAGAACAAAATCTGCTTAAGGACACAGTTCGAAGAGCCGCTTGGCAATATTTTCCAATATTTTAAACATACATTTCCCTGGACCCAACAATTTCACATTTAAGGGGTTTTTTTTTAAAAGGTGGGGGAGGACAGAGGGGGAGGACAGAGGGAGAGGGAGAGAGAATCTGAAGCAGGCTCCATGCCCCCAGCATGGAGACCAATCCGGGGCTCGCTCTCACTACCCTGAGATCATGACCTGAGGCTAAATCCAAAGTCAGACGCTTAACCCATGGAGCCACCCAGGCGCCTCTCGTGTTTAGGATTTTATTCTGTAGGTGTACACTACGATAAAGATGGATGATGAAAGGTGTTCATTGCTGCAAAGTTTATATAGCAACCTGGAAGCAATCTCAATGTCCATATGGCTAAAGAAACGGTGTTATCCACACGATGGATATAGTAACCTATGTGTTAAAAAAAATTGACATAGATTTAGAAGTGTTGATTTGAACCTGTTAAGATATATATATATTTTTTTAAGATTTTATTTATTTATTTGACAGAGAGAGACACAGCGAGAGCAGGAACTCAAGCAGGGGGAGAGGGAGAGGGAGAAGCAGGCTTCCCGCGGAGCAGGGAGCCCGATGCGGGGCTCGATCCCAGGACCCTGGGATCATGACCTGAGCTGAGGGCAGACACTTAATGACTGAGCCACCCAGGCGCCCCTGTTAAGATATATTATTGAGGGGGGAAAAGTGAGGTGCAGGAAATCATGGATAGGATGATCACATTGGTGTAAAAATTGATATTCACAATAACTTGTATATGCTTAGGAAATTTCAGGAATGATACATACAAAATTGTTAACCATGCTTACCCCTGAGAAGAGGGACTAAAGTCTTACATGGCAAGAAATTGTTGACTTTTCATGTATACCCTTGGGTACAGTTTGAACGTTTTACCATATACATATTTTACTTTTATAAGGTTAAAATCAGGCTTGACCTCTTTTTTATTTCCCTGCTATATTTTGTCTTAGCCTAGATAATTACCTCAGCCATCTCCTGAGGGCCCTTAAGAGAAATCTCACTTTTTTTTTTTCCCCCTGAGTCTAGTTGACACACAATGTTACATTTGTTTTAGGTGCCCAACATAGTGATTCAACAAGTTTATACCTTAATGCTGTGCTCAGTTGCAGCCCCCACCTGTCACCATACAATGCTATTACGGTATCATTGACTATATTCCCTATGCTGTACCTTTTATTCCCATGACTTATTCATTCCATAACTGGAAGCCTGTACCTCCTTCTCTCCTTCACCCATTTTGCCCATCCCCTACCCCTCCTCCCCTCTGGTAACCATCAGTTTGTTCTTTTTGTTAAAGATTTGTTTATTTATTTATTTATTTATTTATTTGAGAGAGAGAGAGCACACAGAGGGAGAGGAAGAGGCAGACTCCCTGCCAAGCAAGGAGCCCGACACAGGGCCCGATCCCAGGACCCTGGGATCATGACCCAAGCCGAAGGCAGACGCTTAACCGACTGAGCCACCCAGGCGCCCCCTGTTTGTTCTCTGTAGAGAAATCTAGCTATTTACTAGGAGAGAAAAGAAGGTTAAAGCTTCTGGAGAAATAGGCTTTTAGATTTTTATGTAAGATCAAATAGAATGGGTTTGGAGAAGTTAAGAGATGCTAAGAAAATTTCTATCACCTAGCCATCCTCCAGTTTCTGTGGAGAAAAAAAGGATATAGAGACTGTTCCCCAAGAGGTTTTTGTTGTCTTTTTTTGATTGTTTGTTTCAATTTTTGTTTTCTACACCAAACACGAAAAAGGCCTATCATAAATTGCAGTGACATTGACAAAGTCACCAACAGCCAAGGCCCAAGTCAGAGTGAGTTGGGAGAACACTGAAAGAGGGGCCTGGGCATAGTTTCAGGTTAGTGGGGAGACTGATGGAGGGGAGGGTATCCAGGGCCCACAGATGGAATGTCCAGCAGGGACAGCTCTGAGATTCGCTTCCAGCAGGGTAGCTTCTTAACATGGAATTTTGGCTCTTCGTGAAATGGTCCATAACTACCATAATTTCTGTCTCTGGAAGAGAACCATTCTGCTTTCCTGTGGTCCCTTTGGAGGACCAGAGGACCTAAGATAGGATTAATGTCATCAAGAGTGCCCACTCTTAGAATGTCAGTCACTTCTTGTGGATGTACAAATTGGTAAGCTTTTCTGTAGGGTAACTGTGTCGTATATATCAAAATCCTTAGTACCATGTAAATCTAACAAAGCAACTTCTAGTAATTTACGCTGCGGAATAAATCAGAAAATCATGCACATAGTTTTAAATGTAAGGATGTTCATCAGAGTACTACTTGCAATTGCAAAACATTGAGAAACAACCTAAGACTCTATTGATGAGGGACTGATCCAATAAATAGTGTCTATCCATATATCCATTCAAAGTCATGTTAATGACCAGGGCGCTTGGGTGGCTCACTTGGTTAAGCATCTGCCTTTGGCTCGGGTCATGATCCCAGGGTCCTGGGATCAAGCCCCGTGTTGGGCTCCCTGCTCAGTGGGGAGTCTGCTTCTCCCTCTCCCTCTGCCCCTCCCCCCTGCTTGTGCTCTCTCTCTCTCTCAAATAAATAAAATCTTTTTTTAAAAAAGTCATGCTAATGACCATATAGAACTATAATAGCTATGTTTTTTGTTAAACATAACATAAAATTTACTATTTTGACCATTTTTAGGTATACAGTTCAGTGGTGCTTCCAGCACCATCTTGGAAAAAAGCGGCAAAAATGGGCATTCTTGCTTTGTTCCTGATCTTAGAGGAAAAGCTTTCAGTCTTTCAGCATTGAGTATAATGTTCACTGTGGGTTTCTCATAGGGGCCCTTGATTGGATTGTGGAAATTCCCTTCTGTTCCTGGTTTGTTGAGTATTTTTTTTTTTAAAGATTTTATTTATTTATTTGACAGAGACAGCGAGAGAGGGAACACAAGTAGGGGGAGTGGGAGAGGGAGAAGCAGGCTTCCCGCTGAGCAGGGAGCCTGATGCGGGGCTCGATCCCAGGACCCTGGGATCATGACCTGAGCTGAAGGCAGCCGCTTAACCGACTGAGCCACCCAGGGGCCCCGAGTATTATGAGAGATGTTGAGTTTTGTCAAATGCTTTTGCTGTGTCAATTGGGATGATCATGTAGGTTTTTTCCCCTTCTTTCTGTTTATGTGGTGTATTACATTGGTTGATTTTTATATGTTGAACCATCCTTGCTTTCCAGGAATAAATCCTACTTGGTCATGGCATATAATCCTTTTAATATGCTGCTGAATTCTATTTGCCAGTATTCTGTTGAGGATTTTTGCATCAATGTTCATAAGGGGTACTGGGGTAGTTTTTTCGTACTGTCTTTGTCTGGCTTTGGTTTCAGGGTAATGTTGACATTATAGAATAAGTCAGGGTGTGTTCCCTCCCCTTCAGTTTTTCAGAAGAGTTTGAGAAGGATTGAGGTTAGTTCTTCTTTAAGTGTTTTGTAGGCTTTACCAGTGAAGACATCAGGTCCAGAGCTTTTCTTCATCAGAAATTTTTTAAAATATTTTATTTATGTATTTATTGGAGAGAGAGAGAACAGGGGGAGGGACAGAGGGACAGAATCTCAAACAAACTCTGCACTGAGTGCAGAGCCTGACGTGGGGCTCAATCCCAGGACCCTGAGATCATGACCTGAGCCGAAATCAAGAGTCGGATGCTCAACTGACTGAGCTACGCAGGCACCCCAGAAATTTTTTTTTTTTTAGGTAGGCTCCAGCATGGAGCCTGACATGGGGCTCGAACTCACAATGATGAGATCAAGACTTGAGCTGAAATCAAGAGTCAACCGACTGAGCCACCTGGGGGGTCCCAACAGAAAATTTTTGATTACTAATTCAAACTCCTTACTAGCTATAGATCTATTCAGATTTTTCTATTTTTTTTTTTCATGGTTTAGTCTTGGGAGGCTTTGTGTTTCTAGGAATTTATTCATTTCATCTAGGTTATCTAATTTGTTGGCATACAGTTGCTCATAGTACTCTCCTATAATCCTTTTTATTTCTAGAGAATTGGTAGTAATGTCCTCATTTTAATTTCTGATTTTAGTAATTTTGAGTGTTCTTTTTTTCTTAGTCCATCTAGTTAAAGATTTGTCAATTTCACTGATCTTTTCAAAGAACCAAGCTTTGGTTTCATTGCTTTTCTCTATTTTTCTATTCTCTATTTCATTTATCTCTGCTTAATCTTTATTTCCTTCCTTCTGCTAGCTTTGGGTTTAGCTCCTCTCTTTCTAGTTCCTTAAGTTGTAAAATTATGTTGTTGAATTGAGATCTTTCCCATTTTTTAATGTTGTGTTTATCACTATAAATCTCCTTAGCACTGCTTTTGCTGTGTCCTATAAGTTTTGGTATGTTGTGATTTTGTTTTTGTTAATTTCTAAGTATTTTCTAATTTCCCTTGTGATTTTTTTCTTTGAACCATTGATTTTCTTAAGTGTTTAATTTCCACAGATTTATAAATTTTCCCATTTTACTTCTGTTATTGATTTCTAACTTTATCCCACTGTGGTCAGAGAAAATACTTTGTATGGTATCTGTCTTCTTAAATCTTTTGAGACTTAATTTGTGGCCTAACATGCAGTCTATCCTGGAAAATGTCCCATGTGCACTTGAGAAGAAAACATACTGTTGTTGGGTAGAGTATTCTGTATATGTCTGTGAGATGTAGTTGGTTTGTTGTGTTCTTTAAGTCCTCTATTTCCTTCCTTCCTTCAGTCTGCTTGCAGTATCTAGTATTGAGAGTGGGGTATTAAAGTCTCCATGTATTATTGTAAAACTGTTTCTCCTTTGAGCTCTGTCAATTTTTGCTTTTTACATATATTTTTAAATATTTATTTATTTGACAGAGAGAGACAGTGAGAGAGGGAACACAAGCAGGGGGAGTGGGAGAGGGAGAAGCAGGCTTCCCGCGGAGCAGGGAGCCAGATGCGGGGCTCGATCCCAGGACCCTGGGATCATGAACTGAGCTGAAGGCAGACGCTTAACGACTGAGCCACCCAGGCACCCCTGCTTTATATAGTTTGATGGTCTGTTACTGGGTGTGTAGATGTTTATGATTGTTTTATCTTCTTGCTGTGTACTGCATCTTTTATCAATATACAGTGTCCTTTTTTGTCTGTTGTGACCTGTTAAAACTTTTAAGTCTATTTTGTTCAATATTAGTATATCCACCCCTGCTCTCTTTGGTTACTATATGCATGGAATATCTTTTTCTGTTTTTCATTTTCAGCCCATGTGTGTCTTTGGATCTAAAATAAATCTCTTGTAGACTGCATATAGTTGGATCATAATTTTTTATCCATTCTACAAATCTCTTTTGATTACCCTTTAATCCATTCACATTTCAAGTAATTACTGATAAGGAGAGACTTCTTTTATTCTGCTATTTGTTTTCTTATGTGCCTTAGAGCTCTTTTGTCTCTCATTTTTTGCATTACTGTTTTCTTTCTGTTTAATTAATTTTTATAGTGGAATAGTTAAATTTGTTTCCATTTCCTTTTGACTGTATTCTTCAACTCTATTTTTGTGGTTTTCATGGGGATTATATTTAACATCCTAAAGTTATAACCCTCTAATTTGAATTTATACCTGTCCAACTTCAATAACATACAAAACATCTGCTTCTTTAACAGTCCCATCCCTACCACTTTCAGTTCTTGATGTTGTAGAACTACATCTTTATACATTGTGTGTCCAAAAAAATAAGCTAATAATTTTTAATACATTTAGTCTCTTATGTAGAAAACAAAATTATTACATGTGATGAGTCACTTCTCTCTTGATTCTTTCAAAATTCTCTTTTGTCTTTGACTTTTGACAGTTTGATTTTAATGTGGTTGAGTGTGGGTCTCTTTGACTTACCCTACTTAGAATCTTTTGGTCTTCTTGGACATTTATAGTCATGCCTTTTCTCAAATTTGGGAAGTTTTCACCCATTATTTCTTCAAATATTATCTCTGCCCCTCTCCATCTCTTCTCCTTTCAGGGACTCCTATAATGTGCATGTTGGTCCACTGGGTGATGTTCCACATGATTGTTATATTTCGAGTTCCCTATTACTTCTGTCCGTTCAAATCTGCCTTTGAATCCCTCTAGTGAATTTTCATTTTACTTATATTTTTCAGCTCCAAAAATTTGTTTGGTTTCTTTTTAGGTTTTCTACCCCTTCGTTGATACTGACATTTGTCCATACATTGTTTTCTTGACTTTCTCCACATCTCCCTTTAGTTCTTTGATCAAGAGAGTTGTTTTAAAGTCTTTTTCTGGTAGGTCTACTATCAGGTCTTTTTGGGGGGCAAGTTTCCATTGGGTTGTTTTTCTCCTTTGAATGTGCCATGCTTTCCTGTTTCTTTATATGCCTTGTGATTTTTTATTGTTGTTGAAAACTGGACATTTCAATCTGATACTGTGGTCATTCTAGAAATCAGATTCTCCCCCTTGCCCAGGATTTGCTGGGTTTTGTTTTTAATTATCATAGTCTGTCTCTGTGCCATGGATCAGCCTGAGGTATAAATTTAGGGTCTTCTCAGGTCTTTTCTGAACCCGCTCCTTCCCCTGGGCATGCATGGTGAGTTTCCAATTTCCTTCCTATATACTGTTGCTTTTGAGTGTCCTTGTCTTCAGTGTCTGGCTCCCAAGAGGGGAAAAAGAAAAAGAAAGGGGAGAGATCTTTTAAGTCCCCTGGAAGTCACTTCAGCCAGGGGCAGGGAGGTACAACAAAAATGGCCACAGCAGGGGCACCTGGGTGACTCAGTCAGTTAAGCATCTGATCTGCCTTCAGCTTGGGTCATGATCCCAGATCCTGGGATCGAGCCTTGCATGGGGCTCTTTGCTCAGTGGGGAGCCTGCTTCCCCCCGCCACCCGCTCTGCCTGCCGCCCCCCACCCCCCGCTTGTGCTCTCTCTCTCTTTCTCCCTCTGTCAAATAAATAAATAAAGTCTTTTTTTTAGAAAGTTTAAAAAAAATGGCTACAGCCTCTTTGTACCTCTATGGTCAGAAACAGCAGTCAGAGCACAGATCCCCAGTATTTGGAAGACAGGATCCTTCTTGCCCATCCTGGCTCCTGCAAGCTGTTCCAGGAACATGTGCACAGCTGCCTGCCATGGGGCTGAGGGGTAGGATAAGAGTAGCTGCCATTGCGCCAAGAGATGAAACCGACCGGAATCAAAATTACCTGCAATTTTCTGTCCCAGTCTTCCCCTGCAAGTTGCAAGCTTTCAGTAGACACCAGAGTGCCAAAACAGATCAGACAGATTCTGCCAGTGTAAATGTTGGCTAGGTAGGAAGGTAAATTTCTGGTGCTCTACCACCTTCTCAGAATCCTCTCCATAATATGTTTTTATCGAGGTAGAATTCAAATGTACAGTTAACCTTTTAAATATATTTTTAAAGAATCAGATTATACAACAGTGTTTAGTATGACCTCAGCTTTGTAAATAATATGTGCCTAGAGAAAAGATTGGAAGGAAATATGTGAAAATGTGAATAATGGTCCTTGCCGAGTGGTAGGATTGCGATTTGTGTTTTCTTCCCCCATTCCTATAATTTCCGAATAGGTTTCTGTAACTTCTTTATAATCAGAAGGACACGATCCTTAAAAAAAGAAAAAAGCTCCCCTCTGGGTGTGCATTCAGCTGGGAACACAATCATAATGGCAACGTTCCTCAGTTGATCTCAAGGGAGTTAATGGCTTACCTGTTCCCCCTCTTCTCTTCCACTGAATAAAACCCAAAACTTTCTTACTTTATAGGTGAATGCCAAAGAGCTCGATCCAAAATATGCTCATATCCAAGTCACTTACGTGAAGCCCTACTTTGATGACAAAGAACTCACAGAAAGAAAGACCGAGTTTGAAAGAAACCATAATATCAACAGATTTGTTTTTGAAGCTCCTTATACATTATCCGGCAAAAAGCAAGGTTGCGTAGAAGAACAATGCAAACGCCGCACAATCTTGACGAGTAAGTAGGACTTTGCATGATAACCTTCTGTTTGGCTTGGTTCTTTTTGATACACACAAGTAGCAGGTGGCAAGCAGGAAGACGTAAGCTGCAGTTTTAATCCTGCGTTGTTCTGCTATTTACCCACGAGCTTGCACAAACACGGCAACATTATATACCATAGTCACCCCATATGTAATTCGTGACTGATTGCTCCAGGGTGTCCCATAAAGAGAATTTTCCCCTCAATCCTGAACTAATAAGGTGCTTTCTGGTACCCTAGGGTGTTTTCTAGAGAATGCATGATGGGGGCAATTAAGCAGAGTGGAGCTTTTCCTTTGATTTGGCTGTTTGCACGAATGATTTTTTTCCAAGATAACAAATCAGTGTGAACCTTTTAACAGCTTCCAACTCCTTTCCATATGTGAAGAAGAGGATCCCTATAAACTATGAGCAGCAGATTAATTTAAAGCCCATCGATGTTGCTACTGATGAAATCAAAGATAAAACGGCAGAGCTGAAAAAACTTTGCTCTTCTGCTGACGTGGACATGATTCAGCTCCAGCTGAAATTGCAGGGCTGCGTCTCAGTGCAGGTATTTGGTTGCTGAAGGGGTCCTGAACGGTCCCTGATGTTCTTGCTTTCATAAGGGCACGGAGCAAGCATGAATTGCAATTGTGTAATCTGCTTGAGCACTGTTCTTGGTGAACTGAAAGAAATTAGGCTCAGACGTGTCCATCAATTTTGCATTATGGCAGAAGACTTTAACATAAACCCCTGAGACAGTAGCCACGCTCTGTACTTCCATAGCTAAAATTCATTAAGTAACTTGTTTGAATACCATCTTTGCAGATTATTTGCTTTAGTCATTGTTTTTCAAGTAAACTTCTAGTAAGAATAGTAAATATGGTCCTTGGGTAGAGATTTTTAATGTATTTAGGGTTTTTTAAAAAAATTATTATTTTTTTAAAATATTTTATTTATTTGAGAGAGAGATAGTGAGAGAGATCACGAGCAGGAAGGAGAGGGAGAAGCAGACTCCCCGCTGAGCAGGGAGCCTGGACACGGGGCTCGATCCCAGGACCCTGGGATCATGACCGGAGCTGAAGGCAGACGCTTAACCGACTGAGCCACCCAGGGGCCCTAGGGTTTGTTTGGGTTTTTCTAGAGATGATGCAGGGGCACCTCTTGCAAGTCTTGATCTCAGGGTTGTGAGTTTGAGCCCCACGTTGGGAGTAGAGGTTACTTTAAAAAAATGAAATCTTAAAAAAATAATAAAAATAAAAAGAGAAAGGCAGAAATTACTTTTTGATTACATTCTAACAACTCTCTCATTTTTCCCCCTTTGTACTTTAGGTAAATGCTGGTCCATTAGCATACGCAAGGGCTTTCTTAAATGATAGCCAAGCTAGCAAGTATCCACCTAAGAAAGTAAATGAGTTGAAAGACATGTTTAGGTAAGTGCTGTGTCCTTTTCCCTTTAGACCTCTATCCTTTTACTCCCATTTTCTTCTTTAGAGAAACCAAAATATTCACTTAATAACATCCCTCCAAAAAAGACATTCTCCGTTCCCTTTTACAATATTTTAAGTGCCCTGCCAACAGTACTTTAAGTAGCGAGGAAATGCGCAATCTCTTTCTGGCTGCAGGACATTAACAATGAAATATGCCAATTTACCTAATTGCTTTGTTTAGCGCAGCACAAATGGAAGCCTACATTCCTTATGTGCTTTCCTCCTTTGCCTGATCGACTCCATCTTACAGCATTTCAAACCATTTAGGGTGGGAATAAAAGTCGAACTGGAAGGGTTGGATAGGCTTGCCCCCCTGTCCTGGGTTCTTACTTTCACTTGGGATTCTGCTGGTCCAGGGCACATGATCCCGTGGCTCGAGGGAGCATCCCTGTAAGCTAAGGCATGTCTGAACAGTCTTGCATTAGAAAACAATCTGTTTAATATATATAAAAAAAGTTCACATTCAGAAGAGAGACCGTTGAGTAAAATAGGCTAAGAGGGAAGATGATAACTCATCCACTCGTTTGCTCCCGACTTCATTTACTTTTCCTGTCTGTGTGTTAGCAACTGTTCCAGGCTGCAGAGTAACCAGCAGTCACTCATTCACCAATATTTATTAATGCCTGGTGTGTGCAGAAAGATTCTACTAGTTGCTATGACAGGGATGCAAACCAAATGGGGCAATGAGGTACTTTGTCCCCTAAGACCTACGCTCTAATTATGGACATCACACGCAAACGCATGAATGATGGACAAATGCTCTTACAATAAGTCATCAACTCTCTGTGACTTATTTATAACAAGAAGTCTGTACCTCTTAATCCCCTCCACCAATTTCACCCATTCCGCTCCCCGCCCCATCTATGTCCCCACTCCCAGCCCAGGGCAGATAATTCCTATCTATAACACCCAGCCCCGTACTGGGTACATAGTAGCCCCAAATAAATTATGTTCGAATGCATAACTCATTATCTACAGGTGCAAATTAACATCAGCACAACTTTAGCTGATTTGATATCATGTGGCTGAGCAAATAGTCTTTCTAGAAGGTCGATGTTTTGAGCCAGGTTTTAAAGGAGGTGAGAAACCAGAGGGAAAAGGTGAGAAAGAAAGGAAAGGTATTTCGGACTTAGGAAGTGGCATTAGCAAAGACACAGTGAGAAAATACAGGATTCCAGTCTTCCCTCTAGGCAAGCCGCGGTTAAAGTGAATATCCAATTGGTGGTCAGTGAGACTTTCTAGGAATAAATGATGAAACCCTTATCTTTGCTCTTTTTCCACAGGAAGTTCATACAGGCATGCAGCATGGCACTTGAACTAAATGAGCGGCTAATTAAAGAGGATCAAATTGAGTACCATGAAGGGCTCAAGTCAAATTTCAGAGACATGGTGAAAGAATTGTCTGACATTATCCATGAGCAGGCAAGTATTAGGGTAGTTGAAAATGAAAACATGATCTGGGGCCCCTGAAGTGTTACTTAGCCAAGTCTGTTCGTTCGAAATGCATTACCTTGAAATTACTCCGTCTGTGTTTTCAAGTTTGCTCCTATTATCTTTAATCGTTTAAATGATATAATGCAAATCGAATTTGGAATAATTATCTGAAGCAATTGCTAAAACAATTATCAGTAATAAGCCCATTTTGTTCTTTAGGCCGCAGTGCTATTAGAAGTAACTAGCTGAGCCAATCTAAATTGATCTACTGGAGACATGGGTAAGAGTCTCTCAAGAAGGGTCCTAAAGAAGTGAGATGATTGGCACAGGAGCCAAATCCCTAAAAGAATATCTCTATCTTGGCTGTAAGAAGCTATAGATTCTATCGTTTAGGTGAGACACTGAGGGGCTTCCAAAATTGGAGAAATGTCTTGGCATTTTCATCTATGACTGAGTGTTCATGACAATTGCAGCTAACTTAGTAAAGCCACAACCTGAAAAATATGGAAGCCAAGACCTGTTCACCACTGACAGCCACATTATGTCACAATCAGGTAGTTAGGACTTTCATAGGCCTGAGCCAGCCCCCAGTCCCCAGGCACCTCCGGGGACTTTTATACACCTGTTTGTCTTCAACCCGAGTACTCCTGGGTTATCCTGGTAAACTTCATTTTTATGCTGGAGTCCTGACCACTCTATACATGGATTGTCACTCAAGTATTTTAGGGTCTTCAACACGTTTATAAAAGTACCAGCACAATGGTCTAGTCCCTCAGCTACTGAGCCTATTAAGCTTCATTTCCTTACTAATGAAAACAGCCAATGAGATAAATACTTGCTTCAGAAACTCTTCAAACCCTGAATTTTGAAGAAAGCAAGGCTTTCTTCCGAGAGACAAGGATAACTACAACCCTTTAGAGAACACATTCTTAAAGCTCGTTCCAGAACCTTCTCTGTCCTGGTAGCTGCGTTTTAGCAATTGCTTGCTGTGGGAAATTTAGTTAGTTAGCACAAGGTTGCGCTGAATGACCAGGAGTCTCATTTTCCAACCATTGTCATCTTCTCAGCCTGAAGAAGTCAGCCAGCCAGACCTTCATCATCCCATTTGGTCAGTGAGACTGCTTACCCCCCACTTTCCTACCCGCCCGTTCTCCATGTCTGGGAATCTCGTTGGCCCGAGGAGTCCGGAATCAGTGTTCTAGTTCTCCTTTTTGCCATCTCTACTTCTATTAGCCCATTTAGGAAGGAGTACAAACTGTTCCAAGGCATCCCTCTGCTGTTCAGTGTTCAGAGATCCTTTTTTGTCTCCTTCCCAAAGCAGCCAGGTGATCAGGACTAGGAAGGTAGGAAATCATTCCACTTCCTTTGTTCCCTGTGTCTCGAGCTCAGCCCATGGGTAGTGGAGAGCCATATACCTTTCTGTGCCATCACTGCTCTGACGCAAGTAGATGATGTAATTTGTTCCTAGGAGCTGTCCAGTGTATGCGTTTCTATTCTTCATAATCCCTAGAAAATCAGCAAAAACTCCTTCACAAAAATACGACAACGACAGACGTTGTTTTAAGCCAATGTGTAGTGCGCTGCAATTATTCCATTTGCATGCAACTGCATGACGTAGCCTTAAACTCTAAAGTACTCAAATGGAAAACAAATTATTCAATTTACTGTTATTACAGTGATCAAGATACTTACAGCAGTCATTTTATAATGTTCTTCCCCTCTCCCCCAAAGTATGGATTTTGCAAATCTGCTGTCCCACTTCCCACCTGTCTCTCTCATTTGATTCCCATAAACTGTGGCTATTTTATTGAGTTGGAGAGACCAGTATTTTAGACCCTTGATATTATATATAGATAGGTAACCAAGAAAAATCTTAGTTTCTTTTTTAAATTTAATTTAATTTTATTTACATTCAATTAATTAACATATAGTTCATTATTATAATTAACATATAGTTCATTATTAGTTTCAGAGGTAGAGGTCCGTGATTCAGTTGCATATCATACCCAGTGCTCATTACATCATGTGCCCTCCTTAATGCCCATCACCCCATTTACCCCAGTCCCCCACCCCCCTCCCCCTCCAGCAACCCTCGGTTTGTTTCCTGTGGTTAAGAGTCTCTTTTGGCTTGTCTCCCTCTTTGATTTCGTCTTGTTTTATTGAAAAATCTTAAGTTTCTATTGGTTTATATTTATGCATGCTGTCCCGTCATAATGCATCGTATTTAGGTGTGCCCTAACTGTTGACTTTATAGTGAATTTTTATAATTTAACGTTTCCTATTAGATTCTCACAAAAGAGAGCCTTTTTTCAGTCCTACACTTTGAGATATGTTATTTCCCAAAGGAAAAGAAAATAATACAAAATAAGGTAAAATATAGCTGTAGAGTGCAATATAAATTATTCTCTTGTGCCCCATAAATGATTACTTGACAAAAGATATATGGCCTGGATATTCTTCACCCTCTTCAATGTAGTCTGTTATAGTATACCAAAATACACAGTTCTTTGTAAAACTTCTTCAAGCTTTTGACTTTTAAAAGGAGACTTAAATAAATAAAATCTTTAAAAAAATAAGAGGGGATTTATATTATCTTAAAATGATGAATTGCAGATTTCTTAATTAGATAGAGTTAGTGGTGGCCACTGTAGGGTCTGGTATGTTTTGTTTTCTACACAATGAGTCCCCTATTGTCTTGTCACATCTGACAGGTGTGGATAAACAATTAGTCATCTCTTAAACCCCTGCTTGGCTTCCAGATTCGTGTCATGAGTTACGATTTTTGTAAGAGGAAATTTCTCTATTACGGACTTTGTATAAGACCTAATTTGTAGCAACACAAATGATATGCCTCATTACTATCACCGTAGACCAGTTTGTGGGCTTAATACTGAAGTTTCAAAGCTAACTTGAGAACCAAGTATTGAAAGCTTGAGACCTAAGCTGGGATCATACAGTAAAGAGGTTGGATGTGATGTGTATGGTATTCTTTTCTTCCATTTTTTTTTTTTTTTTAAAGTAGGCTCCACACCCAATGTGGGGCTTGAACTTACGACCCCAAGACCAAGAGTCACATACTCTCCCAACTGGGCCAGTCAGGCACCCCTTCTTTTCTTCCATCTAATCAAGCATATTTGATCACACAAAATGGAAAGTTTTAAAAATATCTATACCAATATGAATATATATGTTTATATACTTATGGGATATAAAATTTACATGTTTTATGTGTGAAGTTCTTCATTTCCATGAAAAGCCTTCTGTATCAATTAGCTTATATAGTTCTAGTGGGTCTTTAGAATAGAAATATATACTTGTGACTTTATTTAAGAATATTTTCCAAGTCTCCAGGGAAGGAACATGGGTATCTGTGTGTTTGAAAAGCCCCACTGGTGATTCCAAGAACCACTGTTATGATCGTTCATTTAAAAAAAAAATTTTTTTAAGATTGCATTGCCTCTCCCTTTTTCTTGAATTTTGCATTTTACAATCTTTTGTTTTTCTTATTGAGTAACCAGATCTTTTCTGCTTTTTTGCTATGCTGCCTTTGTAATACAGCTTTGAAGACTTAAGTCGGTAATGTTATTCTTTGCTCTTTCTGTTTTATGTCATTTTAAATAGCTACGTGTCGGTGACAAATTGAAATATGCCTGTAATTTCATATACACATACTTTTTTGACAGCGGCTATTTTGCTTCATGATAAACATGCAGGTTTTTTTTTTCTTTGTTTTAGATACTACAAGAAGACACGATCCATTCCCCCTGGATGAGCAACACATTACATGTATTTTGTGCAATTAGTGGTACATCGAGCGACAGAGGTTATGGTTCCCCAAGATACACTGCTGAAATCTGAGGACGTGCAGATGCAAAGTGACAACGAGACTGACCTTTCTCAGGAATAATCGGAGCTGTGCAAATGTTAAAATTTAAAGATTTGATATACATGGAGTGTTTCTTCCTGACACCAAAATTTTCATGCTTTCAAACAGGGTGCTTACATATTTGTAAATATTTAAGCAACTTGAAAGTGCCTGGAAAATTGCACCACTGTGCTTGGTTTGTACTTTTTTAGGTAAATCTATATACGGAAAAGTAGAGCTCAAAAACATTAATTCAATTTGCTTAATTATTGCTTCAGATAATAATGGTACTGTGTAAAATTGTATAATGGAACACAATAAAAGGTAAAACTTATTTGTAATTAGAAGTGAAGGAAATAATACTTTGAACTTAGCATTTTTCTTGACAGGAAGCTCAATTCATGATCATACTGATCCTTGGAGAGAAAAAAAAAAGGATCAAATTTGCATAAAACACGGATATTCCAAATTGGGGAGGTAGTCTGAACTCCTGCCTGCTAGTAGTCAAGGCGAGGCTAAAGGAAACAAAAGGGTCATTTTAAAAGGAGGATTTCACAAGGAAAGGCAATACACAGAAATACCAAACTTACTGCTCCTTCAAGTTTTGAGCCAGTGATGCCAGGTGATCAAGTTGGTCTCTCTCTGCCTTCCAGGGCAAGGGATTCATATGTGACCTAGCTCTCCCTGGGAAGTGGCATTGGTTTGTTCCCAGAGCTTTCTGGGGCTATCCAGAAGGCCAAATAAAATAGTTCCGAGAATTTACAGTCAGTACATCCTATGCAACTTCAGAACTTTCAAAGTAGCAGAATCAGGGAGGTATTTACGTAATGACCATTTTTCTTTTCTGTGTACAAGATTAACAAGTACCTTGAGAGAAGTGGCTGGTTGCAGCATTTGGGGGGTTCAGGGGACGTACCCACTGCAGATCTGGCGACTGCTAGCTAGGGATTCCATTTCTAACTATGAAGACCTCTCAGACTACCTACATCATTCAGGAGCCGCCGAGGTGTAAAGAACTTTTTTTTTTTTTAAGATTTTTTTTTTTATTTATTTATTTGAGAGAGAGAGAATGAGAGAGAGAGCATGAGAGGGAGGAAGGCCAGAGGGAGAAGCAGACTCCCTGCTGAGCAGGGAGCCCGATGCGGGACTCGATCCGGGGACTCCAAGATCATGACCTGAGCCGAAGGCAGTCGCTTAACCAACTGAGCCACCCAGGCGCCCCAAGAACTTTTTTTTTTTAGCTTGAATTATCTGTATAATTTTGGCTGCCTTTCGTGTAAACTTTAAGTTCGAGACGTATTTTCCTTATAGAGTTTAGCCAGTTTTTCAGAGAGAAAAAAAAAAAAAGACACTGAAGTCTAAATGAATCACATGGAGACTTGGCTTTTTTAATGCTTTGTGACCAAGACATCTTAGAGATGATGCTCCTGGCTTGCCATTTTTCTTTACATGTCATCTTGAAGCTTTTAGGGGAGCATGACATTATTTATTGAAGGTTTAATTTTGTATTTTCACAGGGGATTCAGAAGTATTTCAGAAGCAGTTTGTAATTCCTTAATACCTTGGAGTAACCCTGTAGAGTTCATTTCCCCTTTGAAGTGATTAGGTGTGGTTTGGATGTGTAAGGAGCCATCACCTAGACCAGTTGCTGCTACCTGAGAATGAAGCATCCCGGGGAAACTGGAGTGCTCTTTAGTCGATAACTAGTCCCTCCGTGCCCCCCAGCACAGTGTTATGTACCGTGGGTACATTTTGGTCAAGTATAATAAGTGACCTCTGTGTTCAAGGAGCTTGCAACGTAGTGAAGGCAAGATGGACACAAAATTAAACATGATGCAAGAATTGACAACATAAGCCAAGAACAATTGTCTGGGAGCATCGCCAGGTGAAGGCCACTGTCCATAACTTGTATCACCTCCAAGGAATGAGAGGTCACTGGATTGTAGTGTTCAGGGATGGTTTCGTGGACGGAAGGGCATTCTGAACAGGCTTTCAAAAATGCGCGGGTATCCCAGGCAGGAGGAAGAGGGCGTGCAAAGGCACGAAATGAATTAGCAGAAGTTCAGGGGATGGCAAGGAGATGAGTTTTGTCCAAGAGAGTGGCAGATGACATAAATCTAGAATGAAAACTTGGCCCTAGGTGGCGGAAGGCCTTGAATGGCAGGCTAATCGTGTTTGGACTTTACTCGCTAAACATGGGGCAGCCAGGCAAAGGCATTTAGACAGAGAGATCACTTGATTAAATGTTACTTTTAGGTGTTTAATCCTTTGCGTTGCTGTCAGATGTTTTTGAGGCGGAGAGGGATGGAAATATGGGAACCGATTTACAGTAATCTAGCTCAGAGACCCTAACCCCCTAGATAAGAACAAGCATGGAGAAGAAACGCTAAGTACAAGAGACGTTCTGTGGAAAGCCTGGACCCGAGTTACTGATGACTCCGTGCCACCACATCTATGGACGAGAGTGGTATCATATTTATGGGATCTGCCTGCCTATATAAACATTGTAAACATCTTTTTAAAAAACGAAATAGAAAGCAGCAGTGGTGGCAACAGTCTTGGAACCTTGACCACCTTATCATAGAACTAGGGGTGACTCACTGGTTAATTAACAAACTAAATAGGTCAGCGTAACGAAAGGGAAGTGTTAAGGATAATTGTGTGTCCCGTGGCCAGTGGGTTCTCCAGGTCATGAGAGTTTCCCAACTCTTCAAAATATTAATAATATTAATAATCAGCTAAGTATTTTAGGTCCCTGACCCACAAAAAAAATGGCGGGCTCCCAGGGGGAATTAGATTCCAGCTGAACTGTGAAACGGTCGGTATAGCAGAAATGCATTCTTTGATGTGAATTAATCTGTAGAGGCTAAATCACTTCATGAATTTAGGTCCCTGACCCAGGCTTTTTACATATAAATACTAGTTGGATCTGACATGAAGAATCCGAGCGACATATTGGAAAAATAGGAGACACAATTTCACTAGGTTTCTCTCTCCAACTTTCAGACTAAGGGCAGCAAGCTGTAGAGGACGAGGTGGGCTAGACTTCCTCATATGCTGTGTCCAAACGCGCGTTCCTGGCTTCCTCCAGTGACAACCCAGAGAGACGAAAGTCGATGCAAATTTTCCTAGTAACCAGCCGGGCTCCCTTCAGCCTCAGTCTTGTGCTAAAAGTACACTACTTCAGCTATCAAAACACAAAGGGAAAGGAAGAGAATAAAAATAAATAAAAGTTGGTCGGGGATGGGGAGTGGGTTTGTGTAACAAGGCTCTTCCCCTATCCTGAGAGTTGGCCAATAAGAGTGCTTTGTTTATCTGGTTCCAATTATAATAAAGGTTTGGTTTTTTTTTTTCCCTACTCCCTAACCACATAATGGTCGCTCTCTAAGCATATGTATGTTTACCCAACTCCTGGTTGAAGTTGTGACTAAATTCAACAAAGAGTTTTGCCTCTGTGTATGGCATTTGAAGACTCACTCTGATATGTTTTTTCATCCCCATTTTTCCTCTTTATTGAGCTCTAATTCACATACCATACAAGTCACTCACTGAAAATGCATGAGTCAATGGTTTTTAGTATATTCAGAGTTGTGCAACTATCAGCACACTTAACTCTGGAGCATTTTATCACCCCAGAAAGAAACCCCATACATCTGAGCGGCCACTCCCCATTGCCTATGAATCACCCCCTTCCCGGCCCCTGACAACCACAAATCTACTTTCTGTATCTGGCTTTGCCTATTCTGGACATTTCATATAAATGGAATCCTACAATACGTGGCCTTTTGTGACTGTCTTCTTTCATTAACATGGCTTCAAGGTTCTTTCATGTTGTAGCATGGATCAGTCCTTCGTTCCTTTTTCAAGCTGTATAATACTCCTTTGTATGGATACACCACATTTTATCTGTTCATCAGTTGATGGACATCTGAGTTATTTCCATTTGGGGACTGTGATGAATGCTGTGAACACTTCTGTACAAGTTTTTGGGGAGACAGGCTTTCAGTTTTCTTGGGCATATACCGAAGAGGAGAATCACTGGGCCAGATGGCAACTCTCCATTTAACCTTTTGAAGAACTGCCAGACTGTCTTCTCCAGCAGGAGGTGTATAAGGGTTCCAGTTTCTCATTATTCCCTACAACACTTGCTATTATCTGCTGCTTTGATTATCACCTTCCCGATGGGTGTGAAGTGGTCTCTCATTCTGGTTTTCATTTGCACTTCCCTGATGGCTGATGATGTTGAGCATTCTTTCATGTGCTGATGGGCCATTTTGATATCCTCTCTGGAGCTGTGTCTATTCAGATCCTTTACCATTTTTTTTTTTTTTTTGAAAATTGGGTTATCTTTTTATTGTTAAGTCATAAGGGTTCTTTATATATGTTCTAGAGTCCCTTATCAGATCTAGGATTTCCATATAGCTCCAATTCTTGGGGCTGCCTTCCTACTTTCGTGATGGTGTGCTTTTTTTAAGTTTTTAATTTCGATGAAGTCCAATTTACTTCTGTTTTCTTTGGTTGCTTGGGCTTCGATGTTGTGTCTAAGAAGACTTTGCCTAAATCAAGGTCATAGAGATGTACACCTGTGTTTTCTTCGAGTTTGACAGTTTTAACTCTCACTTTCAGGTCTTTGATCCATTTCAAGCTAATTTTTGTATATGGGACAAGTTAGGGATCCAAATTCATTCCTTTGTGTATGTTTATCCAGTTGTCCTTCCACCATTTGTTGAAAAGACTATTCTTTTCCCCCACTGAATTGTCTTGGTACCCTTATCAAAAATCATTTGGCCCTAAATGCATGGGTTTGCTCTGGGCTCTCAGTTCTATTCTATTGATCTATAGGTCATCCTTATTCCAATACCACAGTCTTGATTACTATAGCTTTGTAGTAAGTTTTTCAGTTAAGAAGTGTGAGTCTTCCAATTGTATTCGTTTTCAAAAATTTTTGGTTATGCTGGGGCCCTTGAATTTTCTTAAGAATTTTAAGATCAGGGGCGCCTGGGCGGCTCAGTTGGTTAAGCGACTGCCTTCGGCTCAGGTCATGATCCTGGAGTCCCGGGATCGAGTCCCGCGTCGGGCTCCCTGCTTGGCGGGGAGTCTGCTTCTCCCTCTGACCCTCCTCCCTCTCATGCTCTCTGTCTCTCATTCTCTCTCTCTCAAATAAATAAATAAAATCTTTAAAAAAAAAAAAAGAATTTTAAGATCAGAGCAGCTTGTCAATTTCTGCAAAAAAAAGGGGGGGGCAGGGGGAGCTGGGGTTCTGGTAGGATTTGCTGTGAATTTATACTACCATTTGGGGAGTATTGCCATTTTAATAATATTAAGCCTTCCATTTCTTTCAGTAATGTTTTAGAGCTTTTAGCGTACAAGTCTTGTATTTTGTTAATTTTGTTCCTTAACATTTTATTCTTTTCAATGCTATTGTAAATGGAGTGTTTTTTTATTTCATTTTCATATTGTTCGTTGCTAGTTTATAGAAATACAACTGATTTTTTATTTTGACATTGTATTCTGAAACCTTGCTAAATTCATTTATTAGCTTTAATATGGGTTTTTTTGTGAATTCTTTAGGGCTTTCTATATAACATGTCATCTGAAAATAGAGATAGTTTTATTTCTTTCTTTCCAATCTTGATTCTTTTTATTTCATTTTCTTAACCTACAACCAGGCTAGAACTTCCAGTAGAATACTGAATAGCAGTGGGGAAAACAGACATCCTTGTCTTATTACTGAATGTTCCACGAAAGGGGGAGGTATATGCAAAATAACCTCCAAACGCTGAAGGAGCCATAAGACTGAAGATAAAGGCTGACAAATCCAGCCTGACAGGAAATGGTGTATTAAGAGAACTTATGGTTAGATCTCTGCAATCCCACCTTCCTATATAAGACCTGCTTTTATAGCCCTAGGGGCTAAGGAGTCCACATTAGGGGACCATCCAGGAGGAGTCCTATCAAGGACATGATGCCACAAGGGTGTACTTAAGGGTATGGTTAAACAGAGAATGTGGGAGAAAGGGACAGTGCTCAAGAAGGCTTCAGGTCACAGAGAGGTCACCGAGGCAGATTTGTTCAAGATGGCGTTAGTCTGGTTCACACACTAACTTTGGTTGAAAGCTTTCAGTCTTTAACCTTTTTTTTTTTTTTTTAGTTTATTCTTTTAGTAATCTCTACACCAAACTTGGGGCTCAAACTCATGACCCTGAGATCAAGAGTTGCGTGCTCTTCTGACTGAGCCAGCCAGGCGCCCCCCCCACCCCCCCGCCCAGTCTTTCACTTTTAAGTATGGTGTTAGCTGTGGGTTTTTCAGGTTGAGGAAGTTCCCTCCAGCATGATTTGCATCTTTTCTGATCCAGTTCTCCCAGTAACCATGTGATGCCTATATGACATATGGTTAAGAAATGTACTTAAGATACCCATCAAATTAGGGATGAGGCCAAGGTAGATCACGACTCGTAGTCCAGTGTTTTCAACTCTCTATACTATTTCCTATGATCTGCTACAACTTCCTGAAACTTCCCAGAGAGACACCAAAAAGTTTCTATCTCCCACTTTTTTACTGAAAAGGTAAGCTCCATAAAGGTGAAGTCTATGTCTGATTTTTCACCTGTTTCCCCAGAACCAAAAAGTTTCCCGGCATGGAGTAAGTGCTTGGTGAGTCTCAAAGCCAGTTTAGATAAGCAGATACTTCTGAAGTCTTCCTTATATGCAAGGCAATGTGGACAGATATCAAAGCCCTCAGAGGGACTGTGGTTGAGGGAGATAAGACTTACATAAAAAGATTATATGAAGAGGTCTGATAATAGCAAATCAGTGGTAATGACAAGTGCTTGAATAGGTCAAGACTTTCTAGATGTGAGACAAAAAAGCTTTGTGGTAGTCCCTGGCTGGCTCATGATCACATGACTCATGATCTTGGGGTGGTGAGTTCAAGCCCCAGGTTGGGCATAGAATTTTTTTTTTTAATTTTTTTAAAGACTTTGTGGAGGAGACAGGGCATGAACATGGCATTGAAGGATGAGTTGGAATTAGCATGTGTGTGTGTGTGTGTTGAGAAAGGAGAGTGTTTAACAGGAAGCAAAGAAATTCACTTCTTCATTTTAATTGTTATATGAACTCTGACCACTAAGACCAATCGCTACTATTTGCACAAGGAACGTGCAAATAGTGCATACAAAATCAGGCAACGTTCTTCATCTCATTTTTCCCAGATTCCTTTATCCTTTGGTCTGAGACTCAAATGGAATAGATCAGCCTTTTGTTGTTGTTGTTCAGAAAACTAATGCTCAATTTGCCTCATTCCCCTGAGAGAACTTTTTCAGCCAACCTCAGTAGATTTCTCATCTACAAGTCTCATTCTTTATGTACTGCAGGATTTTGTAATAATCACTGCTTCAGTAAATCTCTTAGGGTTGAGTCTTGAAGGCTCTGGACTCCTCCTGCCTGCTGACTGCATGTGCCTTTGATAGAAAACCAATGGAAGTTATCCTATGAGCAGGTCAGGGCTGCAGTCGGGGAACTGTAGATCATTCATCACACATGTGTTTGGGAACCCATTGTGAGCCAGGTGTATGAATGATCAAGGCAGGAATCTGGGGGCAGATAGGCAGGTGGGATATGATAATCTAGTAGGTAATCCAAGGGTCGTCTTTTTCTGTCACTAACTGGACTGAGTCTTCTGAATTCTTGAAGGGAAATTCATCTTCTGGGTTCTGGAGGGACGTATGATGGTGCCTAGCTCTGGCAGATGTGAACGTTTAATACAGCAAAGCAGAAACAAAGCCAATATAAATGTGGAGTTATGTTCGATGCAAAGCTGACCAGGTCCTATGGTACTTATGCATTATTTCAGGATTTTTCCATAGCATAGTGAGGATCCGAGATGCCTCCAGAACCACTGTAATAGCACGATAATAGTACCATGTCCTCCCTCCTCATCCTGAACTACATTTAGACACACGCACAAAAGAAAAAGGAGAATGAGAGAGGAGGAAGGGCTGAGTTGACAAAATCACCTCCATCAGAACAAGTACAATGACAACAAAAGACTTCCAGAGGGAACCCTTGCTGTACTTCGTTCCCCCACCAGCCCCAAGTAGTTACAGGAGCGGCTGAATACAATTCAAGTCACATGTAAGAGCTGATTTTCCTGGGAATAATTTTGGATATTTACACAGAATGTTTTGTTTCTGAAAATAAGGTAACCCCACTCCCACCACCTCCTCTTCCTTTATTATAGGAACAGAACTCAGTCAAAGTTTCAGCTCTCGAAAGAGAATCTTCAGGAGGGAAAATTCCAATGCCATCCTCATTGGTTTAACCATCTTGTGATTTTTCTCATTTCTCTTCGAGTTGCCGCTGCCATGATGGCCCCCAGGGATGTTTCCTGGTAACTGTGCTTTTAGATGAGACTCTTTCGTGGGGATGGGCTAGTTCGGGGTCCCCATAGCCTACCCAGGAGCTTTGGTCGCTCTCTAATGATGGTTCTCATTTTGAGAACTTCGGCATTTCTTCTTTAGAGCATATAGTGGTTAAGCACACGGACTCTGAAGCCCGGCCGGCTGACTGAGAATCCCAGCTCGCGCCGAGCTGTGGGACCTTGGACACGTTAACCCCTCTATGCCTTCCTTTTCCCATCTCTGAAATGGAGGGACGAGTTATACCTACGTCCTCCCATGAAAATTCAACAAAGCACATAAAGCATAGAGAATGAAATCTGGCACGTCTATATAATTGTTACACTCATGTACGTGTTAGCTAGAACTATAATCTCC